ATTAATTTTAAAATTTATTAATTTTTATTAATAATTCCTTAAGGATTATATTAATATTATTAAACTTTTTAATAACTTAATAAAAAAAAATATAACCTTTATTTAAAATAAAAAATATAAAAAAGCTTTTAATAAAATTAAAAACTTAATTATTTTAAAATTAATAATTATAATTTTAAATTTAAAAAAACCGTTTAAAATCGAGACCGACGCCTTAGACTTCGTTATAAAAACTATTTTAAAATAATAAAACTAATAAAAAATACGGGAATTAATATATAGGCATAAATAATTAATACACGGGCATAACTCTTACACGGGCATAACAGCTACACACTATTATTAACTTAAAAAAATATATAAACTATAAATACTTCGTCCTAAAAACGATAAAGGCTCCCTTATTAATATTTTTTTATCCTAACGTATTCATTTAAATTATTTTATATTAAATTATATTATACTTATTTTTAATTTCTACGCTTTTTATATCCCTTTATTATAATATAAAATAAATAACGAATTAATATTAAATCTTACTAAAGCCTTATTTAAATAATCGCGTCCGTTAAGGGACGGCCTCGTTATTATTATTAATTAATATCTCCTATTCACACTTTTTCTTTTAAATACTCATTTATAATACCCGTTTATTAACTTATATTCCTATAAATTTCCTTATATTAAATTTATTAAATTAATTTTTAATTTAAAACTATAATAAGGCCGTAAATTAGCTATTCTTTTATTACTTTTTTTTTTATGTAAGCCTTACGATAATCGCCTTATTACGGCTTTTTAATAGACGGCCTTATTAAATTATTTTAAAAACTATTAATAACGTTTTCTTACGCTAAGCCCTTAAATTACTATCCTCTTATACGGCTAATCGACTAAAGATAAACTATATTAAGTTCTTTAGTTTATTATAAAAAGATATAATAATCTTAGGATCTAAAATCCGATAATATAAGTTTTTTAAAGACGTTTCTTTTTTTAATAAAAATAAACGTCCTATTTTATAAAAAATATCCCGGTTATAAGCCTTATATAAATTATATAATAATAAAGAATACTTAGCTATATCGAAATAAAATAATCGTTTATATAATTTTTAATAAAAAAGGGCCGTAAATAATTACTAATCGGTAATATTATTTTTATTATTTAATATTACTTTATAATTAACCTTAAATATTTTAAAAAAAATATACCTCGGAGTTTATTTAAGTATTCCGAATTAATTTTAGCGTATTAATAAGTAATTAATACCTTATCCTTTATATAAGACTATATAAACCATAATTTTTAATTTTAAATTATATTTTATATAATATTAACGAGTCGGTATAAATAACTTAGGCTATTAAAGAAATAGTTTTTAATATTATTATTACTAGACTCGGTTTTTAAGGTAACGTAAATACTAAAATTTTAATATTTTTAAATATAATAACGAGCTTATTAAGCTTTAATAAGAAAATATATTTTATAAAAATAACGTAATATTAACTATTAATTATTAAACTCTTTATAAAGATTATTTTATACTTTTTTAAAAATAACCTCGGTCTTAATAAAAATAACGAGCTTTTATATTATAAAGACTCCGTAATATATATAAAGGATTAAATTATTAATAGGTATATAGATATACGCCTAGTCCTCGTCGCTTAATTCTATTATTAATATTCTTAAGGGCTTAATATTGTTTTTATAATCCGAACTACTACCGGCACCCTTTAACCATTTTCCCTTTACTTATTTCTACTTAACCTTAAATATAATATTAAAATTAATATAATAAATACAGAGTTATTACTATATATTAATAAACTCGTAAGCTAAGACGGCCTTTATCTATTTATTATAATTAATAATAATAATATTTAATAAGCGAATCGAATACTAATTAATTAATTAACGAATACTTTTTATAAAAAACCGGAACTTTTTTAATTTCTTATTATTAATAAGGCCGAATATTATATTAAAAATAAATCTAATATATATTTAGTTAGTAATTTAAAATAGCAGAAGCTTAAAACGATTCGTATTATATATATTATTAAAACTAATTACTTCCGGGAAGCGCTTCTATATTAAAAAATAAAATAGGAATATCTATACTAAGCTAATAAGCCGGTTAGGCTTGTTATTAACTTATTTTATAATATAAGGCACTTTTCGCTTATTAAAAAGCTTTATTAAAACGGCTATTAGCGAGTAGTTATTTAATTTCTTTTTATTTATAAAAGCTTTAGTATTATAGATATTTTATTAAATAAATATAAAATTTAAGAGTTATTCTTAAACGATAATATAAATATCGCGGGCCTTAATATTAACCCGGCGATTAATAGTTTTAATAACGCTTTTAATTAATAATATAAGCTTTCGATATAAAGGATATACTAAGGAACTAAGGCTTAGTTTATAATTATATTAAATATACTCGGCTTTAGTATATCATTATAAAAGCTAAGCGCCCTTTTTTTTCGTTTTAATAATAATTATTTATTTATAATTATATTTTTACGATTTTTATTAACATAACCCCGTACTTTTAATAAACCACGGTTTATTAAAATAATCGTATTAAAATATATATTTTATTTTTTTACTTTTATATATATATTTATATCGATAAATAATACTAAACCCGTTCTTTTTAATAAATACGTTAACTTAGTTAAATAAAGCGCCGACTATAGGTTTTAAATTGCCGGGAATTTATAAGTTTAGGATTAAATTAAATAAAAATAAAGACGAGCGTTAATTTAAAAAGTAGGAACCCCGTAATAATAAAGTTATTAAGTTTATTTAAGAATTAATAAAAAGATACTTCGAATAGTAAAAAAAAGAATATAGGGGTAAGGGTAATAAAGTAAACGTATTAAATAAATATAATAAATAACCCTATTTCTATCGCTATCGTCAAACTTATTTAAAAAAATTAAAAAGTTTTTTAATTAATTACTACCTTTCCTTTACTACTTTTTTAATTAAATATAATATAGATTTAAATTCTATTATAAAAGTAGTTTATATAAGTCGATACTCCTCGTCTTATAAAATAGATTTAAAAATAAAATACAATAAAAATAGACCGTATTTTAAGCTAAATATTAATATAATAATTCGATAGGTTTAAATAGTTATTATTAAAAATGTTTTATAAAGAAAGATTTCGTAATTATTTTATATTTTAATAAGTATTACGTCGTTCTTATACGAGCCGTAGGGTTAAATAATTTAATAAAACCGGTCTAAATAGGAAATAAAAATATTTTTAAGCGTATTATTATCGTTAAAATTATAATAATTATTAATATTTATATCCGAATTATTAATAATAAAAGGTTATAAAATAAAAAAATATTTATTATATCGCCGTTTTAAATTAAACTCGTTATTTAAACTTAAGCTTTTAGCTCGATATAGCGGGTTACGTTTTAATAACGGAGGGGTAAATTTAGGTATAAGGGATCTTAATATAAATAATATAGCAATAAAGCCTTAATTAGTTAATATAAACGACGCGTCGCGATTATATATTAAAAAAATTCCTAAATATTTTAGGTAGGACCGGTAGAATTAAGATAGGGTAATAGCTTTTTTAGGCTAATGATAGTATGTAGCTATTATGCCCGTGTAAGAGTTATGCCCGTGTATTAATTATTTATACCCGTATATTAATTCCTAAAAATACTTTACTTTTATATATTCTATTTTAAAACGTTTTATAAAATAAAATTAAATCAATAAATTTACGATAAAAAATTAATAATTATAATCAAAACTTTTAAAAAATAAAGATTATAGTTTTTAAAAATTAAATATAAAGTTATTATTTATATAAATTATAAAAACTTTATAAATTTTATAATAAATAAAAATCTAAATAAATAATAAATTAAATAAAGCAAATTCTTATTAAAATTTAATTTCCGAATTATTTATTAAAAAAGTTTAAAAAATAATAAAATAAACGCTCTTAATAAACGACTTAATTATAAAATTATAGTCCTTAAGAAAATATAAATAATCTTTAAACATAACGATAATAATAATTTTATACCTATTATAAAACTCTTTATAATAATTAAAAAAGTTAATATTAACCGGTTTAGAAAAATAATTCCTAAGCTTATTATAAAAATTCATAATACTTAAGTATATAATTATTAAAATATTATAAAAATATAAAAACGGATTTATTAATATTATAATAAAACCGTTATAAAAATAAAAATCGCTAAAATTATTAAAAACTATAATATTTATAAAAAAAATAAAAATAGCTTTTATAAGCTTTATAAAAAGCTATAACCTCTACCGATATTATTAAAAATATTATATTTAATCTTTTAAAATTTTATTATTAAATTATTAAAATCTAAAAAACTACTTATAAATATATAATATAATAATATTTTAATTATCGTCGACCGATTTATTAAGTTTACTTATTTTATATTATATAAAAAAGTAAATAATATTAAAAAATTAATATATACTCTTTTTAAAATAGTTATTATTAATTATAGTTTACTTAAAAAAATAGTTTTTAATAAAAATAAGCTATTTACCGCTAAGTTTTAGAAATTTTTAATTTCGTAGCTTAGTATAAATTATAAATTATTAACCTCTTTTTACTTATAAACCGATGAATAAATAAAAAAAATTAACTAGATTTTTAAAATATACTTCCGTTACTATATAAATTATAATTAAAATAATTAAATAATATTATTATTAATAGCTTAGTTTATATATAATAACGTAGTTGATAAAAATATAAAAAAATCCCTTTTCTACTTTAATTATAAATTCTAATTAATTATATATAAAAAAGTATATAAAAGACTATAGGCTATAAAAGCCGTAGTAGACGTAAATAAACTTAAAAAGATTTAAAAAAAAGCTTTTTTAGACCTTAAATTTATATAATAATAGATAGAAAATACGCTAATAGATTAAAAATTAATAAACTAATTTTAAAAAAAAGAGATAATATATATTTTTTTTGTTATAATATTAAAATAAAACAATTAAGTAATAAATTAGATTATAAAAAACTTAAACCCTTCGAAATTATTAAAAAAGTTTTATTAATTAATTTTAAATTAAAACTCTTAAATACGATATAATACTACCCGGTTTTTTATATTTTATTCCTAAAGCTAATATTTAAAAACTTATATACTAAAGATCGTATTATCGTTGAACTTAATAAACTAAAATATAAAATTAAATAAGTTATCGACTATTAAATTAAAAAAAAATATAAAAAGTACTTTATTAAATAAAAAGATTATAAATATAAAAATAATATATAAAAACTTATTACGAACTTTTAAAACTCTTAATAGCTTCTTAAAAAATATTAAAATTAAATTTAAACTTAAAACTTTTAATTATTACGGCGTTTTAATCGATAATATTAAAAGCATTATTAACTTACGCCTCCCGGGCTATTAAAAAAATACTTTTAATATCCTTAGGAAATTTTTTTAATATAATACGATTTTTTTTAAATACTATTTATTTTCAAAAATAAAAGCGTTTTAATTTAAATAATAATTTATTTAATTTAATTTAAGCCTTTTAATAAGCCTTAGCTTTTTTTTATAACTTTATAATTTTTTTTAAAACCGCGACTCTTTTATTTATTTTTTATAATTAAAACGATCGGACTCTATTACTAAACAATTTACTATATTTATTAATTAAGACTTATAAAAAATAGGTTTTAAAAAATTTATAAATATAAATAGTATTAATAAAAGTATTATATAAAATATTTAAATAATAATATATTTTATAAGTATTAGAATTAAAAAGAATTAAATAATAAATACTTCGAGAATAAAAATTTAAATACGGTATTATTTTTATATTTTTATTAAAAAAAATAAATAATATATAATAAATAACGACGAGATATAATTATTTACGATTTTAATTTTTTAATTTAATTTAATATAGTGTTAATATATTTTAATAAAGATATTTAACGATTTTTTAATTTAAGAATAAATAATTTATTTATAAACTTAAAGACTAGACTTTTAAAAAAAAAATTAATATTATAATTTAATATATATTATTAAACTAAAGCCCTATTTTATAAAATTTACGACGGCTATTATATTATATATATAATAATAAGAACTTAAATAGCCTTTTTTAAAATAAAAAAATTATAAATAAGTTATATAATTATAATTATATAATAAAATAAAAAACGGACGTTTATTAATAAATAAAACGAGCGATTATAAAAATATAAAACGGACGACTATTTAATAAACGATCGGATAATAATAAATAAAATATTATAAAAAATATATTTACGATTAAGATTTATATATAAAATAGCCTAAGTTAGGTTCGAAAATAAACTTTTATAACTTTTTTAATAATTAATTTTTATATTAAATCTAACGATCGTTTTTAATTATTTTTATTAAAAATTTATTTAATAAGATTACGATTAATTACTAAAGCTTTATTTATTTTATAATTAATAGATAATAGCTTTATTAAAGCTATTCTTATAACGATTATTATTTACGAATATCGTAGCCTTAACTTTTATTAATACAAACCTTATTACGACTAGCTGGCCGTAACATTATTATTAAAATCGTTTATATCGTCATATAACTACTTTTTTTAATACGCTTAAATATTAATAATAATTTATTAATTTAAGATAAGTACTTTTACTTACGCCCAGCTTAATTCGTTTAAAGTCGTATTACGGCCTATATTAAAATTTAAAACGATCGTTATATTAATTTTTAATATATTAAAGTTTAATTTATTTAGAAATAGCGGCGGTAGTTTTTTATTATTACTCGATTTATTGTTAGAAGTTAAATCGGTTCTTATACCTTAAGTTTATTTTATAGTATTTTTTATATTTATTTTTTATTTTATAAATAGGCTTTTAGCGCCGTTTTTAATTATTATAAGCTTTTTTTATTTAATTTAAGTAGTTTTATTATATTTTATTAAAGTAGATTACGGTTAATTTAACAACGTTTTAAATACGTACGTTTTTTTTTAAATAAATACTTAAGAGGCGTATATATTTATTAAGCGAATTATTATTATTTAGTAGTCTATTTCTTTTTAAGAAGTATAAAAAAACTATTTTAAATCCGTTTTTAATTTTTTTTTTTTTAAAATTGTTTTAACCCTGGCTTTTTTTTTTAGTACTTATTATTAGATTATAAGGATATTTATTATTTTTATACGGTAAGTGCTTATAGTAGGTTAATTAAGTTTAGAAATTTTATAATAGCTTTATTTTTATTTATAAATCGTTATCGAGGTAATATTTTATTTATCTATTTAAAAAGGTAATAAAAGAGCTAAAAAAGAAGTTAAATTAAATAAGATCTTACGAGGTTTATTTTATATTTTTAATTCCTTTTTTAATTTAATCGTCGTATAGCGAGGGCTCGTTTTTATAAATTATAAAATAAGCGTAAATATTATACGATTTAGTTATAGTTAATATAAATATAAAGTAAATAGATTTACGTATTTATTATAAAAAGTAAATAAAAAAAAAGGGTAAAAAAAGGGTTATTTAAAATTAGAAAAGGTATAAAAAAGAAGGATTCTTTTAACGGTCGGCGGTTAATTTAAACGGTTTTATTAATAAACCGTTTAAAAGCGTTATTAATATAATAAACGCCTCCTTTTTAATAAAAGTTTAAAAAATTAAAAATCTTTTATTTTATATAGCGTTAAAAAGTTGTTTTTTTTAGTTTTTATAAAAGGTTAAGATAATACGATTTTTTTATTTTATACGGTATTAAAAAGTCGCCTTTTTTATTTTATAATAGCTTTATTAATCTATGATAATAATTAAATTATTAATTAATGTTAGTTTACGTAATTATAAGGTGATTTATTTAATTAAACCGTAGTAACGAAGGGTTAATTATTTTTATATTGATCTCTATGTGAAGTGGAAAAGAGAGGTTTTAACCGTTAGTTAGATCGCCGGTTAAACGCTAATATAGAGACCCTCAGATGGCCCCTGCGCTGGCGCTGACTCGAGGTCGAATTGGGCTTCCAATCCGACAGTTACCTTATGCTTAGAGACAGGGTACAAACTAAATGGGCCTAAATCAGCGCTTACTATGAGAACTACCTCCTCTGGCCTAGCAGAAATCCACAGCATTGTTCTCGTGCATGGAATGCCTAAACAACTCTGTGGGCAGTGATACTTGATATGAAACTAATACGCAATGACAGAAGATCGTGGTTGGTTATTTTCATCTGGGTTTGGTCTTGTGCGTTGTATTCTTCACTTCTTTTTCAAGGGAATACTAAACATAAAAATGACGTAGAGGCGAAGACGTTCCACTCACTGACAACTATGCCTCTTAGGTCTGGTTCTTGAAGATTTAATATGATGCATTACTATATAAGGTACCTTGGCATTACTGAAATTTTGATCAGTTGTACCCAGTGCCACTGTCGCCGACTTGGGAAGCTTTAACGACGCTATCGTCAGATGTGACCATCTGACGGCCTTCAAATCTAACCCTCAAAACTTTGGCAGCATTCTCGAGTTCATCCAAAGATCGAAGCCCACCACCTGCCCTGTTACGAGAAGCCTCGTCAAGGGCGACAAGTGTTGCCAGAGACGAGTTCTTGGCTTCCCGGAACGCATAATGCTCCTCCCTGCTAGATGCATGACTCCTGTTCAAGTTGCTTTGACTGAAAACCGTGAGGGCCAGAAACAGCAAAGCAATTCCAATCTCAACAGCAAGCATGGATATCCAACCCCAGGTGATGTATACGTAAGAAACCTGCGTCAGTGCTTCGCCAGTGATGTTGAAGGAATTAACAGCGTAACTGCGGGGCTGGTTGACGCGCATGCTATTATTGGAAGTCAGATAAATAACAGCTCTGGAAATAGCAAAGAGAAACTATCGTGACAAGAGGCCCACGAATAGACTTACATAGTTGACAAACTGATTGCAATGTTTGTGTGAATGTTTTTCAAGCAAGTTTGACGGAGAGTAGAGTTGGCTATATTGTTAAGCTCGAATATAACGCTTTCGAAAAGAGTCTTGATAAAGTCCTGTCCGCGGAAGAAGACGGCCGTGTCCTGATACTCCTCGGTAACATAGCTAGCACTCGCATAGCCCATGAGATCGGTCTTCATGATGGTGGATATCCTCTCTAGTGAAAAGTAGCTTGCGCTGAATTGTTCCTCCTCAACTGTGGAGTTGACGTTTAGGTCTGTCAAAAACCTTGGATCCTTGAGATGTAGTGTTTCTTGCCAACGGTCTATGCTCTGATTACACGTACGCGAAGCTTGTCCGAGGAGCGGCCTGCATTGCATGTCTAGAAAGAAGGGCTTTTCTTGTTCGACGGGGACAGCAGATGTCTCGACGAGAGTGGTTGTTTCGACACCCATGAAGATTTTCGTCTCATACGTCTGAACGCATAGATGGTACAGGAATTCCATTGCTTCGTGACGGAAATCGTAGATTGCGCCAATTACCTCGGACGCGAACGGCGCTGCTGCGGCGTCGGAGAGCCCGTTCCACCACGTCTCGTTTAGCGAAGTAGGATTGGTGTAGACAACGGTGAAGGATGAGATCCTAGTTTGCTTGAGATCCTCGTCGTCTTGAAACGCAAAGGTCTCGCTTCCGTTCAGCATATCGACCATGGCCGCCAAGGGTGTCTGATGAGCCATTTCCAAGCCGCTAGGGAGAGACGCCCGCCACACCTTTGCATCGGGTTTTGGAAATCCTAGGACAAGGGTGTCGATCATGTCTGGAGAATCAAACTCCTCGACTCGCAAGTGCGAAGTGATATTTGCCGTCTTCACGCAAATGCCTAGAGACTGATACCGTTCGAAGGTGCAGTTGCCCGTGGAGCAGAACGCTCCTGTAGGTGCAATTGGCTCCAGAAACCCGGTGCTGTCAGACAAAGTGGCCAGTACCAAGGCCCGACGTGATCCTGCATTCATTCGATCGTCGTCCGATGTCATGTTGCGCACGGCTGGCGCCTTGGCTTCCTCCCGCAGGGCCACAGAATCTCTGACAGGATAGTTGATGGCAAGTTGCGTTATTGGCGAAGTCAGAGCGCTTACAACCATCAGAACGGCCCCGAGAGAAACAAAGTGTGTGTATCTAATACGCTTCAACAGCATTACAGAGCCCCATGGCCCTCTACTCGCTTGGTCGAACAGATGCAAGTCGTGGAGAGGTCGATCTTTGAGGAACCACGACCATTGCGACTGACTTATTGCAACTGAGACAGGAAGCATAAAGGCCGCTTTTGCTAGTGTTGTAAAGAAGGCGAGGAAAGTATTGAGCGTGATATTCAGCGGCCAGTCCGGTAAAGGTTGCTGGTCATAGCTGCAGAGGACCGCAACGATCACTGGAAGAGTCGAATTATTAGTGCCAAGTTCTCAAAGAGTCTTTTCAGGTCGCAACAGTATGAGTGGCATACGGAAGAAGGAGGATACGCTGAGAAAGATGCAAAACACCTCCCAGGCCCAAATTCGCCATAGCGGCTTCACTGTGGAAGGTTCACATTCTGTTTTGCTGGCTTTTTCGTAACTCGAATTATCTCGTACTAGACGTTGATAGCCCTCACTATCTAGGGAAAACGTTGATGTCGAGACTGGCTTTCTGTTGATCGAGATGTTCACAGCAGGCGTGCCAGATTTTGACCTCACCTTGGAAGTCTGGTCGTCTGGGAGGCCTGTAACGAAGGGGTTTCCCTCTATTTCGGTAAGAGAACATTTGGGCTGGAAATGTTCTCTTCTAGCCATTGCTGGGCGCATAGCACCACCGGGGCTCTCATGAGACACTGGTGTTTCTGGCGTACTGTGAGAAGCCTGGTGATTTAAGTTGGCCAATTTGGATGGAGCACATACCATGCCCCTGGTCAAGTTCGGTCGACCCTCGCCTCTCTCGCGAGATGAAATGTGGGAAAGCCTCTGCGGACACTGGTCTTGATAGCCGTCCGCGGAGTGCTTCTTCGGGACCAGGGTCCAGTCCACTTTCTGAAGGGTGGCTATATCTTTGACCGAACATGGTGGATCTAAAAGACTTTCTAGGTATTGAAGAAAAGTTTCAACTTACGACAAGCAACATGGTACGGTGGCACCAATTCAGGTCTTTAATGGAAGTGATCATTAGCTGACAACATACTTATCGTCGGGTGACGGATAGTCTGAGGGAAACTGAATCATGCACTGCAAACGGGTCTTCCCGTGGTCGCCAAGTACAACCTGCAGCACGTCAGGCCCCGACCCGTAAATGCATCTGCGATAGAGTGCCATTCGTTCTAAACTCCCACCAACCAACTTTGTAACCAACTACTCCACCGCGAAATTCAAGGTCGGACTGCATATGAGCAAGTACAAAATGGAAGGCGATTAATGCAGGCTGCCATGGCATGGACAAAAATAACAAGGGAGAACATATGGACGAAGGAAGGTCGTTGGTTGTTGGCCGTGGCCAAGCATTAAGTTCGGACTGAGCTTCAGCTTCTGACCGGACGATGCAGGCAGAGCTCAGCTTACCTGCCCGTATCGGGGCATGGAGCTGAAGTCAGACGCGGGACTGACGAGCGGAAAGAAATGGTATAGACATAGAATTGCTGAGAAATCAATTGAAAAAGTAATGGTCAGGCTAGAATGCTCTTCCTTATATTGTTTCTGTGCCGTCTCTTCACATTCTAGAGTACTCCATGTCAGTAGGCGTGTAAGGTATCTAGATGTAAGTCAAATGAACCAAGACCAGAGGAAAACTTCACAGCAACTCGCCTGCTCGCAATTTGCAAAGTCTCATTTTGTTCCCTCTTTGACAGCTTGAACGTCTTCGTCTGTGGACCGGCTATCAGACGGCAAGATTGCCAATCAGCACTGCTGCGTGCCAATGTCACAGCCCCACGTGATGCCACCCTCTCGTGCAGATAATATGCAGTCATCGAACCAGCGAGCGGGGTATTGAGTCTAAAAATTGTCGATTTGCAACATCCATTCCCTGTTTCCGGGGCCTCCAACAACCAGCCAGCGAAGATTTTCGGAGGTGGTTTTTCCAACTCAGACAGGCTTGTCCGGAACTGCCGAACTTGGCTATTTTATTGTCAGTCTTTCTTCTGGTGAGGCATCTCGTACCAGCAAGATCATGCCATCGATGAGGCAGCGGCTTCTGCCAGGATGGATCTACAAGACGGGAAAATGCCCAATATGCCTGTCTTTCTTCTCCACTACATGGATCTACCTCCGCGTCAACTCCATCCACACTGCCCAAGCTGGCAACGTCAAATACAGCCGGCTTGGGCTTCTTGAATTGGGCAGGCGCAGATATCTGCACGGTGCAAGTGAGGTCACATACTCAGACGAAGTGGTAGAATCTTGTTTCAAGTCGGGAAGAAGCGAAAAGATAGAATTGGTATAAAGATCGAGGACATGAACAAGCCGCTCTTCCCAATGTTGAAATCCATACTCGCCAGCGTTGTCTTCTCATTTGGAGTCTTTTGACCTCGAAAACTCATATGTCCGCTCAAATCGCAAACGGCACCACTGCCATAAAGTTAGTGTCACTATCCACGTACTCATTAACACTCAAAAGGGGCATCTGCAACATACGTCGCCGCAAGAGATCGGCTCATATTTGGGCGGATTCTTCTCATCCGTGCACGTGGGAAGCACGGAGCACTGTTCGTTGTGGTTGAATCCAAAGAAGAAGGGCATGGAATACCGGTCTTCGGGGGCGTAGTTGAAGACCCGGTGCACCGTCGACTTGAACCGGTCGTTGGATAAGCGCTGCAAAAAGTCGCCAATATTGATGACGAAGGTGTCGGGGACGGGCGGCACCTTGATCCACTGCCCGTCTTTTGTGAGCACCTGCAACCCGCCGACGCTGTCTTGCCAAAGAAGGGTGAAGCACTGCAGGTCAGTATGGGCGCCCAGGCCGACGTCGATCGTGGCGTCTTGCGCTTCCGTGTTCTTTGGGTAGTAGTTGCAGACGCTATCACTGTGGAATCGTCAGCCTGCTCGGGCATCCCGTTCCCATGAAATAGACCGTCTTGAACCCATACCTGCCAGGATACGTAACGACATCGTCAAAGTAGTTTTCTGGCACATCCAAAGCCAGTGCAAAGGCCCGGATCAAGCTCCTTGCGAGCGTCAGACAGCCCTGCCAATACGTAATCATATCCTCCTTGAACCCCGACAGATGGCTCGTCCCTTCCCACACAAACTCCTCATGCTTCATCCACGGCTTCACCTCCTCCGGCACGGCATCCGGGTCCTTGGTCTCGGGGTCATACCGCGGATCATACCGGAAACTAAAACCCTCGCGGTGGTCCTTGGTCTCCGTCGGCGAGATCTGCGCAGCGCGCTTCTCGGTCCACCCGTTGAAGAATCTGGACTTCTTCTGCGTCACCAGAGCCTTTTGCTCGTTGGTCTGCGAAAAGAAGGCCTGCGCCTGCGTGAAGGCCGCGTCTATGGTGGCCTTGGGGATGCCATGGTTCTTAATGTAGAAGAAGCCCGTGTTCTCGGCCGCGTCGCGGATGGTGGCGGCGAGGGCTTTGCGCTCGGCCTCTGTGCCGCGGATATTGGAGAGGTCGATGACGGGGACCTCGGAGGCGTTGCAGTCTCGGGGCGGGGTCTTGAGAACGTCACGGTAGACGGGGCCGTAGGCGGACATGAGCTCGAGCTTGTAGCTCTCTGGGGCGGTTGTCGTTACCGTGGTAGTCATGGTTACGGACTTTGCTGATGAGATTCGGCCAAGTTGTCGAGCTGAGCTATTTGAGTACGCACACTGAACAATCCAACAGTCTTTAAGCTCTTGAGTCAAGTTTGAGATCACCTTTTGAGGTCAAGATGTATCTCTGTAACGATCGACACAACTGCGGATAGGTATTCTTGCATACTAATCAAGCGTCGCGTCAAGGCCGACTAAAGCCTCCGGGTGAACAGAGTGCTCCGATGGAATGAATCCGACCTTGTCCGGTAGTCAATGTGTCGTCCGCCGGTCTTCGCCGGACATCGTCTGGGTTTGAACGAGGACAAATGGTACGATAGCCAAAGATAATGGCGTGCGACGCGGTTCGCTGGAGACAAACCGGCCGTGCCCGCCAGCAGGCCCAGGCCCAGCAGTAAGCACCCAGGGCCCAGGGGCCAGCACGGCCCTTATCGCTCTCGGGGAAATTGGGCCGACAACGGACCGTGTGGGGTACGGGGTCGATCCCCGTCTTCGGAGCCACAGGGGTTGGTTCTTTCCCGGGGGCGTCTCTTCTCCCCGGTTGATTTCTGGCATATCCGTACACGATGCCGATCTACTGCTTCGCATGAACTGAGAGCTTTTGGTAAAAATCAACCTGGCTGTCAGGGTTTATAAGTGGAATACAGCTATATATGGGGCTGCTTTCATTCGTTGATATCAAATACAACGTTAGATGTCTTTTCTGTGGTAGGTTGCACACTGCAGTCGGCCATCAAGACTCGTCAGCACCCCTGCAGCGCTTATCTCCCCCACATGAACCGCATGACTCCGGTATCTTGAAGGATATCTTGGGTTATCAGCATGCAGCAGCCGATCGCGCCTCTGTAGCCGATATGATTACCATTCTGTCGGGTGTAGTTTGGTATAAGTCTCTGTCAAGGGAACACATAGAGCTCCCCTGAGTTTCTATCGTTTGCTGCCAAACAACTTTCAACGGGTGGGTGGGCATTGCTTCTTGAACGGCCATCATCACAGTTGAGCATTCACCGGCCCCCGAGATCAAAGCGTGCCGCAACGGCACTCTTCCACGCAAAAAATGGGCCTCCTAAACCGCCTCCGCGTCCCCGCCGCCGCCGGCACCTCCGAGATGCACGGCCGCGATGCCCTCCTCAACAACGACGACCTCCGCCCTCTCAAGCTCGCCGACCGCACATGGAGCCAATGGACCTACTTCACCTTCTGGTTCTCCGCCACCGCCACTGTTTCCAACTGGTACGCCTCCTCCACCGCCCAGGCTCTCGGCCTGTCCATGTGGGAGTCCCTCGCGTGCGCCTTTGGCGGCCAGTGCCTCATTGCCCTCATCATCACCCTGAATGGACGCGCAGGCAGCTGCTACCACGTTGGCTACCCGGTCGTTTGCCGCGCTGCGTTCGGCATCTACGGCGCATGGTGGCCGACCTTCAACCGCGCCGTCATGGCTATTGTCTGGAACGGCGTGAACGCGGTGCAAGGCGGACAGTGCATCTATGTCATGCTGCACGCCATCATCCCCGGAATCGCAAACATCCCCAACACCATGGGTGAGGGTTCGGCCCTTACAACGTCGGGGATGATTGGCTTCGTCATCTTTTGGCTCATCACCTGCGCCTTCCTCGTCATCCCCGTCCCCAAGATGCGCGGGCTCGTCTACGCGAAGCTGTGCGTCTTCATCATCTCCGCCGTGGCCATGCTCGCGTGGACAGCCACAAAGGCAGGCGGCCTCGGTCCCGTCGTCCGCCAGGGCGGTACCGCGACGGGGTCCAAGAGGGCGTGGCTCATTGTGCAGTTCTTCATGCTCGGCGCGGCCAACTGTGCCACCTTTGCGAGCAACGCCGCGGATTTCCAGCGGTATGCCAAGAAGAAGAACGATGTCATTGTCGGAAACCTCTTTTGTTTCCCCATCGCAAACTTCATTGTGGCGGCGGTGGGGAATCTGGTCTGCGCTTCGAGCGAGTTGATCTTTGGCGAGTTGATTTGGAATCCGGTCACGCTGTTGGATAACCTTCAGACGGCAGAGTACACGGCGGCTAACCGAGCGGGGTGCTTTTTCATCGCCGGCTGCTTCGCATACTGCTGCATCTTCAGTTCCATCTTTGAGAACTCTTTGCCCGCCGGTAACGATATTGCGGCGTTGTTCCCCAAGTACCTCACAGTCCGAAGGGGTTTCTTCGTCTGTGCCGTCATATCGTTCGCCATCAACCCCTGGTTCCTCCTGGTAAGTCATGTCATAGCCCCTGAGCCACCCAGAGTCCTCGACCTACACAAGTGAAGAGATTGCTAACAAGCGCCAGGGCTCCGCCTCTGTCTTCGTGTCCTTCCTCTCATCCTATCAAATCTTCCTCTCTGCCATTACGGGTGTCCTGCTGGTGAACTACTACATCATCGGCCGCGGCCGCATCAGTATCCCGGACTGTTTTACGTCCATGAAGTCGGGGGCTTACCATTACTCCCATGGCTGGAACATCCGCGCTTATGTCGCTTACATTGTTGGCATCATCCCCAACTTTTACGGTTTCCTCAACAACATGGGCGTTTCGGCTCCCATCGGCGTTACTAGGTTCTACTTCTTTGCGTATTGGGTCGGGCTCTTCCTATCCGGCTTCACCTTTTGGATTTCCTGCAAGATTTGGCCACCCCCCATCATGGAAGATGGATGGATTGAGCCCAAGGATTATGTAAGGCCCGAAGAGCTGGAAAATGAAGGGCAGATTATTGAGGCAGTCGATATGCCTCAAGGCGTTGACGTGGTGGACAGTGAAAAAGGTCCTAGAGAAAAGTTAGCGAAGGTATGATGAGCTGGGAAATGAAACCGCCGAGTGTAACGCGACGCAGGGGAAAGATCCGACAAAATAATGCTAGTACGAAGATCGATGAGATCCCGAAAAGAGCGCAAGATATATGCTGATAGTAAGCTATCTCCTAAAGCTTAGCAAGAACACGCCATCCAAGTGGGTGACGATACGTAAACATATTATAGCCCTACAGCTTTCCAAGTTCTCAGCGTATTTCATATGTCAAGTAAAGAGGTACGATACATGGCAGGTGCCCTCCCCACACAAGATTTCGACAGGAAGTTGAAATAAAAAGCAACCTGATAGTGCTAACGGCTGCCCGGCAAAGCATCCCGACTATCGACTACCAGGTATATTGGGCGAAGGTAACATTTCTTCGATATTGCTTAATAATCCTAGAAGTCACAGAGTTGTAATTCCGGTCGATAGCTGAGCAGAGCACCAAGACCAGGGGCAATGACACCGAAATCGTGGATGCTAGTATGGATTTGTACAAGATATTCTACACTCAACATGACCCCCAGGACATTCACGCCTCAGTCAGGTAGCCATGATACACTCGTCCCAATCCGCCTACTCTCACACGCACGTCCACCCCCCTGTCCTAAAGAATGCCCCCAAGCAAGACGCAAGACATCGATTACCGCTTCTTGTTCGTCTTGGCCGCCTTGGCCGCCACCCTCTGCGCCTTCTGCTTCTGCTTCTTGTTCTTGGCCAGGACGGCGGCATTCTTCTGATCCTGCAGCCTCTTGGACGCCGCAATCGTCCACTCGTCCACCTCCATCGCCGCGAACTTGGCCTGCGCCGCCCTCTGTCCCGCCAAGTTGCGCTCCTTGGCGTATCGCCGCTGCCTCATCTTGGCCTTGCGGCTCATGCCACCAATGTTCAACTTGACCAGTCGACCAATGCGCCAGTTGTCCTCGCGGTAAGAGTAATCGTCCCGCAGCTTCAGCACCCTCGCGGGCTGCGTCGGCGCGCCCTTGGCCGTCCGGGGCGCGGGGCGCAGAATCTGCGTCGGGATGCCAGAAGCCGAGATGGCGGGCGTCTCGACGGGCTTGAAGATGGTGTGCGCCGACATGTTGAGCTTGCGCTTGCGCTCGGCGTGCGTCGGGTAAGGGAGGACGTCGTCCTTGTTGAAGACTACGCCAATGTATTTCCGGTCCGGGTGGCGCGCGGGATCGCGGTAGTATTTGACGTAGCCCGTGGCCATGGCGTGGATCGTATGGTCGCGGCCCATGATGCAGTTCTCGCCGGGCCACCAGAGGGTGCCGCGCTGCTTGTAGATGATGTTGCCGGGGATGACATACTGGTCTGTCGTGGTGGGAGAAGCAAGCTGTTAGCACGAAGCTCTTGGACGACGGTCAAGCTTATGGAGCTCTCCAATGGGTCAAGCCCCAGATGTATGAGAGAGACATAATAAACGTACCACCAGTGCGCTTCGCTCCCAGCTTCTTCGGTATCGTCCTCTTGGGTGCAAGCTTGTAGGCACCCTGCGACTTGACGGAGGCATATCGTCGTCCGGCCACGAGGGCGTTGGCGGCATCGGCCCGCAGCAGCTGAGCGGCGGCCGAGGTGGAGGACTGGAGCGGTGCGGTCGTCCGCAGGAGACCGGCGGCAGCGGCCCTCAGGGGCTGCTGCAATTGAAATAAACGCATGAGGTGTGCTTTGTGGACGAGTTGCCCCTACGTCGTCAATGGCAACTGGGCATTGCCTTTTCGCCAGTTGAAGCTTTGCGTGCACAAGGGAGATAGATGGGCTGAGAGTATTTTTCCGGCTGAGTCAGCGTGTCGCGATAGCGATAAGGATCTTGGGGGCGGGTCTGAGGTACCTAAGTGAAGGTGGTCTTTTGGACAGCTGGGCGCAATGGCGCAGACCCGTTGCAGCGACATTGAGCAAGACGACGAGCGAGCACCTTTGAGGGATCACGGCGACAAGAGCGACCTGCAGTGAAAAAAGTCTGCTCGTACTTCTACCGAACTATCCGACAGCTCAAATCAAACGATATGCGCTTCTTCGCCTCCCTCCCGCTGGTCCTCCTGACCCTGATCAGCTCCGCCCAGGCCCAGTTTGGCTTCTTCGACCAGATGTTCGGCGGCCAGCAGCAGCAACAGCAACCTCAAAACGTCCCGAGCGACCCGTCGCAATACCAGCAACGATATGACGGCTGTAAGCTTTCTGTGTTACATCTCCCTGGCTTGTACATGCACGAGATCTCTAACCATTGTAGCCTACTGCGAACACTTCCTCTGCCCCGACACCCTCGCCTGCGTCCACTTCCCCCACCACTGCCCTTGCCCCTGGCCCGCGAACCAGGACAAGTTTGAGCTCACAGACGGCAACCGAGTCTGTGTTTCGAGGGGCGGTTTTGCAGCAGGCGAGGCTGCGAGGAAGATTGAGTTGGCGCGCAAGGGTCTTTTGTGAGGAATCAGTTGGAAAGGGCAGCAGAATAGACGGGCACTACAAGACGCACATACACCAAGATTCTTTCCCGGAACTTGACGGTTTTCTTTTCACATGGGCCACAAGATTATGGATATCATGAGACCCAAAAAGCAGATAGGACAATTCAGACTCTATTGAAAGTGCCAGGTTCTGGCCGAAGCAAAAAGCCTACTTAGTCGTGCTGAAAAACTTCTTCCTTCTTCCGACGGCAAAGGTGCCAACGTTGAGCAGGAAGCAGGCTGCTGCAATGACTGCGAAACACGACGATTACAGACACGAAGGCCCCGGAACGCCGCTAAAATCCCCATCCGTGATATCCACCCAGAACTCCTTCGTGTGCCACGCCGTTGCCGGATGCTAATCTCCATCTCGACCCCAAAAAGCGTCAGCAGTGCGTGAAAATGCTCGTAATGCGTCTCCTGTGTCGTCCTCCTTGGTACGGCGTGCGGACTGAATGTGACTTCAGGCAGCCGCCGCCGCCGCTCAGGCCTGGCCGTTGGTGGCCTCGCTCGGCCGGGGAAGAGCAGGGACAGGAGGCGGCCGGGCGGCCCTGTCTTCGTCGTCTTCCTCCTCTTCGGCCAGTTCTTCGGGGTGGCCCAACAAGTGGGCCACATCCTTCATTTCGTAGTGCTTCTTGCGCAACTCCTCAAAACGACGGTGCTTTTCCCGCTCCTCGGGCGAAAGGCCGGCCAACTCGTCATCGTCGCCATGAGCGCTGGCGCTGTCGTCGACGTGGACGGCCTTGAGGGCCTTTTCCTTGGACGACTCGCTTTCCGGGACCGCCTCTTCCGGCTCGCCAAGCGACATGATAGGGATATCATCCTCCACGCCAGGACCAGCGCGAGCCGTGCGAGGCTTCCTCTCAATGTTTGGGTCCTCCGACATTTCCTCGTCGTCCGAGGGGTCTTCGGTGGGGTCGTAGTGCTTCGCATAGGGAGTCTTGGGCTCATCAATCTTCATGGTCGACGTGCGCTCCTGCTCGGTCAGGTAGAGATTGGCCTCGTCCCACTTGAGGCGCTGGGACGACTCCAGATCTTGCTCTTCGTCGCCCTGCTGGGAGGGTGTTCGGCTGGATTGGCGGCGAGAGCCCGAGGGGCGGGCAGCGGAAGACGAACGGCGGTGGCCAGCGTTGTATTGGGTGTTGACGAGAGTAAGCTCCTTCTCGGTGAGGTCGGCTTCACCGGGTGAGGTCGGGGGAGATTTTTGGTACGAGTTCTTGAGAATGCCTGCAATGAATTGTGGTCAGTCAAGGCGAGCTTCTTGGCGAATGCTGGCGTGCAAAGTTACTCACCTCTTGGCCGCTTGGGATGGGGACCAGGAGGGGAATGCGTGGGAGGGCTGCGTTCGACGATGGCGGCCATTTTGAAGGTTTTTGCGACGACGGACTAAGGTAGTGTGAACTGGTGGAATTTGGTAAAGCAGAGGTAAAAGTCGTGATATCCAGTCTCGTGAGATGTGTCGGTCAGGTCGAGGTTTTAGTTGGCTTCGGATCAGTTTGGTTGTTAGGTGGTAGAGGAAGAGATTAGCGGGGTTTGGGAAATCTGGTGACGAAAGGCGGTGGTTTTGTGCTGAGGTGCAGGTGCAGGCTTGCAGCTGGGTCCTGAGGATGACGGGGTGGTGGACTGGTGGTTCGTGACCTGCAGGGTGCGGGTGCGGGTGCGCCGACCAGGGGTGGGCTGAGCTGGGCTGCTGAGTTGGGCTTGCTGGGGGCGGTTTGGACGTCCCTCTTTTTTCGCCCTTTTTTCTTTTTTTGGGTTGGACGATAGAAGGGGTTCGGTATGTTTGTGAAACAGGGAGACTTTGTATTTGGACGAAGATTGTCGGGATGTGTTTGAAGAATATGTCGAGGTTGTCGGGACAATCAGGGTATGAAGGGTTCGGAAAGAAAGGAAGAAGGAAAGTGAAAGTGGTCGTGAGACTGCAAGGCGATGAATTGATAGAGGCGTGATGAGGGACTTTCTTCCCTGTCAGGAATGGAATGTCAGGCAAATGACGGCGGTGTGGTGGGCAGGTGAGCAGATGCTGCCTTTTGAAGGTTGCCATCTTGTCTTATACCACGGGGCAATGGGCAATGGCAGATGCAGCTCTCGCCCCTCATTGGCACATGGAAGTCTGGACTCGGGACCAGGTGGCAGATGCAGTACGGATACCTCCGTACAGAGCACAGCTCTCATCATCTCACGAGCGGGGTGGGTTGGGTCCAGTCTGCCATCTCGGGCTCTATTCTCGAATACACAGCAACATCACACCTCTCACCCCTCATTGGCACATGGAAGTCTGGCTTGCCTGCAGACAAAGATAGTGGTCGTGTGAGTGGTGTGTGTGTGTGCGGTATGCGGGGATGAGAGGGAGGCTGGGGTGGCCATGGATGAGAAAGGTACGGAAACTCACTACTCAGTGCGTCTCAGTCACCTTTTTTCAGGGTCGCTACGGTCCCACTCACTCACTTGCTTTTGGGGGCTGCTCACGGGCTCACGCACTAAAGGGCCGCCGCCGCGTCTTCCGCGTCTGTCGCTTCCAAGAAAGCGATGATGGATAATTGACGTCGGGTCTCCCTGCAGCCGTAGTTGGCTTTGAAAGGTCTCGTACCTAAGCGACCAAGGCAAGGCACAGTCAGGAAAGGCAGGGCATGTAAGACACATCAGACCTCTGCTGCGCTGCGTGAGGTGCCGCGCAAGAGACTTGCACTGCAGAGGTGAGTGCCTTATCCGCGCCTTATGCGTATCTTCATGCTTGTTTCGACTACATTAGCCCGTCGCGGGGTTGGGCTTGCTCAGGTGTTTTTGGGCTGGGAGCTGCAGTGAAAAAAAAGGCCACCATGCGTCGGGAAACCGCGAGTGGTGGAAATGCCGGAGCTCTGAAGAGCTGGAGGCCCGGATCGGACATCAAAGGTATCGAGTACCCTCACAATGATAAGGCAGCCGCGCTGGTCACTGATTCCTGAGATTCTATCCGTTAGGTACACTAGGTAGTCTTTCTCCATGTGGAAGTGGCAGCAGGTGTGGACCCCGACCCCTGGGTCGCTGCTCCGCCGTTGGTTGGTGCTTGCCGTGAAGACAATTGGGTCTGTGCATGGGATCGCGATCGGCCGCAGCCAGGTGCCAAAGACACGGAAGGAAGAGGCGATGAGCGGCTTCCCGCTGCTGCCTCGTGCACCGCCCACAAGTGTCCTATTTACAGATCCCTACGGATACTCACTCGCACATATCGTGGAAGTCACTTCAGCCACTTCTCCCCCTTTGTTTTTTTGATTTCTTTACTCGACGAACTGTAACTCACATCACATCCACCGTCACTCTCTCATACCAAGTGGGAACAATCCAATCATCGTTTTCTTCTGCGACTCGTGTCACGGCAGTGGAAACCAAGTCACTTCGCAACATGTCCCCTTTCCTCCAGCCTCCAAACTCACTCCGCTGCTGAAGAGACCATCTTGTCGTACCAACCCCCCTTCACCCTCTAGGCCTCTCTACGTGCTCTCCATGACTTTACACTAGGCCTCCCCACCATCGTGACGACGTCATTCGACATGCATCACCCCTCGTCAACACAAAGCATCACCCACTAACCACCTCACCACTCTTCGCGAAGACTTAATTTCCCTTCCCTCGTCCTTGCGCTTTCCCCTCACTTCACTCTACTTAAAGCAAACCGCGGCTGTCATCCCATACAGTGACCTCATGCTGCATATCACAAACAGACCAACGACCAATGCCACTTACCCAAACTCGCCATTGAAATCCCCAGAGTTCATGCGCTTCAGCTCAGACCAAGGTCCTTAGCTCGGTATTATCGTATATCCTCAGGCTCGCGCTCCTCCGCGCAGTTCTGCAATGAAGCTAATCCGTCCTTCCACCCGTCATCAAATGGCCCCGACGCGGTCCATCAATAAACTCTCGTCGCGTGGCAGCGTCATTCCAGAATCCGGGGTGCATCGCTTCCAAGGCTCGTGCTCCTCTCCTTACTGTCTAATCGCACAGAACGCTGCCCGTTTTGTTCTCCAGCGTTGGAGCCAGCCCATCTCACAAGTGCCGATCCCCCTATCCGAATGTGAGAGTTCCACTAACTCTCTCCTTTCCGGCGTCCCAACTTTTGGCTCGCATTCATTCGTCAACGTTGTACCTATCTCTACGAAACGGCGGCCCCCCTCAACACATCGTTGCTTTGACCTCCGATGAACAAACCCTAAATATTCCGCATCCAGACGGCCCGGTCTCGGCCGCCGGTGAATTTTCTCTTCCGGCCTTCTCCCTCGGGTTTTATCCCTCCAAATCCTCCGGTGCCCACCACCTTAATAGTTTTCCGGGCCTTTGTTGCTGTGGATATTCCCTGGAATGATACAATGCTCCTCCAAACATGGGATGAACACAAACAAACAAAGCGTTTACTGTAGGTTATTTGTTTCGCTTTCCGCCTGCGAGTCTCAGAATTCCTTCGAGAAAACATGTGTATCATCATGTCATGTGCAGTCTCTGAGGCTCACCCCCGTCAAAGATGAGATTGCACCAAATAATGAGGAAGCAGCACGACTGGGGGTGTAACCACCCTTTGCCTTTCAGAAGACCCTTCAACAGACAGTACACACAGCACAGGCACCCAGAATTCGATCTGCACAGCCCTATACCTGTCGCGCGAGACAACGGGAGTATTGGTTTACGGCCAGTGGCTATGCCCGTTCATGCAAATTTGCTCTCATCATCAAGCTGTACGATCCTCACCTCACACCGATGAAGATTCGTTGCTCAAAACTACTCTTTAGTTGATACAGCCTTTACGGTGACCGTCAAGGGGTCTCCTCCTGCCTTGGCCTGGCGAATCATGGCTTGGAATTGGCCCTCGTTGGCCAAGTCCTTCATTACAATCTCCCTGGTCCTCTGGAGACCCTCCAACTCATCCAGTCTCTCCAAGGTGGCCTCAAGAAGCTCGTCGAAGCCCTCTTGAGAGCAGATTTCCCGAAAGGCATTATGCATCGGGACAGAATCTGCTCGAACCATGGAGTTGGAATCGATCGAGAAGATGTTAAAGTGGTCATGCTTCTGAATGAAATCGGCCCTCGTCATAAGTTGCCTCGCCTCGTGGAGGGGCATCTCCGGGAGCTTGCCGGCCAGAACATCCTCTTGCTTCATACCCTTCTCCTTCTCGATCAACGCCTTGGCTAGCAAGAACGCCGTAGTGGCGTGGTCTTGTTGATCCTCGGCGTCCGGATCCATGTCGCCGCCCAAGATCCAGCACTGGCCCAAGAGCCAACGCTTCTCCCTGTCGCAGATGAACTTGCAAGTCGCGAGCATGTCTTTTGATCTGGCGACGTGGTCCAGGAACCGGACGCGTCCGCCAACCATCTTGTAGACTTGATCCAGGAGATCGCTGGACACATCTTCTTTGAAGACCTTTTGCCGGAATCCTTTCAGAGCTTCGAGAGCAGGCTCGCGGGGCACGTCGCGGACATCAGTCACGGATATCCGCGTCGCTTGCCATTTGAGGTGCTCAGTAGTACTGTGGTCGTCGCTCGTGAAAACTACCGTGACGAGGCGACTTGCCGCCCACATTTCTGCCCGCTGCTGGATCAGCTCGAGTAGTTCGCGTCCATCATCGTCGTCTCGGAGGACGTGAACGCGATTGATGATCAAGACCAGCGGCTTCCGGATATGTCTTTGCCGCATCAGGGCCACCTTCTCCATCTTGTTGAAGGCTCTTTCGATGTCGAGGATGGCGGTGGAATCACGAGGGCCCTTGAAGCTGAACAAGCTCCCGATATAGTCCTCGTGGAACTCAAAGTCGAGGGCCTTCCCCAGGCGGAGACGAAAGACCTCGAGATCGCTATGGGCTTCCAGCATGGCAATCCCTGAGCCGTTGACCCTGCGCATCGCCTTCAGAATCATTGAGCTCTTCCCGGTTCCCTTTTCTCCCGTGATCAAGTGGTATTGGCCTCGAATACTCCCGTCGATGATGCCATCAATGTGCTCTTGCTCTGCTCGGGGGATCCACTCATTTTCACCCTCCAGACCCGTGAAATCATCAAGGGCATGAAGCTTGTGAGGAGCCACGTGACGTCCAAGAGCTGTCAACTCCGGCGTTGAGAAGCCGACGCCAAAAGCATTATCCATCTTTCGCAGGACCAGGTCTTTGTAGTAGGCGTGATAGGAGTACCCTGCCAGACCGAGGACAGCGATGGAGCCAAAGGCCGTAGCGCTGCCCTCGATGACTCTCCAAAAGGTAGGTTTCCAGCCATGGCTTGGCTCTTCAGGTTCATTCTTTTCGTGACGTTCCTTGCCGTGAGAGGACCCGGAATTCGAGCCTTGTTGCTCCACGACAATGAAGCGGGTCCGAGTATGGACTCTGCTAGTAGCCTCATAGGCCTAAGCGTCGTTGAAAGGCATGAGATCAGTTTGATGATATGTATAACAGCATTGGTCCATGATCTTACCCTCCATTGTTTCGAGAGAAGGTAGCGTCTAGCCATTCGCCTTTTGCTGTCGTATCCCGGGCTGGAACAGCGGGCTCACGCGTTGTCACGCGGAGATGCCACCGATGAGCTTGGCACTAGCAACGGTGCCTGTTCCGAGTGAACGCTTTCTGATTGTGGACCCCAAAATCACCTACGCGGTGAAATTTCCAGCGTTGAGACAGGTTCTAGTTCATCCAAAAAAGATTTGTAAATTTCTTGGCAAACCACGCGTGTTCCATGAAGGAATTTGAGGATCACTGGCAAGATACCCGTTTGTGTTGTCGAAAGAGACAGAAACCGCAGAGGCACGGTGACTGGTCCGTCCTTGTCCAAGGGTGCCAGACAAGTAGGGAAATGTAGAGCCTTAACTGCCATCGGTTTGTTATCCGCTGTGGAGAGATAGGGGATACTTCTTGGTGGACTCACCCGACAAGCCAAGTAATTACAGGGGGGATTCTGCAGTAAGCGAGGATCCATAGAACTTCACCATGAATGAACAAAGAGCTGCGGGCAAGATATATCCACCTCTGACTGATTCGAACTAACACTCGATTCTAGTCTTGGCTCGTCACCTCGACTGTCTCAAGGCAGTTAAATTTCGCTCCCAGACAGCGCGTCTTCTTTTACATAAGTTCGTCTTAGAATGAAATCCCGAAAGCAGGAGCTTGGAGTAGGCTACGGGTTAAAACATCCAGTTGCCGCTTCCGATTTCTCTAACACGTCTTATGACATTGTGATCCAGTGCTTAACCGGGGTAACTTGGCCACTCGTACGCTGTCAGTAAGTTTCGACATAGAATCACTTGTAACTATGTCTCAATCATTACAGCTTCCTTTGGATTTAATATCGACTACTGAACATCTAGAATGCTATTTTCTGCGTTCTATGTCGCCTATTGTAATACCTCTTCATCGTCCTCCTCATTCCCTTATCCCATTCCGCAAGAAAATCACTCCGATACTGAGCAGGACGACAATCAATGCACCATGCCTTGGGTGGGGAGAAATTGGATGACTACATCCTAAAAAATTATGCTAGGCTGCGGCTGGTCCCCGATTACATCAACGCTTCTGCTTCTGCTTCAACAGTTGTTGCTGCGATCAAGGTAGCGTCAATATTCAACATTTGTCGTCGTAAGGAACAGCCATTGAAGAAAATTGCCCGAGATGAACACTGGTTCCAAGCACCTTTTGCTTCTCGATTGCAGATCATCACATGTCTTATAATATGTCTCGGGGGGGCGATGCCCAAAACATTGACATTTCAAAGGCCTGCTCCGTGCGAATACAGAATGTCCATTTATGAGCATGCAGAGGCACCAATATGTTGAAGAATTCCCCAGTGGAAAATGGCTCCCGCCTCAAAACTTCCCCTAGCTCCCGGGGTTGACGTTGGTCCGTGGATGTGGCATGTCGTTGGTTATAACGCGAAACTCGGCTGGACCGCAGAGGACGCGATAACGTCTGCATTGCAAACATCCACGTTTTGATATTTCTGGCTCATCACCCGAGAAAATTGGATGGAGAGGAGCTGGAAACGCCACAAAGGGAACTGCCGACGTGTTGCTGCCCACAACCCGCCCCACATGGCATTATGCTTGATTTCATCTTTAACCCTGGCTTAATTACCCCTTAAAGAGGTCTGAACCATTCGAAGAGGAAGGGAACTTGATGAGGTCTATGTGGTCAGCCGGCACTTCCCCGCAAAGTAGCAGCGTCTCACTAAGATCTGCCCCCCGCCGCCAAAGCTCCGACACACTGGGGCTTGGCATCCCGCTACAGTCCTATGTCCCTCTGGTCGACGGTGCAAGTTGATGAGGAAACCCATGTGTTGGCCCGAAACCCGATGACTAGTCACTCGTACGTACGAAATTTCCGAAATATTGCTATTGTATTTCGCCCTGGTCCAGCGGTCTCGAGGCGTATGCGGCTATGCTTGACGACGTCTTCTGCCCTCCCTAGGATGGCGTACATAAAAATGTTGAGCCATGAAGATGTCAAACATTTCTTGGCTTTTCCTAGCTACCAAAAATCACTCTACGCTCCTCTCCTTCGATTCTTTAGTAGCGTGAGATGGACCTGCACCGATCTGTTGCCATCAGCAACCGTCGGGCTCTCGACGCATGTGCCGGCTCGGCTACCGAACTCGGCTTCAAACAACGTGCTATACAGCGTCGCGAGGCCAAACTGATGGAGCTCCGTGAGAAGAGAGCCATATCCATGTCTGGTGAGTTTCCAAGGAGCAGCGCCGTCCCTCTAGGCTGCCAATTGATTTTGTAGCCCCGATCCGCCGCCGTAGCGATAATGACTTGAACACGTGGGCGGCAATTGACCACCAAGTCTTCCGAGGGATACACTCTCGACACCGAACCAGCCACTCTTTTTTGCCCAGAATACGACCTGTGTGGTCGTTCCCGAGACCACCATTGGTCCCTACTGGGTCGCCGGCGAGCTGATCCGGAGCGAATTGACCGACGGCCAGTTTGGCGTGCCTCTGCACCTTCATGTTCAACTCGTCGGTCTCCACTTGTGCGGTTGTGCCCGAGATCTTGATCAATGCGTGGCACTGCAATGCTACCGGCGTGTACTCTGGTGTCTCTGCTACCGGTCAGGGCGGGCTGAAGTCGACCTTCGGCCGCAGCGTTCAAGAGAACTGACGCCGACGGCGTTGTCCAGTTCGATACCATGTTCCAGGCCATCACACCAGCCGCGCCACTCACATCCAGGTCAAGACCACGGCTGGTGCCACTGTCCTGGACAACGACACAAACGTCGATGGCACGAAAAGCTACCTCGGCCAGCTCTTCTTCGACCAGACCCTCATCTCCGCCGTTGACGCTGTCGCCCCTTACAACACCAACCAGCAAGAGCTGACACTCAACTCTGATGATAACATCACCTTTGGTGAAGCGACTGAGGACTATGACCCGATTATATAGCATGTCCTGCTCCGTGATGACGTCTTTCAGGGTATTTATGCGCGTCAGCGCCGCTGAATCTGCGGGGGCGTATCGTAAGGCAAGCTCGTAGCTTTGTTGACTAGACAGTCTCGGTGACTACCGCTATGGGATCTTGAAAGGGTTGTTCTGAGCGTGGAACTGAAAATCGGAGTCATTCGTTTGTAATGGAGGTATTTTGGGTAACTTTTGTATCTACTTTGTTGGCAAGATTCGAGGAAAATACGACAGCGCATGGCGTCAATGAAGCCCGATACTCTCCTCGTTTGATTCACCAATCAAAGAAGTCGTGTTCTCGAGCTTCGAAGCATTCCAAAAGGTGCGTTGATTTGCGGTCATGAATCAAATATGCAAAAAGGCCTCACCTTTCCGCTTTTGAAATCCGAGGAAATCATTTTGAAGCACACGTATGGTCGGAAGGGGAGTTGTGAAGAACGACGATACCCGAGCTAGCGCTTTGCGTTGCACGCACCCAGCTAAATCTCCTTTTGAGAAATATCGGCGGGGAGGACGTTCAGCTATCGCGGTATTGGCGCACGAACTCGTGAAGTTGCACTAGAGAGTCATGTCCAACGTTTTGCATGTAAGCGGAGCTTTTGTCTCCTGATATGGCAACATGGATAAGCTTCCTGGCAATCCAGCATAACTCGCTATTATGCCGGATCGTGCCTACTCTTTCAAATGCGGCGGGGTCTATGCGGCCCCTGATCGTGTCCCACATGACTTCCCATCTGGAGATGGCACGTAGCAGGGCTGGTGCACACGCAGGTAAGACACCCATGAGAGTGGCCGAAGCCACCATGGCGTTGAGGGCTGTTGACCTGGTGTTAGCTGTTTCTGTTTTTGCATTCCTGAGTGATGGGGACTGAACATACCATAAATCAACAATTGTAGGTCGGATCCGTTGATGTCCTGAAATGGGAAACTTCCTATGCCGACCCAACTCTCGGCCATCAACGCGTCGGTGCATTGTTTGACAGAACAAATCCTCCTAGAACCATCGGCTCCGAGAGCGTTTGCCGCGTCATAATACTCTGCTGCATCTTTGGCGTCCCAAAGCTCCAAGGGGCTCGGCAGATCACACGTCAATTCTGCAGGCGTCATCGATGGCGGAGTATTGGACATGCCGCATTGCTGCCAGTCCCCCACCGCCGTCCAAATTGCCAGTCTACCTGGTCGTCAGCAATCAAACATCCAGCCACAGGGCGAAAAAGACTCACCTAATTTTCGACTCATTGCGGACGAACTCTTCATATTGAAATATGGGGGCATGTTTGGTTTGTGCCAGGCCAAGAACCCTTACGGCCGATACAAGCAGCGGAAGTCGCTGGGTCTTGTTCTTTCTCCGTGTCGCTACATCGTTTCTGAAGAACTGAAGCGAGTGAATCATAAGAGCTGCTTGCAAGGTCTCCCCGAGCTCATGGGTGAACTCGGGTGCAGAGCCTGGGGGCATCAAACGCTCTAGGCATCGAAAGATATACTCCTCGGCAAGACTGAGATACCCACGAGCTGCGAGGACATCGTCGCTCGGAGGTGACCTCAGAGATCCAGAGAGTCCAACAGCCAAGAGGAGTTGTTTGGTTGTATCGTCATTGCCAAAGTCTGGCCGATGAACGATGGGAAAGTCAAGATGACTGACTCGGAAGTAGGTTGCAGCAAATTGGCACAAGTTTCCTGCAGAGAGCACCGAGGTGGCAGTGTCGAGATCGAAGGTACCGTCATACCATTGGTTTGTGACGACCATAGTCTGATGAAGCTCTTGTAAGTCTGAGATGATTTCAGCTGACTGTAGTTCCAAGCTTTCTGGCACAAAAGGGGACACGGTCGCGTTGGAGAGTATGTTTTCTGACAAGACATTCAAGGCATTGAAGTCAATCAGCTCAGGGGCGAATGTTGACGGGAAGCCATAGGGGAGGAAGTTGAAATCATCATCGATTAGCATGTTTGGAGGATATTGCGTAGGCATGCCCTTCATGGTTGGATCGATCCCATCACCCTCGGTTCTCGCAGCTGCTTCGCTGGCGAGGAACTCCAGGATGTTTTCCGAATTTGGATTTGTCAGTCCGAGAAGGAAAGCAACCGTAATTTTGGTGCGGTCCTTGTCAGTATCGGGTGTGTCCACCGCCGTAGTGTCCAATGACGAAGATGGTGTGGAAGATGCATCTGTGATGACTGAAATGCTTTCCTCCAGCCGGTGATATGTGCATGGCAGTTTCCGAGAGACGCATCGGACGCAGGGATCAGATGTATCGCATGACTGCTTGCTGTGAAAACAGGCGTCGCATGCCTTGGGTTTCTGGCCGCGCTTGAGGTGTGGAACAGTTTCCCGGTCTTGTTTCTTGGGGCAGTGGATAGTGTGCTTACGGCATACATCTCTGACCATTTTAGTGGGATTTTCGGCATGGATGTGTGCAAGATGATACGAACCGTCTGGCGAATGCCTTCTCACAGTAGAGGCACTTGTACCTAGCCGATTCGATGTCTGCAAAATAGTGAGTCCTTGATTCAAACAAATCCCGAAGAAGGCAATCAGCCGCTAAAGTCCAGCTTGGGTTTGGTTGATATACAGGTCAAGTGTTGACTGGGGATAGACAGGGCGAATCCTGTCAGATACGTTGCTGAAACCCACTGACAGTACATTGACAAAGCTAAGTATCAATAGATGGGAGCAATCATCACTGACCGACGGGGACTCGTCCGAGATCGCCCGGGATAGAGAAGGCGGCAGGACTCAAAGGGGCGACATATGACATGCAAAAAGAAATGGCGGAAGGGTGAATGAGAACCAGGGGAAAAAAAGTTAGAACAAAGGGAGAAAATAAGAAGACTACGTACGTGTGGATTCGTGCCGGCGTAGATGAGCGCTTCTCTGATACTGCTTCCCGCAACTAGCACACGTGTGACCTCCGGTTGGAGGAGCGGCCATGGCAGTTCCGGCTGTCATCGGGCGGCGGTGTTTGGGAATCCCAGGGGAGATAATGGGCTTTTCCAATTGGGCTTAGGATTTTCAGTAAACCATCGCGTTGGTTGGCGTGGTTGGCGGTGGGCTTGGATGAACGACAGAGAAGGTGAAAATGGTGGGTTTAAGCCGATCAACGCGTTCGGAATGACGCTGACGCGGGATGGCACTGGCAGTGGCGGCGTGGGCGGGACCCGCCAATCCGCGACAGGGGCAATTGGGGACCGGAGTAGTCAGCGACCGGAGAAATCCCACCCCGGTGTGTCGGCAAACTCGGATGGATTTATTAGGCACTAACCCAATTGGGATGGAAGCTCTTGCTTGCATTGCCTGCCGAGGTGGGGCCGTAGTCGAATCATAATACGGAAGGTCTGGGCATAAGATAAAGGGAAAGAGGCTACTCCCCAACCTCATCAGGCATCATGGTCTTTTCTTGCTTCCTCGATTTCTTCTCAGCATCAAGACCATCCGTGCCACCCGAATACTCCCCGGATTAAGAATATCCGTCTATATTCATAGGGCCATTGCTAAATGCATGAGGGGAACGAACTCTGTTCATTAATACCATTATCTGCACCAGGGACAAGTTCAGATAACGTGCTTTAGAGTACAAAATGCAGACACTTTCTGGGAACCGAAGTCCCATGCATCAATGGGGGCTCCTATTGCAGTTCGAATCCCATATAAAATGTTTCTTCTTCCCGGTGCTAAAAGCTCCTCCCTTGACCTCCGAGGTCATTTGAAATAGACGGGACTGTGCTGCCTTCCGCCAACGAGCGCGGCGACCCGTTTGACTTCCTTCTGCACTGGTGATCTTTTACCATTCCGATGCTCTTTCTAAGCTAATACCAAGAAGAAAGTATTATACTATGTTCAGCCTTCGTGAGTCACCTAGCTCAACCACGTCCCCTTGGACCCTCACGGGGCTCTGTCGTCAAAGGACACCACCAGAGCCCATAAGCTTCACATTGGAACTCACCTTGTCCTTTTCCAGATCTTCTACGGTTCCATCCGTCGAGTTTCGCATCACAAACACGGGCTCGTGCCCTTCATCTTGCGTCTACATCATCCGTATCCAGACTTCAGCACCATCGCAAACCGAGCCATGTGAGGTCAAACTCCACAAGCCGTAGCGTCGTGCCACAAAACAATCTACCGTTTGAAAGCCGAATCATTGAACGTCCTTCCAGCGCCGTTGAATATGCTTTGTTAGTCCAGGATGCCATCATATCTCGCTCCCTCCGCGACAGACTAACACAACAATACAGAACCACGCTGGACAGCATTGTCAACTGGGCCCGCCAAGGCTCTTTCTGGCCCTTGTCGTTCGGCCTGGCCTGCTGCAGTGTGGAGATGATGCATGTGTCAATGCCGCGTTATGACCAGGATCGTCTCGGCATCATCTTCCGCGCTTCGCCTCGACAAGCTGATGTCATGATCGTGGCTGGAACGGTCACAAACAAGATGGCGCCTGCTCTTCGACAATGCTACGACCAGATGCCAGACCCGAAATGGGTAATCAGCATGGGAAGCTGTGCTAATGGGGGCGGCTATTATCACTACAGTTACTCCGTCGTGAGGGGAGTAGATCGAATCGTGCCTGTGGATATTTATGTACCGGGATGTCCACCAACGGCAGAGGCCTTACTGCATGGCGTTTTCCTTTTACAGGCAAAGCAGAGAAGGACGAAGATTACGAGGATGTGGTATAGAAAGTAGGCTTATGGGTAGCATAGTGCTCATTATTCCTAGGTGTAAATTTTCCCTATTTAAAACCCTCAGTCGCAACGTTTTGGCTTTTTGCTTTGGCCTATATGCCAAGTTCCAGCACCCAACATTGTGTCGTAATTAATTGACGTTGGACATCCCGAAACAGCTGCTTTAGCAGGCCAACGCAGAAACAAGAACAAATTGCCGTCAAGTAGCGAGGAAATGAAACTACGGTCTGTAGGAAATGAAGTCTGTAATTTCTTTTCCATAATGAACCAACGTGACTATTCTAACCTTTGACTGGCATGGGGTTAATGCTGAACAGGGAATTGGGGTTGTCATCCGCGGAGGAATCACCATGATGAGGCAAGGAAAGCATTTAGATGAACTAAGGTATCAAAGGGGGTAAAAGGCGGCTTGATCATGGGTCTTAAGATTGCCCGTTCTGCCGTCAGCTTACTTGTACTTGAGATGCCAAGGCGCTTCACACTTATCCCCTCACACCGCACCTTCAGCCAGTTGCCCGACAGGTTGCACATTCGAGCCCCTTGTCAGCGCGAAAATTTCCAGCTGCCTGATTAAGCCAAGACCAAAACTGATAGTGTACGAAAGTCGTGCTGCTTTGACTGCGCCGCTGCAATGCTTCTGGCAGTAGCCTCCTACCACAGCAGCGAGAGGCAAAGACCGCAATGCTTACTTTAATACAGCAGCATCGCGGTCAAGAACCTTCGCCTTGTCAGGTCTCAAAAGCCGCTGTTTCCTGCCCTCAATCGCGACGATGAAGGTTCAATATCCCTCGGCTCCAACGCTCTGCTTCTGGCTGTCGCTCGCACGTACCGTCCTCGGAGAGCCAATCCCTGCTCCTACGGGCGAGTACAACGTCGGTGCCGAGCGGTTTGTTGTTCCCTTCTTGGACGAGAAAGACGTCGTGTGGCCGAACGGTGTTTCGACCGAATATCTCGTCACGCTGTACTATCCCACTGCAGATGAGAAACCTTGCCCGAAGCCATACCTCGAGGCCGAGCTAACCGAGTTGTACGCCGATTTATGGACCTATAATGTCTCCCACCTAACATCGACGGTGCGGTGGAATGCCACTTATTTAGACGATGGAACGGGCCCCACGCTTCTCTTCGGCCCCGGTGGTTGGGGCCCGCCGACTGATGGTAACTACATTGTCATCTCTGACCTCGTCTCTCACGGTAAGCCCGCGACAATTAAAATTTTGTTGCTCACGCTGACCTTGCATCGGAGGATACGTCGTGGCTGCGTTTGATCACGTTTATGAGCAACCATTTGTGCGGTATCCCAACGGCACCGGCGTCTTTGGCCTCTCGCCGGCTTTCAGCAATTACACCCTTGACTGGGTAGAGAAGCTGCACGCCATCAGGATCAAGCAGCAGCTGCACTTTATTGATTACTTTCCCTCTCTGGTGGCTGAGCTCAAGGCACCATTCAAGTTCAATGACTTCGGCGCGTTTGGGGTGTCGCTCGGCGGCTCTGCTGCGCTTACCGTGGCACTGGAGAGCGATGCCGTGGCTGCCGCCATCAACGTAGACGGCACCAATTGGGGTCGATTGAACAGCACGTCCGACTCGGACCTGAGAAAGCCGTCGATGATTCTTAGCTTTCAGGGCCACAATGCAAATACGGACCGCACCTGGAACAACTACCGGACCTGGCAGACTGGCTGGTGGCGTCTGTTCTCGGTAGACGGAAGCATGCATGCCGACTGGTCCGACCTGACGTTTTGGAAGAGTTTTGGCACAACACGTCCATCGGGACCCGTGGACGGCAACAGAATGGTTTATATCTCGAGGACATTCATCAGAGCCTTCTTTGACGATGTGTTGCTTCATATCTCTCAGTCCATTCTGGATAGTCCTTCAGAAGACTTCCCCGAAGTGAAATGGGACGAAATTCACAATGAGCAATGATTTGAACCACCTATTCCCGTATAAATACATGTTTATCTCATTTGACCACATTTATTGCGCATCTAATTACGGGTCGACAGTGGACAAATGTCACAGTGTATTCTCTGCAGCTAAAGGCCACCTGTGCCCGTGCTGGCAGGCTGAGCAGATGGTGGTGCAGTGCTATTACCCTGCTGTTGAGGCGAAAGGAGAGTAACAATACATTAAGGCTGGGCAGAGTCTTTTACAGCGGTAATATGCTATCGTTATTTGCCGCGAACTCGATCCATAATGGGACAGCCTCCTGCTGGCCGTGAAAACGGGAAGAGAACAGTTCTTCTGCCCATATGGCAGTTGTCACGAAAGGGCCTGATACAGCGATGAGACAGGGCATGAATACTGCGCGAGTCAGACAAAAGCGTGTAAATAAGGATAAATCAGACAGACCCTTCTGCATGCCTTCACTTAGACAGAATCAGATCACAGTTGAGATGCCGATTCCTATGAGCCATCTTATACGCTGATTCGTGGCTGATTCGTGACAGCAGTGGAGGCTTTGATAAAAGTCTGATCCTCCGCGAGTGGATAACCACCCATTTCCAAGCGAGACTTGGAAGAGATCCGCCTGGCCAACGGTTTGAAATGAATTCGATGGTGCTCCTGTTCGACACCATGGTGCTTTGAGTTGCCGCTTCCCAAGGCCCTATGAGACCATGATGCTTTTAGATCGTGCAACAATCACCGAATGATTGAGCTGAGTATCACCTTCAGCAATCAGCAAGTACTAATATGCATCTTTTGTATATTTAGGGGCCTTCCGCGTTCGCAACTCCTGCGCCGTTGAGTAGGTCCCAAGGCTCACTGGTGTTGCCGGTGGAGAGATCCAGGTAGGCTGCTTTGATGGGTTATTCGGAAAAAACAATTACGACGGAGCCATCGTCATCTGAAAAGATGCCTGGGCCGATAGTATCGCCCGGGGGTCTCTGGCCATGTTTCATTGGACCATAAAAGATCGTCGAAGGAGTCTTTTGTTGTGAAGATGGGAAACATTGGTTCTCCGAGTTCGGTACTGACCCAAGATGAGATCAAGTAGAAGGTACCATTGTTGAAGGAGAGAGTGCTCGCAAACATGCCAAGGTCTTCACCTTGAATCCCGTTGCGAAGGGTATGTATAGAACTGGGACACCCTATTGACGGCATTGCTTGCAAGTTGAATTTGATGAGTTCTTCACTGGCATAGTCAGGACTTACTGGAAAGATCGTGTAAGAGCATATCGTTCAGAACAGAGTCTCATTCCATTCGGGGACAAAAGCACATCTAGGATCCGAGTGCCATCCTGGAATGATTGGATTAGTGTAAGACGTGTTCGCCAGAGATCTCAGGGCGCCCAAGGCGTACAAAAAAGAAGGTTAGGAAACGCAGAAATTGCATAATCAAGGTTAAAAAAAAGCTTACTGGCACTTTGCAGAATAAAGATTCACGAAAATGCAACTGCAGCATGTTCAACAAATGCCTGTGCATTCTCTGCCGTCTCAATTCCGACGGTCTTACACGAGAGTAGATGGGTTACTCTTGTGTTTTATTGATTGTATCAATCACTGAGAGAAATCGGTCTTGATGTAGCCAGTGGACCCCTTCAATTCGGGTGCTGGCGGGGAGGGTGATGAGCAGGTTCATCAACAACTCGCGAAAACGACGACGACGACGGAAAAAGTCTAGACGGAGTGTTCCGTGAGATTGCATATCTCGGCGAGGCATAATCTGTGTCAGCTTCAATGGTAGCTTGAAGGTATCATTCCACCCCTTCACACCGGAGGGAATTTCCGCAAGTCATCAACCGATAGGTTGGTACAGCCGGAAAATGATCGACGCGGCCTGCTGGGCTCAGTGGGTTGTAGGACCAGCTTGCCGGATACATGGACTTCACGTCAAGCCTAAAGAGGAAGGGCGATCCGTGTGTAAGCCTCAAATTATGCTCGCCTCGTCACGTTCATCATATTCAGCGTTGGACAGCCGCGGCAAGTTGGTGTGCCGATGTCCTGAGACTCAACTTCGTTAATAAGCTCTGGCTCGTGCCAGGGTTGCCCTCACCCAACCTTCCTTGGACATGCGCTTGGCATAGTTCAGGAGTCATGAGAAGGTCAACAACCTGGCAGCTACGTCTCTGTGGGCAGGAGCCAGATGATGGATCCTCAATGTACCTCAAATGTTGCATATCATGTGGGCATAAGTCAGCGAAACGTGTGATCTGCGATTGTGACGGCCGCTCAGACAGTGTTCACTGGCTGCGTTGAAGGCAGCTCTTGGCGACAGATTTCTTGGCAAGACCTTTTGGACGATGAAGATCTCATCGCAAATCCCTTAAGAAAGCCCTTATCAGACGATGATCTGTGATCCACGCTGGGACTGCTTCCCGGCGACCAAGCCTCAAGAGCTCAACGTCGCACTTCACCCGTATTCGAATTGCTCATTTCACCATCAGGATCTTATCTCTAGTAAGTCATCGGGTAACTTTAATTCTCCAACATGGCTAAAACAAAAATGAAAAACAAGCTTAAGTATTTCGGCGCTAGTCAGGAATTTCGAGCAACTTGCCGCATGTCACGAGAGCTTAAAACTGTCTTTTTACTCACTCCACCTGGCGCGGGGAAGCGTAGCTGCGGACAAAAGGCGGAAGCCGGCCCCGCAGCCCCGCCTTACAAGGCGGAGAGAGCAAGCATCGTGGGTACAGGTTGCCAGAAGTTAGAAAAGCTTCCTTTTGTTTAATGCAACTGCGTGGCCTTCCTTCGCCTTCGGGGCCTTGAAGCTACACGAAGCGGTGGTGTTTTTCTCCTAATTGGCAGAGACATGCGAGGCAAGCCTCAAATTGGGCCTATAGTGAGGCGGACAACGGGAGAGACACATTCTGTCTTGGTCTACCATATTCGCAGAGTTCGTCCCAGTCGACTGATCAGCCCACCAGCGAAACTGAGGCGTTAAGGTCGTCCGTAACAGGGCTGGATCGGTTCTAGCCCCATGCATCCTTCGCTATGGGCACATCCTGACTCTCTCACCTATGCCGAAAGTGGTCGCTGGGCATTTTGTGTGTGCATCCAATGGGAAGTGCGTTATGAGTCAGCAATGATTGAGGAACGGGCACGAAGCTTGACATATTCGGTCCAAGACTTGAACTTGGAAGATACCTTCACTCTACCTACTTAGTGTGTCCGCCATCATTGTTCTCACCATGTCTCTTTCCTCTTTCGTCGTCGCGTCTGGGTCGAACAATTTCGCGCTACAACGTTACTCATAGATAAATCCGTTATACCTGGGTATCTAACGTGGGGATGTGATCCGAAAATCCAAAAAGATGCAAAAGGCCTTGACATCTAGGTTCAGCCCAAAACACTTGTGCGGCTAAACTTTCTTCGTTTCGACTCCACCCAAAACCTTGTCACTTGTCAAAATCTTATGACTTCAGACAACACGCGGCCGTATGGCCCTTGTGTGCGACGCAAGAAAAGCTTCTCTCACCACAGGGCGAAACGATCACGGAAGCATCACGGCTGGAGACCGAAGAACGCTCCCAGTGTACTGTAACTAGATCCGTCGAAATTCCTCGGACGAAGCGCTTGTGCTTAGCATGTTGGACGTTGACTCGCAACTGCCCCTACCAACATTGGGTCGAAAAATGAATGTATATAAACGGACCATGGGCACTCTCGAACAAAGTGGTTTACTGAACCATTCTCTTCCCAGCTCATCGAGTTACAGTCTTGACGGCTCTGACCTTGTAATTTCTCAATCAGATCAATCACAACTACTACATTCTTCAAAATGCGCTACGCTCAGCTTATCCTTTCCCTCTTCCTCTTTTTTACCTTCGTCCTTGCTCTACCCGTGCCGGCACCGGTAGACGCCCTTGTCGAGCGGGCACAAAGTAAGAGTAACAACAAGGGAAGCAGCAGTAACAAGGGAAGCAGCAGTAACAAAGGAAACGCGAGTAACAAGGGAAGCTCGAAAGGGGTAGCGAAGGAGGTCAAAGGCATCGATAAGAATATCGGCATCCAAGAGAAGGAGCAAAAGGACGTCAAGAAGCTCCAAAAGTCCGAGGGGACGAAGAAGTTCGGCAAGGAGTCGAACGGTCTCAACAAAGAAATTGCCAATGGACAGAGGCAACGTGAGAGGAACCAGAAACTCGCGGACAAGAATAACAAGCCATTGACCAATGGACTGGATAAGGTATGGCAATTCAAGCTCCTCCCTCCTGCATGGATACAGATGGATATCTAACGTTTTCCAGGTTCAAAACGCCCAGGCAAAAGAAGCAAAGCAAGCCAAAACCCTGAAGGGCGATGATTCCAAGAAAGACAAGGCTACCTTGAATCAGCTCGGGAAAGAATTCAAGGGCGGTGAAGAGCAGAACAAGAAGAACAAAGCAGCTGTAAGTGCTCTCAACGGTCTCTCGAGTGTAGACAGTTGCTAACAGTTATTACAGGCTCTCAATGGCGGTAATGGTGGTAAGGGCAGCAAGAGTAATAAGAAGGGCGGTAGATCATTGGAGGCCGCGGAGGAGACTGGAGAAATTGAGTTGAGCAGAGACGAAATCGAATAGTCTCACAGGACACGACAGGTGCTTATTTGAACAAATTTGGGAACTTGGATGAAAAAAACATGGTGGGACGAGAATGGACGACACCATAAGGTGGAATTGATGGTGGGTGAAGAGTTTGTACCAGAATGGATTTTGCCATTAGGCGTGTAAGGGCCATTCTCCCACTCGTTAAGTAGCGCGCTTCCCTGGAGTTATCGATGATTACTATACTCAGTGACATTACTTCTATGAGATGCCAGGTAGACGGCATGTTATAAGTCGTTAGGCATAATTATGGGAAGTCGAAGAGTTGTCTCGACGTTACGGTCATTATTGGAAAACCCCTGCACTCTACTGAATCATCGAACAAGAACGAAAACGTCTTTCATCGTAGGATTTATTCGCGTTTCCGGCTTAAGTTGAAAACTGGCCATTCAAAACGGTGTTAAAAACAAGGGATTTATGTTTTGTGGAGGGGCGCTTGGCTTCCAAGAAGCGTCGTATTATCGTAACGGTAGGAGCCGCTTCTTCAAGTATGCGTATACCTTATGCGACTATCATATCCACTTGAACCCATGCCATTTTGCAAAGTGCGATTAGTTTTAGTCCGTTTAAACTTACAGCTTCTATAGCACAGTATTCTGACAGCGATCTGGTACATCCTACTAGATACCCAGATGGAATAGATTGATGTAAATGTATATCACAAGGGTGTGTATGGCATTAATTGCTGCCCGCAATTAACGGCATCGTTTTTGCGACAATGTATTAGGTTCATGCACATGTTCCTACACACCCTTTACCGTCGGCGTTGAGAGGGACTTTCAGACTTTTGAGCCACCTTACTCCAATAAAGTTTGATGCCAAAACAAACAAGCTTTGAACTCAGCCATTAAACAATTTTGTACAGTAGCAATAACACGGTTGAAAAATTTCAGCCACCGCGAAGCACTCGGAGATACATGCATTGGATGCCACAATATGCCGACTCTCCTCACTGTTCTTTTAGGAACTTTCAAATATCTCTTCCCAGTACATACGTTGATTTCATAGGTCAAAGGCTGCATTTACCAAGAAAAGTGGCTCCACGCGCGCAATACACCACATCAGTAAGTGCAAGTGAAACGCCATGGCTAATCTGTCAGAACTACCCCCAGAAATTGTTCAGCATATCTTTGCCCAGCTTTCAAACGGGCCAAATTATGAGCATCTAGCCTTCCTAGACGATAGTTTCAAGGAAGGATTGGCTGCCTTAGCAACGCTCTGTCGGACATCTCGAGCAATCCGTGAGCTGGTTGAACGCCATCTATTCGACTACGTCTGGCTTACAAAGTACGGCCACGATCACCTGGTCTCTCTCATGAGATATTGGCACTCACGCCCAGCTTGCGTAAAACATGTGCGGCGTTTATGCATCTCGATTCAAGCGCCCGAGCTTTCACCTTATGGCCCAGAAAGCCAACTCACTACTCCTGATATTTGTTTCATCAACGAGGTAGTTGGGAAAATGGGGCTCAGGATTAACCCGGAAGGTTGGGAACACAGTCGTCGCCACACCAACGTACTTGCCATGATTATTCCACTATTGGCCTCAAAGCTACGCAGACTCGAGATCCAGTATATGTGTTACAGGCAAAACCACGATCCGGATGCTTCGGACAAACTTCTTCAGATGGACAAAAGCGGCTTTGCCAACTTGAACAACCTACATATTAGATGCACACCTCATCCAAGCTCATTTCCTCTGGGTTTAGTGGAAGCAATCTTGAAGAATGCCCCGAAACTCAGATGCCTCAAAATTCAGTATTTCAACGACGTCAGGTTTGATGAATCGAAACATTGGGAACAAATAACCAGCCTCGCCATTCTGCAAAGTTGGGTCCCGCAATTCGATCTGATCAACATGATTTTGACGCCGACGCAATTGTGCCATTTCGAATATAGCCCAATTCCGATGGATTACGACGATATTTTGGACATGTTTGACGCGCTGTCCCGGCACAAAGAGACGTTGAAAACTCTTGCAGTCCGAATCCCGCAACAAGTAAGGGGCCAATTCGAGAGTCTACCTCTACGCCAGTTTACTAATCTGGAAACCCTAACGACGGCCTTGCAGGATGCGGGCGTCAAAAAGAGAAGCATTCTACGGCAGCTCCCGGAATCTTTACAAAAGTTGCGTATCGTAGAAGAAGTCAACCGAAAAGCGCTGGACGTCATGGCGCATGCTTGGCTAGGCGAACACATTCGGAGAATCATGAAGACAAGAAAACATCGTCACTTGCAAGTCTTCATAGCAGATACTTGGGAAGAGAAGGAAGGAGAGCGGAGATTGACTTATGAAGCTCGGTCGGTGGGCAAAGTAACGGATTGCATCGAGGAAGGGCATCTCGTGGAAGCGGTCCAGTGGCTGTACTTATCGTCCTAATACCTTGGCTCCCTAGCATCAACCCACACCGACCGCAGTGGACGTTTCTGTCCAAACCGAAGTCGATTGTTGAGTAAGCTAGGTTATGGTTCAAAGATTTCTGCACCTATCCATGGAGGCTTTGAATTTGACATCGGGGTAATGGAGCTTGTCTCGTGCAATGTTGGAATGACGCGGGGAAAGTTGCCTGAGAACAACTTCATCTCTCGGCGATTGCTATTCATCTAAGCAGCCTCCTAGACAAGTATTGGGGTAGAATGCTGGACGAAAGTAGATGAACAGCTTGTTAAGCTAGAACATTTGCCGCCGATAGCAGTCTTCGTGTCACCTAGCCAACATCTCACGACGAAAAGTATGTGTACCTATCCCTCCTTCATCATTTCTTCGAATCTCTGGACGAGATCCTGGTTCCGGGTCAGTTCAATAACTACATGCAGTGCGGGGTATTGCGTCTCTGGGAAGAACCTACGTTGAAGTTGCATGTGCTCATAGTCTCGAACACAGCCTTATTATTGTGCAGGCTCATGCTGCCAACCCGGGGTGTTCTGATACCAAAAGCCACGCAAGCCATGAAACGGGCATCGTCTTTGGCAGTGCTGTTGGCCAGAGCCTGCTTCATCTGAAGGGCTGTCGTCTTCGATTTGCCTCCTCTGGCCTTAGATGCCTCTTGTTCACAGGCTTCCCTGCAGACAGCGATGACCTTTTTCATTACCATTTCATTCACCGGCTTGGGCGTGAACTCTGGTAGCTTGACTTGTTGATGTGTTTCGCACCAAATGCAGTGACCGCATTCCTTAACTACCGAGTGGGTCGTGTCGGCAAAGTAAGCTGCGAGGCCACGAGTAAGGCAGCTTGTGTTGGTCAACAAGTTGACCAAGTCCTGCACGCGCTGTAAATCCTGCTTCTCCTTCTTCACAATCTCCTTGTGGATGTTGTCAATAATGTCGTCAATATCGGCTTGTTTGCTCGGCAATTTCTTGCTGATACGGAAGACCTTTTGGACGCCCTTTTTGTCGAGCTTGATGATGCCAGATTCGGCCCACGAGTCCAGCTTCCGTGTGAGATCAGCGCGACTGACTCCGCCATTCCCAACAGGAACGTCAACATCAACGTTGGTCCAGATCTTCGCTTTTACAGAGTGTCTCTGGATGTACTTCGATGCTGGCGATCCATCGGCTGCCAACCCTTGGCTCTGGAGCACCTGATATTTGTATTCAGAATATTGAGGAGTACTAGCGCGCAGAAGACCGAACTTGAGTTCCAAATAGGCGTAGATAATTGAAAGTTGAGTTTCCTGTTGGATATTAATATGGTAGGCGATAGATAGAGGAAGAGATGGAAACGACAGACCCTGATATCTACCCGTCTTGATTGGGACGTCAGAGCTACGGAAAAAGGATCTCCGGGCTTCAACTGACAATTTTCCTTACTGCAAATTTCGTCAAACAGCGCCGTTAAGGCCAGCATAGAGGGTCGTTCGCCATAGATGAACACATTTCTCACAAAGAAGTCCTTGTCAGAAAGATACAAAATGCAGGTGCTTGGTTTGCCGTCTCGCCCGGCCCTCCCAATCTGCTGGCTGTAGGCTTCGAGACTGCTTGGGAGATCGAAATGGACAATCGTCCGCACATTCTCCTTGTCGATGCCCATGCCAAAGGCAATTGTGCCTACAATCTGATTGTAGATCGCCATGTCAGAATGCCTTTCGTAAAAAATGTATGTGTAACTCACGACCATGTCTTTACTTCGCAAAAATGCATCTTGGATTTCACTTCGCATTTCCTGCTTCAATCCTGCGTGATATGGTCGAGCATTGAACTCTTTTTTCGACAGCTCACGAGCAAGAGTTTCCGTGCCCTTTAAGACTCAGGTTAGCAAACATTCAATAGAAGATGTTGGGTGGATGAAAGCCTACCACATGGGTCGTAACATATATGATGGAGGGTCCTGGGTTTTTCTTCAAGAATTTAGAGCATATTTCGACTTGGTCATCATCCGCCAGGATTGGCTCGACCAACAGACGAAGGCTAAGTAGAATCAGTATGATCTTAAGAGGAACGGGGTTTAAGTTTTCAATGCCTTGACTAACTTTGGTCGGTACATGGTTGTCACGAAAAGACCTTCGGGCGGAATATCAAAAGTCGCTCGAATGTCTTGGGCAACAGTTGCTGTGGCGGTTGCTGTGAGGCAGATGACTCTGTCCACATTGGCTTCTTTAGCAAACCGGGCGACTGGGAACTTTGATTAGCGAAAACGGAAATAATAAGAGTATTGATGACTGACTTTTGAGGTAGTCTGGGCGGAACGAGTGTCCCCACTGCAATCTTGTCAGATAATGGAGATCGATTCGAGTAGCGGCGAGTAGCGGATGCGCAACTTTGCTGAACGCACCTCCGAAATACAATGTGCTTCGTCAATCGCTAACAAGCGAATGCCCCCGCGAATGGACTGAAGGGACGCAAGGAAGCCCTCATTGTTGAGCCGCTCTGGGGCACAATATAAGAGATCAAGTTTGCCACAAGTCAGCTTGCTGTGAATGTCGACGAACTCCTCACGGCTTTGCGTCGAATCGAGAACGGCTGCAGCGATACCTCGGCGGCGCAGTGCATCAACTTGGTCCTTCATCAAAGCGATTAGGGGTGAGATGACGACGGAAACACCACTTTCTTCAGGGCTGCGGGAGTTGGTTTGCCGATCCAGCTCCTTGATAGCCACCGCAGGAACCTACTCGTGTTAGAAGCCGGCTCTCAATTCGGGCAAATGTTTGCGTACCTGATAACACAGACTCTTGCCGCCGCCGGTGGGGAATACCACAACAGCGCTGTCGCCATTGAGAATGCGATTGATTGCTGCTTCCTGCTCTAGGCGAAAGCTCTTCAGTCCGAATCGCTCTCGCAAGACTCTTCGAGCCAATTCCGAGTGGTCTGGAGAGCTCTTCTGGCGTTTCGGTCCTGGCTCTTCAACTTGATCTGCGTCTTCCTTGGCTCGCTTGCCTCCGGAGGGGGCGGCATCCACCGCGGCGACGAGATCGGCCTCATCGGCCGAGTCGAAGCCAAAATCGACATCCATTGTCTGTGGCAATGAAATGTCGGTAGAATTGGTTCTGTGTTTTCTTTGGTTCGTGGGATTGGAGGTGCAGTTCCCCGGCCGAGGGAGGTTGAGGTCGAGATCGCTGACGTCCCAATTGGGAAAGTACCTATGTACGGATACAAGGTAAGGTACGGATAATTACGACGGAAACGCGCCGACGCGTTCACGGCAGGAACTGCATCACGTACCTACCTTACCTTACGTCAGGTGACTCTCGTAGGCCCCACTTCACTCACTAATCATCCTCTCATGGCTCGCGCAAAGCGTCTCATTTTCATCCTTCAGACTCATGGGCCTTGAGATGATTCTACTCCTTAGGATTGCATATACGATTATCTTTTCAAGCTTCATCGTAGCTAGCAAACTTGCTTAGGCCGTTACAAGGGCCCTGATTATCGCTCTAGCGGCTTCCTTTCAATGGGAGCTCCCCTCGCATACCACTCGTGAAGACTGCGAGAAAATTGGAGATTGAGATGAAGGCATAGAATCACGAAGATGAGTGCATCGAATGGTAGGAGAGAGCCTTCGTGCTCATTTGTCCATACCTGCGGCTTTCGACGACATTGTAGGGTACACAATGGATAAAGGTGTGGGCCTTTCGGTTCGGTAAGAGACGTCCCTTTTGAGGAGCCCGAAGGGACGGGGTCGCAAACCGAACCGAGAACGCCCGGAGCAATAATTAGTGGAAGCCCAGCGTGCTTTTCAACAACCGGAATCTGAGCCGTAGCCCAAATTTGTGGTTTCCTTATCTCTGCTTCAGACTTGACCGTCTTGACCCATTGTTCAAAACGATGTACCAAGGCATCTTAACTTGAAGGTTTGTCTCTGCGCACTCATAAGCCGCAAGACTCATCCCACTGACGGAGGGCGAGCCGGGTCTGGACTTCCATTTGGCAATGTTCGATATCCCGCCAGGCATGATTGCAACATGGACTTGTGAATATGAAAGAGACTCTTCCTCGACCTTTCTTCCCAAGACCAAAACGTAAATCTCGCAATTTGAGTGTCCATTGACTTGAGGGAAACTGTCCACTAGATTTAGCTGCGCCATGCTGGTTTCGCGGACCTCCCAGCAGCTCTCAACTAAATACTTTCATAATCTTGCGGTATTTCAAGTACGGTCACAATGCTAGTTTCTACTCTCTCTTGCCGACATGTAAGCACGCCATCTCGGATTGAGCATGTAGACAGGCAATCCAAGTAAAAAGATGAAGCCAAAAATACCAGCCAACACACCAAAAGCGGTTTGATAACCCCATTTCTCAATCATTGGAGTCAGCCCATACGTCACACCGAACGAGACAACATTCTTCGTTCCAACCACGACCACCAGTGCCGGCCCGGGATGTTTGGGCGCCGCTTCGGATGCGAAGCTGGTAGAAACGATGAGAACGGAGGTGAATGAGTATTGGAAGATGGTCCAGCCGAGGTAAGGACCCCACCATGTGTAGCCTCCCGGTGCAGTGTAGCCGTAAAGCAATAGCATCCCGACACCTACAATAGCAGGCAAAGCCAACACGACCAAATGGTGTTCCGGGATGTGAACACCTCGATTCCGGCGGGCGAGGTACATGACCAATGGATTACCGACGAATGTGCAGTATAACATGCCGAGAACGGCGCCGATTACGCCGCCAACGTTGATCAGCCCAACGTCCTCTGATTTCCAGTGATAGTTCGCCACCAGAACAGTGTTATAAGTCAGCGACATGCCGACACCGCAGCCTAGTGCGATGGAAGATGTCAGCACCGCGTAAATGATTCCCGGGGACGAGAACGATTCGGCCATGTGCTTCCAACTCAGGACCATGACCCGCATCGGCTGGGGATGAGGTTTCGACCAAGGCCTGATGCGCTGCAAGTACGTCTTTCTTTCCAACGACCCAGCTGGGGTAACGGCATTTGGGGCTGTGAGGCCGGAGCGGTCCATCTCCTCGAGGTACGCTTGGGCTTCGGAGTCGGGGATGACACGGGTGACACCAAACTCGTCCGTGATGACAAGCTGGCCATCCAGCGACTCGGGTGGCCGGGTGAATTGTGTCTCGAAAGCGAAAAAGAAGGCAATGACCAGACCGACGGCCACGGTGATGACAAAGACCCAATAATACCAACGCCAGCCAAGGTCATGGTTGAGATATGACGAGGTGAGGTTGATTGTGGAGGAAATCGCATTTTGTGCCATCCAGTAAAGACCAAAGATTCTGGAACGCTCATGGAGAAAGGTGACTTCGGTGAGCATAAGCGGGAGAAGCGACTCGGAGGCGCCCGTGGCCAGGCCTTGAACCACCCGGGCAGCAAGATGTCCGTTGTAGCTGTCTTGCAAAGCGGCAGCAATAGTCGCAATCAGCAAGATGACCATGAATCCAAGAAAGACTGGCCGCCGACCGTATGCCAGTGCAAGGGGAAGAATGATGTAGTTGCCTGGAAATAACTTTATTAGTTCCAGAAAGTCAGAGACGACTCTGGCGTCTTTGACGCTGAAGACTTTGGCAGATTGCAACGTACCAAGACCAATGCACAAAGTTGGGATGGTAATAAGGAGGACGATCTTTTCGGAGGAGTAGCCCTGCGGGATGTACATGGCAAAGAATTCTTGCAGAATGGCCCCCAGACCACTAGCAATGGACAAGCCCATGCTAGAGAACCAGCAGCAGCAAAACACAATGCCGTATTTTTCCCAAGGTCTGAAGCGGAGGGGATCATTGGGGTCAGAAGACGGCACCGGGATTTTGCGGACCTCGCCATCCTGGTTGATGAGAAGTGCATTGCCTTCGACGTGACCATCGTGCCTGTCTTGCACGCCCGGCTTTCTTAGGTCTTCAAGGTGTTCGATGAGGCTGTTATCCTTGGCATTGTCACTATTCTCAGAAGATTGAGGCAACGACATGTTGAAGGAACTTTGGGAATGGAGGCCTCGAAATGTGCTTGGGTCTGGTGGCTCTAGCCTCTGGGCGGCGGTGGTGGTGAAGAAGTGAAGAATCCTGCGTGTTACGACTGCGAGCAACCGTCGCAACTGCAGGCAAAATTGATGCACCCAATGTTTTCTTGATGGTGATGATTGGGGATGAAAGACATGATGTGTGCGAGTTCGTTTGCGAGTGAAAGCCTTGTTATTTCAAGTCAAGTTGACTACCTTACCTTACCTTACCTGAATAGGTGCACTTAAACATGTTCTCCAGAAATCCGGGGTAAATACGGATATGGGCGACCCCGTTCCCCGGAGTGGGGGTTGCTGTCACTGCACTAAGTGCTCTGTGAGACGGTCCCCCGCAATCTGTTTTCGGTTCGGTTGGAGAAGAGAGCGCTATTCGGCTCGGGTTCTGAAGCCCAGCGAAACAACCAGACACGAAGGAGCCACCAGTAAAGTGCACATTGCTCTTAACCCCACAGACTGCTGCAACGCCTCGGATCTTGAACACCTTATCTCTTCAGCGACGATCATTGTGTTCCAACATCCAATCCGTGGCGGGGCCGGAGGGGGACACCATCCACTTTCCATTTCCCCATCTGTCCCTGACTGAAAAGATCAAATACAAATGTTTCTACTCTGGTTGTCCAGCTCCGACTACTAGGCAAGGTAAGTCATACGCCAATTGGTCTGCTCCTCTGTACCCAGTTGGTAAAGGGTCCTCGGGATCCAAAACGACCTGCTTGTAGCTGGCAATCCAGGCGCTTCCCTCGACTGCCGGTACGACGGCATTAATACCTCCGACCTTGGCAGTTCTAGAGATACGGCACTCAAAGGCTGTGCCGATGACGCCAGTGTGCTTGAACTAGTCTCCTACCGCCAACTGGCCCCTGGCAAGCACCAGAGCCATCCGCGCGCTGGTCCCAGTGCCACAAAGGCTGCGATCAAGCCGCCGGGGAGACACCACGACAGTATTCTAGGCAACTTCCCCGTTGGCGTCTTGAAAAAGTGGTTCCGGGAACTCGAGGAAGGAGATGCCCTTGATTTCTGAGTTCTCCGGATGATGAGGCGTGTAAGCAGCCTTTGGCGCCCTTTTGATCCCTTTGATCCTTTTGCCAAGTTCCTCCACAAGCTTCGCGCCCTTGCTCGGTTCAACAGTGAGCCCGACTGATGCGGCGTCCGCGATTGCGTACCGCCTTCTACCCCACCCAGACAATGTCGGCGGAAACGGTCCCGACCCCCCGGGCACCGACCTGCAGATAGACCCGGTCAACGAACGCGGACACAATTTCAAATGCCACGGACGTGCATTTACCACCTTGGCACTCCGCAGTCACGCCGACGAGATCGGCTGCCGTCTCGAGAGAGAAGTAGGCGATTGGCTCTTGCATGGGAATCGTTGACATTGGTGCCTATTCGTTGATTTCCAAAATCAGGAATCCTGTAGCGGCGTCGGGGTTGCATGGTGGAAGGATCAACTTCGTGTTCTTTGGTGATCTTCCTCTTAGCTCGTTCAATAGTAGCTGGCGTAGCTCATCCTTATGCGTAAAAGAGTGCTGTAGTTTGCGCCACGTTCATTGAAGAAACCGGCCATGAGGCCCATTTCGTTAATGCCTCACCGCTCTCCTCACCACTGTTACGGCATTGCCTCGCAGGGCACCGCGGAGACTTGCTAATTTGACAAGATCATTGATGAATGCAAGTTATCAGTGATAAGTATGAGATTGCTCGAACCGGAAAACACGTTTTCATGACCCAGGAAATACAGCAGTTGTCGTCCCATTATTCAAAGCCGTGAAGAAGTGCTCACGCTATCACTTTCCCGAACAATCCAGGCGGCGTGGCTTACCGCAAAAGTTGAATCGTGAGTCCGCATAGTATCCCCCGCCGCCTCATGGATGAATTTGATCTCAATCAACGACCTGCCGAAGTGCTATCATTTGTCATCTTTCTGGTCATCATCGCAATCTTTTCTCGAAAGAGTAAAGCAATCGTTTTCAACTGTCGTCTGATGATGACCATCTGCGCCTTGCCTCACCCCTGTGCAACCAAGAGCCTACTCAAACGGGTTCCCCCCACGTTTACTGTATACTCGCGTTGGACGGCGGGATTGATTCTGCGATCCAAGTGCGTCGGGTGACCAGAGCTATCCCCCACGCCACCAAGAACGGCGCAGTTATGTACAACCGAGCTATGTTCCTTGGGCCACTTGGTGGGTATTAGTTATGAGCCATAGCTTACATGCAGGTACAGATAGCCTATAGGTAGGCATTACTACCGGTAGCACTCCCATTTTTATTTATTTATTTGACGGCATTGGAGGGGTCCCGGCTATACGGAACCGCCGACGCAAGGCGCGGTCTCCAAGGCGCGGGCGGTGGTCCGTTGTGATGTTGATCTTGCCAGTGCGTTGAGGCTATGAGGCCTAGCTTCTGATGCATTGTCGACACATGGCGTTTATCATGGGATTGTTCGTATCTGGGGTGGCGATTCATCTGCTTATCATACCTATTGCCCTCCAGTGAATTTGTCTGAATTGACACAGGATTCAACCGAGGCATACCGCCCGCAACCAAACGCGTCTGCCTCCGTCAAAAGCTTCGATTGAGAGTGGTAGCTTCGAGCTGAAAACAAGGGATTCCATCTCACCTTCACTACCCTGAAAATCGATCCAGTAGGCTTGCGGATTGCTTCTGCCTAACTGGTCTGTCAGCGGGCCAAGTCTAGGGCGAACAAGACAATGATATCATCCTTGGCTAATTGAGAGACATGCCTTTGAAGCCCCATAATTCGTTGGTTCGCGATATCAGAAGCCCCCACCCATCTATAAACCTCCCGAATTGGCTACAACGTTGATTCTCCTGGGGCTGAGTGGATGTTGATCATGTTGATCGGGCGGTTGTACCTGTTGCCCCCAAGGCGAAGCACAACATGACAGTCCTTACCCAATTAGGAAAATACTCTGGCCAAGACAAAATGCCAAGGGGAGCGTCTTACTTGGTGTTGTACATTGGGGTTCAAGCAAGGCAACCCGCGCACCCGGAGCATAGGATACTTAAGAAATCCAAACCTATGCGGATCTGGCCTGAGCCCTGCACATTCAACCATTGATCGCTTCGTCCCATCGACTTCTTCTTACTCGATTTGGTAACGCTGGTGCATATTAACCTGTCAATCGGGTAGGGCTGAACTGCACCCTTTCGGATCTGATCCACGCCTCGACCACAATGTCGTCGACCACCTTTTCACTGACGATGCCGGCGTCTCAGCCATCGTCATTCCCAGAAGCCACGGAGAAAAGACGTTGCTGGGAGTGTCAACGTCGTCGGCTAGTCTGTGACTCGGTCAAGCCAGTCTGCAACAGATGTCGAGCCTCGGGCATTGTTTGCCCTGGCTACGACGACAGAAAGCCACTGACTTGGCTTGCACCTGGCAAAGTCACCTGTCGTACTCGCCGCAAGGGGCTTGCAGCGGACAAGGACACGGGCACGAAGAAGACCGCGAGGACAAAGCCGAAGCCGAAACATAAAGAGGATTCTCAGGGCAAGGAAGCGTCGGTCAAAGTTGCAAGTAGGAATAAATATGGCGGGGAGCTTGTCTTTCACTCCACTTTGAGGACTGACATTTGCGAGATCTTCGAGGCCGTCCAATACTGTAAGTTGAATACAACAACATTCTATATTAAAAGACTGGATCCAGCCATTGTACAAGTCTATGAGATTGACAGTCTGACAATGGAAACGTCTAGTCAACGCCGTATTCTACCCATACACCAAATCTGGACACGCACCAAAGAGCAATGTGTTTGTCGATGAGATCCCCCTGAAGGTTGTCAAATATCTGCCAATTACTATTGCGCACAACTTGGTCGCTGTGGTCTTTCATCACCGGATGCATGTGCAAAGTGAATGGAAGAATGATTGCCCCTCAATCAAACATGCGGAAGCACGGTTGCACCATCACCGGGGGCTATCGATCCGCGCTCTCAACGAAGACATCGCCAATGAGAAGACTCAGAGCAGCGATGTCGTACTGACGGGTGTCATCCTTCTTCTCCAATCCGAGGTAAGTTGTGGTTGGCAGTTGGACTTTCGATCCACAGTGATAGCTGATTCAACACTGGTAGATCAACGCTTGTATCACACCCTACTGGAGACAGCATGTTGATGGTCTCCTGGCTATGCTACAATATCGTGGAGGTGCTCGAGGATGGGCCAGGTCAGCATCATACCTCAATGGTGTGCTCCTGTCTTTTATGATGTAAGTGAAGATATGCTGGGTGAACCTGAGTATGGAAACTGATTTTGATGATTACGTAGTGTAATGACGTCTGCAAATACGACGAGCCCGCCTCACGACCAAGTTACGATTTGTCCTCAAGAGGAATTCATCGACTTGATCCAAGAATTATATCCTCTTGGCTTACATCCACATATACCTTGTCCATTGCCGCTATTCTTGGAAATCTCCCGGATCAATCAACTCCGAGCCGAGGTCTCCACCGGGTCAATGGACAAGTCGACTGCAAAGGCAGTTGCAGATGACATTGTCGCAAGGATCGAAATGTTTGATGGTACAGAATGTGACTCATTCTACGAAGAAAAAGATCAACGTGATCTAATTGCTTCAATCTTTCACTCTGCAGTGGCTGTGTTCTGCATCTCCTCGCTACAGAGTGTTAGGGCCCTGCCCAAAGTCCATCGCCTAACAATACTGAGAACCATGCACGGGAGTCGTCTGTATTCTCTCTTAACAGAGACACGAAAGCACCCCTCTTTGAAGAAGTCCGTGCAATGGCCTCTGGTCGTTGCTGGTATTGAAGCCTCGGTTCGGGTAGACAAGCGGCGGCTGGTAGGAGAGCTTTACCTAGACCAAACAAAAGACATTGGTACACCGTTACCAATGCACGCCAAGACTGTAATGCGTAACTTTTGGGATGGAGGGGCTACGGACTGGGATGCCTGTTTCGATCAGCCTTATGCATTTGTTTCATAGCATCGGATGTGAACAGGGCTAAGCTCAGCTCAGCCAGTTATTTATTTCAGGAAGAAAACAAAGATTATTCCACAGATGAAATTGCAAAAACAACCTATGGCCCTTGTCGTGTCGCATATGGAAAGACGACATGATGGTAGCAGTAACGCCTTTTTTTTGTATTTAAGGATGATGTAATGAGTGATAGGCATTGTAGCTCAACAGTAAAGAACAAAATGGCGAGGCCAGGAGCAGAGAGACGGTTTTCACCGCGTCCTCCTAGCCGAACGAGACAAAAGCCGATTTCTTGTATGTGGTATTGCTTATAGCCCCAAGAGATGATGTTTGAAAGGTCGAAGTAGAGTGCCCGTCGCTGCTTCCCTGCTTGAAGATCTTCGTGGATAGAAGAGGAGTCATCTTACTCGTGTCAGATCAACAAGTTGACGTGATAACTTTGACCTTGAGGTTGTCCATGGCCGTCAGTATCGTCAAAGTTGTTCCCGTAATCGGACTCTTGGTTTCAAAGCTGACGCTTTTGAGATTCTTCTCATTCTTAAGATTGCACTTCGCCAAGTTTTCCCCCAGAACATCAGGGTCATATGCGCAGGTTTCAGTGATGGCGTTGCCGTTCACGTCCACCCCTTTGACGGTGAGGCTGCACGCTCTCTTCAAGTTCTCGACGCCGGTGCGAACACACTTGAAGTCGAACGTCTCTAGGTCAAAACTCTTCACCTTTGACCCCTGGTAATCTTTGGTGATTAGCGGGTTCTCCAACGTCGAGGCCGTGGTAATAGTGCCGTACACCAGGAACTCGTTCTCGCGGAGGTTTGGGTTGAGCGCGCCACCGACAGACTTGACTCCAAGGCCCGAATATTTCAGTTGCTTGTAAGGTGTAGGTGGGAACACGGGGTTCAAGATGGGGAAAGCACTATCGCCGATATCTTGGTACTTGAGTGTAGGTCAGCAACACGCTTCTTCATCGAAAGAAGAGTGACTTACGGTGAGAGTGTAAGGGGTGGTCTGGTCGCAAGTGTTGCCAGTGGGAGACGCAATCACTCCACCCAAGAGAATGATAGCCGAGGTGATATGAGCGAGGGGAGCCATGATTGACGATATATGGGTTTGGTTGATGGGTCTGCTTATTTTCTGAGTTGTGATGATGGTAGAAAACTGAGTAGGATAGGATCTTGGGAATGCATCGATGGCAGTAAAGGTCTTCATTATATAGTCTTTTTGTTTGCCAAATAGAACAAGCCTCATGTGCTATAATTCCATTCTTGTTGCGAGCAAAGGGATGCTCATGCGAACTACATACATCCCAGACATCTAGTTAATTCTATGTGCCGATCATCCGATCTGAGGTTTAACAAAGTTCACTGCAACTGCATTCTCACATTAGGTCTTAGATCTATTGGTAATACCGACAGGTTTCACTGGTAACTTAACTGTTTCACTCGTTTCCAACACCTTAGCCTCTTACTCCCTCATTAGTTCGTAATGATACGGCTTTCACTACATGGAGCGCTTACTCACGGAATTAATATTGCTTTGCAAGCTAGGCTAAAAAGCTCCCACGCCGACTAAGAGAGAGGCAATGAAGTTGCGGAACTCGATTACTAGGACCTATCAGTCCACACGAGAGCAAGGTGACATAAAGTGGCGAACTACAAAGAGTTGTTGAACTTGTTGTGACACAAGCGATCTCAGACGTCCGGTGTTGGCTGGAACCAACTGAAGTGTCACAATCATTAATATATAGACGCAGATTTCAAGGCCTAGACCACGGTCCGTTATCTAATCGACGATCAATATTAAGAGTACCAGAGGTCATTGAAACGTCGTTCTGTGTCCTTGGCGTATTACGATTACTCTCAGATTTCCAGGTTTAAAACTGTAACTAGAACCTTCGAAATGAGACATCACATCAACTACTTGAGACATAACAAGAAGTAAATCACAGTCATGAACGCACACTGGAGATTTGAAGAGGATAGGAAAGAAAACCACGTAGACATGTTGTCCCAGAAATTGAGGTTCAGTCACGTCAGTCATCTTGTATAGAGCTGGTCTACTTATCCAGGGAAGTAGAATTCGAAGGAGCTAGTGAGGTAGATAAAAGGCTCTAGTCTTTAAGTAAGGCTCATATAGATACCTAAAATAAGCTCAATGAAGGAACAAGTGACCGTAGAAACATAAATCACGCAACCACCCAGATTTTCATGCAACGCCAACGCTCCATCCGCGAATCACATCAACTCTCACACCTCAAAGCCAACCAGGGACACCAATCAACTTGCTTTATCTCATGCCGGGGTACATTGGGCGTAGTACGCGTTGGCCGTAGTACAGGTAGCGCCAGGAACACAGGAAGTCGGGCTCTCAGCCGGCCAGTTGATACCACCGCACTGCCCGTACAAAGATTGAGCTCCCGGAGGCACAGGGCCCGGGGTGCATTGCGCGTAATATGAGTTGACGGTAGCGCAAGACGCGTACTCCGGGCACTTGGTCGGACCAGCGTAGTTTGACCCACCACACTGGCCGTACAGGTTCTGAGTCTGTCCACCGACGGTTGGTGCCGTGGTGGTCAAGGTCTGGAAGGTCGTGGGTGACGGCGTCTGGGATGTTGCTTTTGTGTTGCTGGTTCGAGAGATGTTGCTAGCGCTGGTAGTGCTGCTTGAGCTTGAGCTCGAGGTGAAACTCGTGCGAGTCAATGTGATTGTGGTGGTTGCCGCGATGGAAGTGGTGACTAGGGTGACAGTACCAGAAGACGAGTTGCCAAAGCTGAATGTGCTGGATGAGCTGCCAGGGACAACAGAAGCCGAGGAGCTGGCGGAGGCCATGCTAGTTGAGCTTGCACGGATTGTTGTACCATAAGGTGTAGCGCTGCCAGAGGCAGTAATCTGGATTCTTGACTGCGGGAGCATAGAAGTCCCACCGGAGATAATGGCACCACCCGGAATGACATAGTCGTTGAGATTATCCCGGTAGATATTGTACAGAATACCGGGGTCATTGGCGCCATATAGGGCAGTACCTGGTGTGCCAGTAGGGTTGTCTGTCCCATTGCCGGTGATCTCCAGGTTAACGCACTGGGGATAACTCTGCGCTCCGTTCTGTTGACCGGCACTATGGAGGGCAATGATGTCGTGGCGAAGCACGTAGTGGCCAGGGGCAACATTGGGCGGGATACGGACGAGCCACGCGTTACCGTTGTTGATCAAGACGTTTGCCGCCCACTGATTTGTCTGTTGAGGAGGATTAATCAGGCCAGCACCGTCTATCTTGAAGAACTTGAGTGCAGTCTTGTCGATGGCGTTACAAGGTCCATTGCAATTTGCCAGGAAGTCCATGACAGGGCCCTTGTGACTGTCAGGCCACTCGGTCCATTGTAGCTGCAGGGTTTCTCCAGCAGCAACTGTGATTCGGCCCTTGCCTGACACTGCTTGTCTGTGGCAGATGATATCCGGCGCGTTATAAGCATCCGGCGCGACAAAGCCGTTGTCGCGCTGGTCTATCGTCCAGCCAGCCACGAGTGGAGGGTTATTGTTGTATGGATCCTCGGTGGGAAGGTAGTTGCGGTATGAGACGCCGTTGACGACGATGTTGGTGACGTGACCGTGAGCAGCAACCAAAGCCGCAGTGACTAAGATGACGAGGAAGCCGGATTTCTTTTGGAATCCCATTTTATAAAAAGAATGTAATTTGACGTTTGAAAACGTTCAAAGAGGGAAGGGATTAACAACGAATGAATAGAGTGAGTGAGTGAAAATAAATCAGAAAGAGCGATGACCCTTCATTCGAAGGTACTCTTGCCTGAAGCGTTGATGTCTGAGCTTTATAGCAGTCACCGTGAGTTTATTCGAGTGAGATCACCATGTGGGAGCTAGGGAGAATAGCGCGAGTCAAACATTCCAAGCACCAGTGTTCCCTCACATGGTCTTATATTTCGCGAAAGGGAGGCAGGTTGGCCGTTGCCTCCCTAGGTGGCTGAGAAACTAACGCGTGACACGATTTTGGCGCAGATTCTGGGCTTCTTGTTGAGCGCGTCTCCAGTGGTGCCATCTCCCGGTCTCAATCCTCAATGTGCGGTAAAATTTGAGGATATATGTTGCCGGAAGCTGGATCGGTTCGAAGCCCATCACTCGCCACGAAGGCGAGACTAAGCAGCTGTCTCTCAACACTGCAAGAATGACACACTATCAGTATAGAAGATGTATATCAAAGTTAGGTTGCCTGTCACAGACGTCTCGAGCTCTAACCGCTAACTGCGGAATCAATCCGCGGCTGAAACAGGGAGCTTGATACTCAAAGTCTCTCTGGAATGGCGTTGGAACTCTGCAAAGGCGAGTTTCAAACGCGCGGGATCTAAACGTAGAAAAGTCTGCAGCTGGGGATGCGAGGGAGAGTCTCTTGAGGGTCCGTTCTCTCAGAACCCGTATGAGCCATTGAAGGTTGGCGAGCTACAAAGGGCAACCGTTCAAGTCAGACCTGAGGCCCAAATAGTGATAAATGATCACACTGGCTCTCCAAATGTTTGGGGCAGCTTGTCATTGTCTTTGAAAAGACTCGGCCTAGGGGCAGCTAAACCTGTTCAGTAAACTTTGAAGACACGACAAAACTGTGCTTACCGACTAGCGCACTTCTTCGACTGTCTAGCCTCCTGTCAAGCTCGATAGCGTGAAGACATGTAACCCATTGTCTCAACATTGCTCATCGGCAGCGAGTGTGCCACAGTCGCGGCCCCGCGCGGCCCCGCGAGCAAATTCGGACAGCACGACAGCTTTGGCAGGGCAGCAAACCTAGGCGAAATCCCTTGTCAAGTGGGAGACTCGGAGGGCGGCTTACATCATTCACGGAGACATCGCAAGCTGTTGGGGACGCAGCCACACCTGAAGCCTGTCAGATCACTTTGGAGATGTCTCTAGTCTCCATTCCAGGTGATAGCGGACTCAGAAGTCACAGAAGCCACAGCTTCAGAATTATGCCTTGAAGAGGACGATGCAACGAGGCGGTTGGCTTGAGCGTAAGAGAACCACGTGAGAATGTGCATCAGAGACGGGCGACAGTAGTCTGGGGGGATGCACCTTGAAATGACAAGACTTTAAAATGTTACTCTACGCCTACTTGTTTTTGTTGGTCCATGGACACGCACCTCGGCCGGCCCCAATATGATGCATGGTGCAGGACTCGGCGAAGGTATCTCTGCAGTCAGCCGAGTCCATAACGAGGGCTGAATTGAGATGGCCCCTGAATCACACATTGGCTTGATGATTGGACCCATCCAAAACGGGAGAACAAGCCGGCTGAAAAGGGACAACTAGACTTGGCAAAATGCCCTGCATGTTTATGTGCGCAACAGATTTAGTACTGTCCAAAATAAGGAATACACGGTGCCAAAGGCTCGGCGAGAGATGATGTCAAGCTAAAATATTTTTCTCCATCCAAGCCCTAGCATGCTGTATAAATGACGCTTTTGTCTAAGAATGAGCCAGCCATTCTCAGCGGACCCCAGCAAAGAAGCCTTCCCTAAGTTGAAAGCCAGGTAAGAAAAGCCTAAGCACAAGTAGCCGCCGAGAACGGAGTTTGACCGCTCTATCCCATGTGTTCGTAGTAAGGTGGGAGCTCGAAACTGGCGGGGCCCTGCGTCTGAAGTGCATCAAGGCACCAACTCATGCCATGTGGATGAACCGTGGCAAGGGGTCTCAGCGAAGTACCGCTTAGCACGCGGGAGCGTTACTAGCGGAAGGGAGAGGGTGGTGCTGTCGCTGCCGAACCTGCCCTATCGTTGACACCCAGTTAAAGCGTGCCATATTGCTGAGGCTATGTCCTTATATAGATGGGGATGAAGAAGAAGGCGACACCCCGAGTCTGGGTGATGATGGCGGCGTGATACGATGTCGCTGACGGCGTAGATCTAATGTGCGTTTGTTCGTCCACGAAGGAAAGACAGTGGCGGCGGGATATCCATGTTGCTGTCTCCGTCCTACTTCTTGGGCTTCCGCCCAAGACCGATGTCTCAGCCTTCAATGATGGCAATGTGGAAGAACATGAAGGGCATGAGGACGACCATGCAAGCATGACGCATTGTACAACGGGCGACACCCAACGCAACATGCTTGAGGATGATGCAAGTCAGGAGGAAAGCGTTGAAAGCAGAGCTGATCCGGAAGAGTGAAGTACGCGCCATGATCTTGTTTGAGATGAGGGATGCTGATTTGAGACTCGCGAAGAAGCAATAGATAATCAGTTGAGATGTGATATATCCACTACGACAGGATCATCTACGAAAGGACAGGCCGCACTGGTCCCTTTTTGAAGTTTTGTCTCATCCATCGGGCGTCGTCGCCTTTTTGGGAGCCCCCATGTGGAAGACCAGGCAGACCCCTTTTTGCCATGACCAACACGATAATTGACGTACGATGACATCCTGCCATCGACGAGAACCCACGATTCCAGCCCATGTCCGTCTAGGGTTCCTTCGGATCCTGAGGGAAATGGCTTGCAGTGTGCATGATGGCATGTAGACAGGCCTGGGTTAGCTGTGGCGCCCATCTTGCAGACGGACACTCGAGCGCCCGGTGGCTAAAGCAAGGTAGGCTTTGCGGATCCTGCCTCGCTCAGAAGTCGGAACCATCCTGTCATTGACTCATCGGCGTTCCTGGAGGAGAGATGGATCCCCAAAATACGCAGGTGACCTGCCACGATGAGCCCCTTGGTGCTACTGACAGCTGCATCCACCATGCAGGCACCCTGCGCACTTGGTGGGTTGGCGCCCTCTCCTAACCAGTTTCTGCGTTGTACGAAGAAAGTTCTAGCGAAATCCCACAGATACGGACGTACCAGGGTGTGATGAGAGGAGTAACACAGCCTTGAACTCGCACGTAAATTGAACTGGGAAGTGTGACGAGAAGGACTAATTTTAACGCAGAATATTCTATTAGAAATAGTGGCTCTGTGGCCTCTGAGACTATGAGTTGGATTTCCCAGGAAGAAAAAAGGTAGGGTACAGCGTTTCTAGGTTTCTTTTCCCTTTGCGTCGCTTTGGTGCAGTCGAAATTGAAAAAAAGGATATCATACCGTATCTCATCATGGTCGTAGAGGAGAGAGTTGTTCAGGATTTCGAAAATTTACCCCATAAACGCCAAGAATCCCGCAGCCCAGATACACTTCTAGTACAGCAGAATTACAGTTGGGTTTTTGTTGTTCGCACTCGCAATTTGCAGTCGGCCGTTGAATGTGATGCATGTCGCCGTTGGACGGCTCGCTTGAAAATCCCTCTTCTAGAATTCACCATCGGCACTATTCCCGATGACCCCGGCAGTCCAAAGTCCGACGAGACCCCACCAGGACACCTTCCAGCCCCGCCAGAGGCCGTCCAGTCCTTGACCCTTGCGGTAGACCGTTTCTGCGACCCTGGGTTTGCTGCCCCTGCCTTTCTTCACCGGTGCGGGCGGGGTAGGGATGGCGCGGGTACCTTCCTCGTTCATAATGTAGAGCATGGTACCGAAAACGCCGTTATAACGTCCAGCGGGGACGATAGTTTCGAGCTTCTGGTCCTTGGCCGAAAGCGCCCGGACATGTGACGGGGTGGAGAGGACAGCAACTTGGCCGCGACGGAGGACGGTCTCGAGGGGAAGCTTGACGAATAGTGCCACAGATGACGCGCAAAACTTGGCGACTGAAAATGTGGTGGGGGAGACGCGGCTGTCGATGAGAAACCTGGTCCGCAGGACAAGTGGTGTTGACAGTGTGAGGATGGGGTGGATAAGCGAGTGGAAGATCGTGGGAATGGCGAGCGAAGAAGGGCAGACGTAGGATGGGAGAGCTCGTAGGGTCGAAAGCGTTCTCCTCGACCCCTTTGAAATTGGTGTGACAAGCAGTCTATCTCAAAAGTTAGCACTGCCCTGGAACGTGTGTAAACGTGAGACCACCAGTGACATACCTTGTGCGCACCAGATCCAGAGGTGCGAGAATGAGGCCCGTCGCAACGGCCGCAGCTGCGGCAACGCACAAGGAGGCCCACGGATAGGGTGAGGCAATATCAATCAGCCGATCAATGTCCTCCTTGACGCCGAGATCTGGTACGTTGAACAGTGCACTCAGAGCACTTCTGGACCAGTTTTCCAACAGCGAAGAGAGCACAGAGTAAAGGAACGTTGCATTCGATCCCTTCCACACACCCCAAGCCCCCTCCTTTTGCCACAGTTGGCCAATAACTTCCATCAACGAGTCGGATCGGCGGATTGTAATCTGGTGAGGCGGCACGGACTGCTTCGCTGCCGGCGTCTGGGGAGGTGTGGAGGAAGGTGACTGGCGGTGCCGATGCTCCCTGGAGGACGACGGGGTCGGCGTGCTGGGGGCGTTGGAGGTGAAATAGGCAGGCTCGTCGAGATCCGAGTCCGAATCGGCTTCGTCGTATGCCGTGTTTCCGTAGCCGGAACGCCGTCTCTCGGAGACTGGCGTGGCCAGGGGCGTCGGTGCTGCCGCCAAAGTCACGTCATCGTGGCTCTTGACCTGCAAAACCGTCTTCGCAACCTCGAAAGGCTGGGCCATTAGGACGGAAGTATACTTCCATAGCAGCTCGTCAACGAGGTCCTTGACAGTCTGGACGACGGAAGGAGATGGTTCGCTAATGTAGTCCTTGTAGTCGATGTCGGAAAAGATGTCGCGTGCCTTTGACGCGTACCGCTCGCTCGTCGCATTGGCTCCATGGCGGGCAAAAGGGTTCGGTGCTGACGAGGCAGATGTCGGGTCAAGAGGCTCTCCTATGGTTGGCGGCTTGTAGTACGGTCTCAGGGGATTCACCCCGTCTCGTTGAGTAGCCATGATCTCGTTTGGCGTTTGTTTGTGGCTCAAATCTCGTGATGCATGATTTCGGAAACTTTCCACTTTTGCTACCAATTTTGCATGATGAAATGGAAATCACCTCGGAGATAAAGACTAGCGGGGCCAGCACACAACAGACGACAGTGGACGCGCCTTCCTGGTGCTGTGCTTGGTGACCGCTGAAAGGCTCCGCCAGCAAGGTATGTCAGCCAATGGGATCCGCCCTTGCTGGCCGCTGACGGCAATTCCAGGGTCTCCGGAGGCGGAACATTGCGATTCGCCGGCCGATAAGCCCGAGGAGTGTGGGCCTTATCGGAGCTCCCGCTGGCGGCCGAGCCTATAGAAATTTCCCTGAATCCAATGCATCTCCACAGTTCTCTTGCGCATTTATTGAAGCTTTCCAACAACTTTTTGTCATTGCTTTTGCGGCGCCCGCCACCCACGAACGGAGCAAGCTAAACAACTCAGTTGACTGCGGGACCGTGGTGTCGCTGTGTACAATTGCCTCATAACCCTCGTCTTGCTCTCCTTCCTCCGTGCCCCCTACTTTGTGGCGCCCTTCCGTGGATTTTCCTTACACCGAGAAGACAAAAATCCCGGCAGTGACGCCGAGAACGGACTCATACCCAGCAACCATGTCTTCAACTAGACTCAGCACAAGCCTCTGCAGGGTGGCTGCCAACGCATGCCATCAGGCCCGTCCGCTGCAAAGACAGCTTCGAAGCATTCACAGCCAGATGATCTCTAAGAGGCCCACACAGCTACCCTCCAGACAGCTTCAATGGCCCTCGGCGCGTTTCTTCTCGGCTTCGGCCGTCCAGGCGCATGGCCACATCACCCCTCCGAAGCCCGGCGAAGAGTAAGACCGTCCGCAATAGTCTACCGAAGCTCACACTGACATCATCTAACAGGCTGTGGGTAACATTCGTCGACAAGGACGGAGACGAGTTCAAGATCGCTGTAAGCGAAGGCGATAATCTGCTCGATGTCGCGCAAGACAACGACTTGGAGATGGAGGGTAGGCAAAAACGTCTTGGTCACAATTGGGGCACGTGGTATGCTAACTAAATCTCCCCAGGTGCCTGCGGAGGCTCTTGCGCCTGCTCAACGTGCCACGTCATTGTTGCCGAAGAGGCATACTACGATAAGATGCCCGAGCCCGAAGACGACGAGAACGACATGCTCGACCTGGCCTTCGGATTGACTGAGACAAGTCGACTGGGTTGCCAGATAAACATGACAAAGGAGCTGAACGGCCTCAAGATCAAGCTGCCCTCAATGACACGGAACCTCCAGGCCAGCGACTTCAAATAGCAAGCGGACTCTTTCAGCATTGCGGCGTTGGATGCGGCATATCACAAATTATTTAATCATCTGTACTATACTATACATACACCGTGTCAGAAACAGGAGGGATCAGGATATTTTCCGGGGAGAAAAAGAAAAGGAAGGGGGGGGAGGGGGGTTGGTTCTTCAATCAAGCGCGGCAACATGGACGGGATTCATCGGCTCGGCTCGGCTTATGCTACATATTGGCGGGTAGCAAAGGACGGTGGGAGGGAATAGCATCACTCCTCTAAGCTCATAAACCTGGACAATTTGGTGAACAAAGGGGGTTGAAAACGCCAGGCCTGTGTAAAGGCGTTGGTATCCATTTGCATTAAGCTTCCTCCAATCCACCCTTTTTCAGGCCTCCTCCACCGGACGCAATTAGGTCCAAGAATCCCTTCTTACTCATCTCATTGATCTTCTCCTCCCTCCGCACCACACCCACGACGCCGTCCTTGCGCGCCTTCTTCTCCGCTTCGGCAGCCTTGACTTGCGCCGCTCTCACGGCGTTGAAGAGCTTGACGACACCCCTCTGCGCGACCTTGCGCAGCCTCCGCTCCGTCTCAATCATCTCCCCCGTTGACGTCTCCTCCGTCTCCGGCGCTACCAGCACGTTGCGCACGCGACCCTTCTCCATCGCCTCCTTCTTCTGTGCCCTCATCTGCTTGCGCGCCTTGGATTCGAGCGCCTGATCGACGGCTGCCTTGGCCGACTGGTGGGCCTCGGCGCTGCGGGCGAGCACGGGGTCTGAACGTTTCGCGTTGGAAAGCTTCGTGGACAGAATTTTGGACATGGATGTTGAGAAGGCGGACGGGTCATTGCGTTTGGACTTGATAAAGTTGGGATTGCCGCCATCGTCGCTTTCGTCTTCTTCTGAGTCGGAATCGGAGTCGGTGCCAACTGGTGCGTCTCTGCTCTTCTTGGGCTCGGGGGCGGGTTTCGTCTTCTTCACAGGTGCCGGGCGCTCATCGTCGCCTGAGCTTTCCGAGTCATCGTCCGAAGCAGCGCCGTCGTCGACAGCCGCGTTGTGAATATCATCGTCAGAGTCGAGGAGGTTTACCGCGTCGAATTCTTGTTCGTCGTCAGAGGCCGGTTCGGCTTGCTTCTTTTCCTGTCGCTTTTGCTTCTTGGTAGGGGGCGCAAGGCGGCCATCATTTGTCCGCTTCTTTGTAGCTGTTCCGGCCATGGCTGTGGTGGTCTGGAGCAATCAATTGGTGTTGATGGAGGGTATTGGTTTTGGGACTCGCCTTGGCTGGGAAAAGTTCCCCATACCGTTCTCAAGGTCAAATTTTTGGGTTCGGCTGGTGGGGCCAATTTCCTTATCGTCGGTGTACACACACCCTGATAAGCCAAATCCCACCGAGATCGCAACCCTCCTTCACCGAACATTGCTCCATATCCCCCACCGGATAACCCCACCCGGCGCTCGAGCGCCGATGTCTACTGCACAGTGCAACGAATTCTTTGATCTATGCCGGAGCTTTCATAGATGCAAGGTCCCCATATCAAGAGGGTAAGACTTGCCGCCCAGTTCATGCTTAAATCAGGCTTTGCAGGTATCGGTTGGATCTTCTCGCACGGCCACTAGGCTTACCTGTGACGTCTTAATCGAACAATGGTAAGGCGGTAGATATCAGTGGGAAGTGGGTTTGTAAAGCAAATGGTGATTGAAATAAACGGAGCGGTGCCTGTGATTGTGCAGTTTCGAGAGATAATCAATTTCCTTCGTAAGCAATCTAGTAAGACACCGTTCTATGGAGCTTTCGCTCCATCTCTATTCATAAAAATAAGGGCATCATTTTGAGCCCTAATGCACAAACCAAGAAGACCTGTATCTAGCTGATGTTTGACCTTGTCCTAATACGGAATGGAAACCGAGGAGAGCTTGGGAGTCGCAGCAAGCAGTAGGTAATGTCTGAAGCCTAAGCAGTGTGCAGAATCCTACCTAGGTATGTGGTTTTATGACAATGGGCCAATCAGAAGAGCCCCATCAAATGGTTATACCCACCTACCTACCTGCGAAGGAATCGCAATCCAACAGCCAATTCCTCCCACTTCCACTTCACCCAGTCAATCACCAATTTAACTAATCCGTCAACACAACCGTGCGGTTACCCTGTTACGTGAATAGCAAAAATTTTTCACTCTTCGAGTCAAGCGTTATTTGAGGCCATTGGTTGACAGCAGGCTTCGGCTGCAGCAGTTAAAGGGGATATGCAAACTCGGATAGGAAAGTCATCTGCTCTTGGTAGCTCCCGCCTACATCAGTTAGACCAACCACTGCTCCGACCCCGCGCCCCCCGCATGCCGAAATCGCGGTAATCGGACCCAAACTTCCTATCTGGGACGTCCGGGATTGGAAAGCTGCCTATTTAGAAAACACTCCACGACTTGGTGCGGCAGTTGTTCAAGAAAGGCAAGTTTCTAGACGAAGCTGACTGAACAACTTTCCTATCTGACTTCAGATAGGCAAGTCGGTTCCAAGCTAGGAAAGTCGGCCGTCATGCATTGCGCCGCGTATTCCCAGAGTCGACATCCCACCCGGACGGATAGTTAGGCAAGTGCAGCGCAAGGTGGGATGAAAGCCTTATGGTTATTAAAGAAGAAGAGGTTGACTGGTCACTTATTGACCCTTGAGTAGAGTGTAAATGTGGCCTATATCTCCCCATTGAAGCCAATCTAGCCACTAATACCCCTGGCGCTACTCGTATTTCATAATCGACTAGCTCGGATAAGGTACGTCAAGTAGAAGACGATGGATGCAACGGGCGTCATTTACAAGTCATCTTTGGCCGACGTCTCTCTCCCTGATCCTCGTCATGTTGTATTGCACTCCATTTGAAAAGACCCAAAATTGTTTTGCCCACAGAGTCTGCCAGCCATTCTGCGGCGTCGAGTCAGTGTGTGTGGTCTTGCCTCATGACACGAACAAGGTGGAATACCGGCACCTCTAGTGACTTATTTTCATGAACCTAGTACCATCAGCTGAACTTTGGTCAAGAGTTCCGAAATAGAGTCGTGATTTGGGTCCTTCCGCCGAGTTCGTTATGTCGCTTGACCCTAGATGGCTCCGCCACGCCATCTGTGTCCATTAATAATCTGCATCCCCATACGTACAATCTGTACGGTGCTGACTGCGTCTCAACTGTTAATCTAATCAATACAGCTCAAAACTTTTCATTACCTCATTTTTGTCCCGTCTGTTTCTACCCAACTTCGTATTAAACGACTGAAACTGGCGCACCTTCTTCTTTAAAGATCAGGTGCAGGGTATTTGACGCGGCAAGTCCAATCACCAGACCCGATAGCCCGGCCGTTTTGAACCCAAGCTGAGCGAATCAATACTAAGATATATTGACAGTGCCGCCCTCTAGAAATTATCTTCATGAAACCTTGCTCATAACATCTATCGATGAAACCTAACCTAAAGATTCAATTCATCGCCTCGCTTTTGCGAATTGTCTACCTCATTCTAATGCGATGTATGAAATCTGGACAACTGAGCGGATTCCATGTCTCTCCGGTGCTGATCCTCTCCTCTCCCATTATGCCCATGTCGGCTCGAATCGCGGTGCGTTCTCTACGGAGAGCTTTGAGTTGGTCTTGGGAATCGAGAACCTGAACGTTCACCATTCTGTTTCTCTTTAGATACCCATGGCAACACATGCTGCAGGACACCGATATCCACCTCATGAAGTCGCTCATCTGAATGATTGTCGCCATCATGACGTACAGTATCTACCACTGGTACTTTGGGGGAGGCTTGTTCGCTTTCGGCACATTCAGCGGCCATGATACCGGTTGAAAGATGCCCGATTCCCAGGTCCATCTGACTAATATCCCGAAGTGAATGGTCAGGCTCATCTCCGTCATTGTCGACTGAAATCAGCTCATGTAACCGATTGCTCGGTTGCACGACGGTATTTCCAAGGGTTCTCATCCTCCCTCTGTTACCAAACACGGAGCTTACTCCTGTTCTTCTCTGGCGAAGAAATAGGCGGCGGAAGTAGTCTCTAAAGGCGGGCATACAGGAGCAGAAGATGAAGCCATTCAACTCAACGAATGACCAATTTGAGATCGGCACAATATCCCCTGATGAATGTCAATATGTTAGCAAATTTACCGCTCTCAATAGAAAATCCACTTACACGTCGGATTTGAAGTTTTCATGAAATCTCTGATAGAGCTGAGTCGAAGAATGGAGACGATGGTGACCCTGCAATTAAGGTCAGCTCCAATCAACTATACACGGTCTGATAGCTCAGGGCACTACTCACAGAAATGCGACAGCGAACATCATGCCGGCACCAACCTTCTGTTTCCACCGCCAATTCAGTCTGACGATTTGCGAAATAGGCATCGCTACCACAACAACGTCAAGTGCTATGTTCACTGAGGCATGAGCCCACGTTTGAACGTTGATATCGTGGCAGCGGCCCTGGTGCTCGCCATCCCACTTAGTCCAGGTGTAGCTGATGGGCCAACACTGAACTGAAGTTGCGATGAGGAAGGAAACTGCTGAGATAACGCATGCCCATATAACGCCCCAAGTCAGGCGCCTGAATCTTTCATCTGAAAATAAGCGCAAATAGAAGAAGAGAAAGTTTGTTTTCGCAAACATAACGGTGAATGCATAGAAATGCTCTGCGATGTAGAAGAACTGGCGACATGGACTTTGGTCAACCTCGAACAATCTTTGAGGGGACCTTCGTGTCAGCAAACCCACTCACCTTGAAGAACTCGTTGATTTGCTCTGGTGTAAGCGTCCAAATATCCTTACCTAGGCCATTCTGAACCGCTGTGACATGAATTAAGAACCGTCTTTTTGTAGTGATCCTCTATTGGAAACTGGGTATGGCTTACTAAACACAACGACCACGCTCATGGGCACCGACATCAACTAGGCTGACGTTAGTTTACAGGCGCCGAGGGCGATTTGGCAAGACACATACCATCGAGAATATCAAAGCATAGTCATCCAAGCCCATAATGTAATCGATTCGTGAGATTTGGGAGTACATGCGGACTCCAACGCTGAACACAGCCACGAGAGCACCCGCAATGGCGCTGGCAGTGGCCGAAGTGCCTCGGTCTCGATTCGGGAGGCCACAAATGTCAAAAAACATTCTCTGGCTCTCTGTCCTCGTCAGCTTCGATTGGCTTAAGACATCTGACGACTGAGATGCGTACTCAGCCCGTCGATGACTGAGCATTTTTGGAAGCCACAGCCAACTGCCCCATGGAGTTGCTGCTCAGCGCAAAGGTATTTGACTGCAGTTTGAGCATCAGGCGCTGATGCCAGGATTGACGAGACGCAATTACTCTATTTTCAACGCAATGTCAGGAAAAGCTTTCGAATCGCGTTGCCTGAGAGGGTTGAGGTGTTACCGCGCATTCAGGTATCAAAGTTTCAAAACTTAGGCCCAACGGGGTGGCGCTTTTGACTGAAATTGTGTCCATCCTGGGTTTCTCTGATAAGCGACAATTTTGGCATGTCTGGTGATCAATGGCAAATAAAGCACATTGAGTGTCATTTTACATGCCCAGGAGGATGTTAGTTGCAGGAATGAGCTTTTTATTTCTTGACTGTCATGTATTTATTAGATCTTGATTATCAAAATGACTGACCTATGTTCAGCTTGTGAATCAAAATGAAATCTCGTCACTATTTATGGCAGTATCCCTGAATCAGAGGCGCCCCACTCCATGTGAACGTTTGTTCAATCTAAGCTGTATTGAGATGGGAAATGCAACGGCTCATTTAGCGCCAGATCTTTGCTCCAATCAATCATGCCCGATTTGGACTTACAGTTCAGCCGGTGGCATCTCAGCTGGGCGTCGGATCACTTTGAATTTCAATGGCGACCAAGGTTGAAACTAGCATGCCATAGCACATGGGCTAGTGTGCCGTAGGCCACTTCCTGCGGGGAACGGGAACGGGAACTTCGGGTGAAAAGAGCCGAGGAAAGAGAGCGTGATGTTCTCCAAGTATCAACTAGACGCTCCAGGGTACGAAGGCCCACTTCCAACCGTGGAGCAGACGATTCAAAATAAGGCAATTGATGATTCTAAATCACTATTTCACACCTCGATCGAAATATCCAAATAATTACTCAAATTGCTAGACAATTTTCGCTGTCTACTTTGTCTCCATTTAGAAAGCTTTTCGTATCTCATATCATACCCCCGTTCTATTTCAATATGTCTCTCCTTGTTTCAATATGTCTCTCCTGATGGTCCATCCTCCTATAAATGACTAGGAAAATGAAGATGGAACATCTCATATCAAGGGCCATCGAGCTTAGAGCTCCAACCTTCAGCAAGCACGGAAAGTGAAATCAACGGTAAAGACTGGATTTACTACAGAAGTGTGCCGGAATTATGGTCTGAGACTTGCAGCCTCACAGCGGACCGCACCAACCAAGCACTGCACTTAATCTTTGCCAAGAAAACAAGACACTTATCGCAGATCTGTTTCTGAATCACTATGTTTCCATTATTTTCTTCAGTCACGAACACCGGTGGGAACCTGGCAGACGAGACCCTGGCCGAGCTGTAGTGTCGATTGTTAGATAATCAAAGATAATCAAAGGTGAACGGTCGACTGCTGATGAGACGAGAACACTCACAACAGGAAGAACACAGCAGCGAGCACGTTGGGTAATAGCAGCGCAGATATCGCGGAAGTTTTCGGCAGACGTCGGAACGGCAGGGGCTGTTGGCACAGGCTGTTAACAACGTTCACCATCCCGAGAGTTTCTTAGTTTTGACTAACGGGGACCGCAGTCGAGGTTCGCAAGTCCCAAGATGTCGGTAGCACAGCATTGAAGGCTACTTTGGAGACCGGAGCAAGCACTGTAGGGGGCGGTGCCGCCACTGTTGCTGCCGTGATCACCAGTGGGAACGGCAACAACAGCGCTGGCCAAGAGAGCAACGATAGCGGTAGTAAACTGCATTTTGATGATGAGTTGATTATGACGGGAGAGTCCCAAAATAGGACTTCAGGGCTGAAGGCTGCTTTGAATTGATGAGAGAAGAGGTGGTTGATGATAATGGCTAGAAGGCGATTGAATGACCGGCGATTGCACATGTTATATACTTGGGCTTAGTAGCCGTTTATAAGGTCATAAAGGTCGAGTAAAGTAATAGTTCTATCTATGCCTGCCTCCATGTCCATAGTTATTGCATAGCCACGCTGGTATGACTCCATCTTGCCATGAACTTGATCACTAAGTGCTCCTGTCGGGCCAAAGACATCTTTCTGATCCACTCCATGTCAACGACATGGATATGCTCGGCAATATTGGCTTGGCTTCCCGCTTTCACTTTCAAAACTTGAGGTGCAAGAAATCCACCCAACACGGTCTACAGAAAGCGGAACTAGCTACTCCCGAGCCGCTAAATACCTGAGATGTGATACCGGAATACTTCGAAGTGCTCGAGAAAAGCAAAATTCAACTTCGTGGTGCTGTTCGGGGATGCAGTTCGTCTGAACCCGGGTGGAGCGAGCGCATTGGGCTGGTCCGGGACGAACATTCAGTTCGCCTACAGCCGCTCCCGTTTATCTAATGCAACGTTCTCCGCCTTCAGCTCGACTAAGGACGAATCATGAGATGGGGTGGTCTCAGCCCAGCCTTCAACTGTGGATAAATCACGACTGCGACGCTGCAAGTACAGGCATTATGCAGATGATCAGCGCTGTCCTTTCCTTCGTACCTTGTTTCTGAAAAGAAGCCTCATGTGTAGAGCAAGAGTGTAGCTACCTTAGCGTAACCACTTGGCCAGCGGTTATACGGCGTAAGGCTAGGCTGTTCTTCTAAACTCTTTGGCAGAAATTTTAATCGAGCATTGCTCAAATGTTGTTCATGTTAGAATTCAACTTTAGCTTTGAACATAGTTAACTGGACGCTTCGTAGTGCTGCTGCCCTGACTCACGCTTCGTGAGACTGGTGACAACATTTGCGTTAAGGAGCCGTTCTCCACTCATTCTTGAATGCTCCATCATCCATGGGTGTCAAATGCATGTGTAACAGCTTAGTAAACTTTTCAGCAATGTGTTGGCGTCTACTGATTCATCACTCGTACTCGCTTCAGATAGTCTTGCATATCCGACCTTGAATGTCACAATCCACACTGAATATTTGGGCGTACTGCGTAATATGTCACAATTAGTACCATGCGCGGAGTGAGGCGTTCACAGTTATTAGTGAACGGTGCTTTACATGGTTACGGACAAGGCGGGTAGAAACTGCAGCAACCTAGAATCTAAACGCAACAATAATATACTCGATCCTACTTGTAGTGCAGGATCTTCCTTGACATCGAAAAATTGAGACTCATGATGTAGCATAGAGGAAGCCAAATTGGCAAGCTCTGCGAAGTCTCCAGAAGGTGATCGATCCTTTGTGGTCAGATCATTAACTGTCACGCATTTGAAGCATTGCAAGAACTTGACAGACAACTGAGACCTGTGGAGTGTGAGCTAAACCTTTCGTCCCACAATTTCTACCTCCTCCTGCACCTGCCCCTGCTGTTCGAACTTCCGGACAACTTGAAGAGTCGCAAAGTAGCTGAACGGCAGGGCGACAAACCAAAGGCTGCAGTTGATGCTTGCAGTAGCTATTAGGGGGGTTGGAACGGCTTGAATCCCGAAACCCACCGCTACCGCTGCCGTCTCGATGCCACGAAGCAAAGAGCTATACCGGATCTGGTCGCCAGGGGAGTCCGAAAGATTTCCGATAGCCCAGTAAATGAAGTTTTCAATCATGCCGAGCGACGCTCTTTCCAGCATGTAGAGGCCGAACCCTCGTCCGAACTCGCTTTGAAAGGCCCAATCGAGTAAGGGTAGTGTAAATCGATACTCATTTTGGATAATCACGGCCCATATCCAAGTGGCAGTATTGAGGCATACGATGAGCGCATATGTTGCCAGGGCTCTCGTCTGGCGGTTCTCAGACCACGGAAGATCCACAAGAGAGCCGCCGAGCCATGTAGAAAAGGTGCTGACGATAGCTGCAACGAAGCTGCCCAAAGCCCGCGAGCGCACACTGAAGTACGTCGCAAGGTATGTGCCGGGGTATGCTTGGATCCAGCCGAAGTACCAAAAGAGGGGTGTCAAGAACAAGATTGAACGACTTCGCAGCAGCCTCCACATCTCGGTGAGTTCTGACCGCCAATGAATGCCTCCCGCCGCTTCGATCCGACTTCCGTCGTCCCGTATGACCTTATCAGGGTTGGAAAGGAATAGGCCGAAGGAGAAACCAAGACATTGTATTCCGATGAACGCAAGGTACAGCTCGTATCCAACTTTTCCCTTTTGGTTGACTTTGTGGTTGAGAGCTAGCGAGATGGCACCACCAATGATCATGCCAAAGTTGCGAAAAGTGAACCATGTTGCGACATAACGACCTCGCTTATGATGTTCGGGATATCCCGTAGCAATTGCTCCCTCGACACTGTAGGAAAATCCGGCACTTATGCCGCAGGCAACCGACCCGAAGTAGACGAGCCATGTTCCCCCTGTCCGATTGTTGACGTAAAGACCAGTTGCATACAGAGGATACCCGAGAGCACCTACTGCTAAAGTCCATCGAAACCCAATCAGGTTGGTGAGAAAAGGGCCGGCGAAGCAAGTCAACGTCATGAAAGCGTAAAGGAGGGCATTCGCCGCGTTGACCAAATCTGGACTTTGTGAGCCGCCGACACCGAATCCGTTCATGGCACTCCATATTCCCGGCGCGCAGAAAGCACAGAGACCAACGACGAGGATCTGGAAAAGGGTACTCCTGAAGAAGGAGATGAGAGGCAATAGGGAAGCCGGCATGTCTCCGGGTTCGATTAGAGGAGGTCGGGTAAGAGATTTCCTGCTGAAGTTTCCGTTGGCAGCTGTCTTCTGTACAGTTGGTGTCTCAAGAGACATCATTGACAACTGTCAGGGGGTGTGAATTGATGCCAACTTGGAGCACTTGATGATTGATGACGGTCTCGAAAAGTTTGACCGCAGCAAAGAGATGCAAGCCCCCTTTCGGAGACCCTGATAGCCCCAGTTGCTGAATGATCGACCTTTATGGACTGGGGTAACCCATAATGCTTGAAGTCAAATTATATCCCAAAGTTAAGACTCAAGAGACCCGGGCCTCTACATAATCATGAATGTATGGATTTCGCTTGCAGGTTCACAAATTATGTGCTCCTGCTTCATCCCAACATTGTGCCGATCACCAGTGCTCCTCCAATCTCTCATTCGATAGGACTGATAGACCTGGCCCCGCGTCGGGTACAACCGGAAGTAATTCGGGTGTTCCAATAATATGTTGGCAACATAAATCTGGTCTTCTCGTGCGTGTCAGGTGTTTTCAGTGCAGATCATCTATACTGCAGCTAGCATGTGAACCTCCGCCCCAAACTGATGATGAGTTATGGATGATTAGATCGCTTGATGGGTCGATAGAGAAGAGGTTTAGATTGTTGCTATGTGTCTGCCAGTGCAGTTTAAAAGAAAATGTACTATTTCCATCTAATGAATCTTTTTTAATTTACTCTTTTTATCCAAATTTACTTCACTCAATGACAATGAAGACGGAAGGTTGATGCGATTTACTAAAGCCCGTCTACGGGCTTGTCTCTTCAGCGTGTATTGCGTATTGAGCCAAAAGAGGACACGGCTGCTACTTGCCCCGGGGGTGTTGTTTGGCACATCATGCAGCACTCACCAATGAACATGTGGCTCGAGATAACGTGATTTTAGCCTCGAATGCATCAAAAGCTCGTGCTGGAATTCTTCCTGGCATTATATAGATTGCGACTCGCCCTTTACCGCACACTGCGCTTTTCCCCAAAACCAGCACACATTCGCCATCATTTATCCGAGCCTCTAAGCTTTTACATTCGGGTTTTCGCTTCCCATCTACAGCCATTTCATTGTGCCTACATATAATCAGTCAAAATGTCTGTGTCACTCATATCGCATGATGCGGTCAGCCAGCAAACGAACAAAATTGTTCCTCCCTCGGTTGTGTTCGAACCATTCCATGATTTACCCAAAACAAATCAACGACTTCTTGGCGAGCCACATCCCAGCGGCACTGTGACACCATTGGCTCTGAGGCCTTCGAGTGTGAACCAAGACGGAGAAGTTCAGTTACAAGAGGTCATCAATGCTATAGAGTCTCTCCAGAGCCACAACGAACTCACCAAGAAACTCGCTCTCCACGGGGCACTTCTATTCAGAGACTTGCCTATTCATGGCGCTGAGGACTTCAGCAAGTTTGCACATGCTTTCGGATACAAACCACACGAGATCATCGGTATTGTAGTCAATAGACCACTTTTGGCGCCCAATGTTGCACCTGCAAATGAAAGCCCTAAAGAAGTGCTCATCTACAACCACAATGAGTCCCCCCAGGTTCCGCACGCTCCCGAATACGTCTTCTTCTACAATCACAAAGCACCTTCGAAGGGAGGAGAGACGCCCATTTCTTCTTCTCTTGAACTCTTTCAACGAGCCAAGAATGAAATTCCCGAGTTTATTCAGGAGCTCACTGAAAAAGGCATTCTGAGCAAGGTCACCTACAAGTTCGACAAGCAGTATGCGGGAGGTTCAACACTACGACAGGCTTTTGGAAAAGACTTCGTGGACGGCGACAGTGTGGCTACAAAGCGCGCCAAGATCGAGGAGCAGATTGCTAGATATGGGCGAGGCAAGCATACAACGTGGGAATGGATAGACGACGGTGTGGTTCTGACGCATAGGTTACCCGCGATTCGTACTCAGCCAGGCACGGGACTGCCAACGCTCTTCACCGGATTAGCAGCTTACTGGAAGAACTCTCAAGGGGGGAACGGAGCCAGGAAGGAGGTCACCAAACAGCTTTACGGCGACGGAACGCCTATTCCGGACAAGTACCTGGAGCACTTGGCGAAGATTACAGAGGAGATCCGAGTGCTCCACAAATGGCAACAAGGGGACGTTCTCGTGTTTGACAACATCATTGCCCAGCATGGCAGACAGCCTTGGGAAGGCGAACAATCCGATCGCGTGGTGCTTGCTAGTCTTTTCGATGGAGACAGCGTGCCTGGTGCATACGGTGACAGCGATTGGGCGCAGGTTGTTCAGGCATTGGATGGTTGACGATGTCTAGAATTTGGACGTTTCAAGCTTCGACATGGAAAGGCCGACAACTACTGAATCAAAAGGCTTGATCATTTTTTTGAAAGACCTTCACCTTCAGCAGAGTGCGAGTTGAGTTCTTATGATGCATCGGCACCCGGCAGATGGTTTCCGCTTACTTCATTCATCACTCATCACCCCCCTGTGATTACTGGAAGCGGAGAGCATCTCTTCCACAGGCTAGGGAAAATTGGAATACTTGAAAGCGGAAAGAGTCGCCCAAATCTCAGAGGAACCAATGAGTGCGCGAGCTCTCTCCCTTGCGGCGCCTTTCTGTATTAGTACCGCGAAGTCTCCGTTCAGATTCCTCAAGCCAACCCCTTGCTTTAGCCTCAGGAATGAGAAACTCACCACTTCTGTCCAGGCATCAGGCACCAGGTACAGAAACGTGTCGGATATCAATGCCGTCCGAATCGTCGATTGTTGTCCACTTTTAAATCATGTCTGCCACCCCTTTTCCGCCCCCAAACTTCAATCTTCCCCTCCCTCTAACGGATTGGAACTTGGCCCAGGTCCATATTTGATATCCCTGCGGCCGAGAAATCAGACTCCCCGCTGCCGAGGACTTAGGAGTAAGCTTATATGACCATCGTTATGTGGTTCAACGTGGTAAGAATTTCTGTTGACCGCCCCGAAGTGCGTTGGGTACAATTCTCTTACGACTCGTGTTGGAAATACCACTCCAAGGAATATCGGTAACAACCCAAATAATTACTCTTATGACTTCCAGGCACTCTCGATGTATACGTATCGATCTTGTGGGCTCTTTCAAGTGATGAGGCGCTCGTCGTCGTATGCCGAGTCGATCAATTATAGACGTCCAGTGTATAATGATATGGGTTGTTGGAAGTTTCCTCGGTCCAGGCAGCTACCAAGTCCAGTGACCTAACAGACAGAGTTACCCCATTAAGAGAACTGTGTCTGCTTTTTTTCAATGAATGTTCATCTCTCCGTCAACTGTCATTATCTTGCTTGGACATGAAGTCCTTAATGTGCCAACGATGCTTCTTGAGTACTTACCAGGCAAGGCATAATCTACGACGGCTGGCTCTCGGAAGGTATAATAATGAACAACAAACTAATTTCTTCACAAGAGTGTCGACCCTCCGCTGGCGCCAAGGATTTTCTGGGACTACATCGAAGGCTTTCGGTTTGACAAGGTGGACTGTATGACGGATTGAATTGTCTGTGCGTAGACAAATGGCACCGTAGTAGTTCAACAACCGATAGACTGTTCATTCTGCCGCCCGCAGGCGTGACTCGGGATTATATTTCTGTCAACCCCCGCCGACTCGTGACCGATGATGATCAACTCGAGTACTTCGAGGATAGCTTGGCTGCGGATGGATTCAAGGAGTATGGTGACAAGTTGTAAATGATTATAGAGAGGTTCTGCACATCTACCAAGCTGGTTAAGCGTCGCAAAGTTAATGGCAGTTGTGAACGACAGAGCCGGGAGAGCAACGTTGCAAACCATGGATGGAAACGGGGTATTCTCGAAATGAACGGCGGGCACAGAGTATTTATGTTCAGGCATTTACAGCCTCCCTTGTATTACGGTGATCCCTCAGGCACCCACTGTGTGAGGCGGTGGGGTCGGCTTGCAGCAAGGGGTGGACGACGTGCACTCGGGAGGTGCTACGTAGGTCAGCAGAAGATGACATGTGCCAAAATAAGCAATCCACGTGACACGATGATCTCCCACGGGTAGAGAAACATGCTTTGCAACGGCGATTGCAAACTTTAGATATTAGGAAGTGACTGGATGTATAATAGCAGGTGTCATCACTATCCAGCTTTTTCCGTGGCCTTGTTGCTTGTTAACAATCCCAAGTACATTCATGCTGGAGAAGTGATTGGGGGCTTAAATGTCCATTTAATCGTTCCAACGTTTCATGGGTATTGCAGCGACATGTTCACTCAAATCAAGCAGGATACATCAGGAGAATATTCCAAGCTCAAAAGAAATTCTGGAGGTATTAATAAGACTCATAAAGAACTCAGGGCCGAGAGGAAAAGGCTCCAACACTTAAGCCACACTTGAATAAATAATAAGACAAACTTGACGTGGTTGTACCTAAACCGGTGACTGGATTTTGCTTTTAGGTCCATGATCCCGTGGCCAATAGGACATGAGAAGAGATTTTGATTATACGAAAACTCTACTTGACAGAAGAATTGTCTTCGCCAAATTTATGCCACGACCTTGGCCTAAATATTAAATGTAGCTCTTTTAAGAATGGATGAACTTGTGTTCTCGCTTCTACGTACCAACATGAATTACTGCACTGGTTTGCTGATATCCTTGGGACATTACAATGTGGTTTATGAGCTAGATGTAATATATAAGTATGATGACTTCTTAACATGATGCTCTGTGAGATGATACTGAGGGGGTGATAAGCTGTTTACTGTGGCGAACTACCAATACCGCAACCGAAAGCAGATAATCTTCAAGTAAACATGAACAATGTGGTGAGAGCCGCCTGAATCAAGATTTTTGCCCGATCCTTGCACACATGCTGTATTAAAAGCGCTGAGAGATTAAATATGACGCTGAAAATCAGCTCTCTGTTCTTCCTGTTTTGTTCAGGCCTCCAGCTACATCACTGGCGAGCGTGTTGTCAGAAGCTACGTGAAGCTGTCGTTCCTAGATGTTTTCCTAAATTCAGAATCGCTCTTAATGCTTTTCAGACTACATTCACACTCTTGGTTTAGAAATAAGGCCCATTTGCGTATTTTATAATTGTTCAAAAAAACGGCTCTCAAGTTTGAAATTAGCTGGAACATTTGCGATTTTAGCCCCGTTCGCAAGGCTGTTGGCTAGTTCTCAATGAGCACAAGATGTAAGAAAACATACTCATAAGTTGCACTATCTACTTGCTGATGACTTGACAACTGTTCGATGCATACTTCGTGCGGCAAAACATGCCTGTCGGTGGTTTCAGCCCCTTAGGTAAGGGCAAAATGCTAGTAGGTCAATCACGAGTAGAGTTTCAATGGTCCAAGAAATGAATCTTAACCTAGCACAGCGTGGGCTGTTTCTTTCCTCTCTTACGTTTTCTCGCATGAGTTGAAGTTGAAGCATTCAAGAGAGTCATATCGTTCGGATACCATGATGAATACTTTCCGCTGACGAATCGCTCAGTACTTTTGGGTTTGGTCAATATCAGAAACAACTTATACATTTCTTTTCAGGCCCCGGTATGTCATTGCCGCGCAATACAACCACACTCAGAGTAGTGGTCTGAATGAATCATCCAGGGACCTTAAAACGAGCAAAGATTCTGAAAAAAAGATTTATGCTATACCAAGCTGTATGTGGAAGCTGGCGGCTATAAATCTCGTCCTTTGGACTCTTCCCAAAACCATTCCACCATGTTTTGTTCATTGATTTCCTCGTGCCCCTAAGTTGCTAAGCAAATCCAGCACACGTTTCGTTACTCTCCTTGGATAGCTTCTGTACTGCCATTGGTTCACCATGCATTGATTCGAGGGGTCATGAAGATAGATGATAGAAAGGGATCAGCCGATGGAGTTTGAGAGGCACAGAAAGAAATCGCGTTCGAGTCCCGCTATATTCTTGGTCACATACCGGTGACTTCATTGATTTATCAAAAGCCTCAAATTCCAAGCCATTGTCATCAAAATCAAGTTTCAAGATTTGACAAATTTGACCCCAGTCAAATTTGTCTGTGGGCATCTTTAACATGTTGGCTGGTCTCTGGTTTATAGGTGCCAAGCAATGAGCATATGCACCAAAACGTTTTGACGTGCGTGCGTCAACAAGCTCCATCGCCGATGACTGCGAACATCAAATTATGACACTTACAGCTTCTTGGAGATGAGATATGGAATCGAGCATGCATCTAGACTATTGACGGCAACAGGGGACCTTCGGCCTATCATCTATGCCTTGCATTCATTGAGACGCTGACAATGTGAATGCCATTGCATCCACAATCCTTTGTAAGAGCTGGAAACTAACAATACATACGAGCGAAAGGGGCTTTCCTGGTCCTGGAATTTTAAAGATGTCACTTGCGATACCCAGAATGCAAAATGCACTTAGCGGCCCGCATCCGGAATATGAGATTGGCTCCACGAGTGTGGGGAAGCCGGAAGTCACAAGAGCAACCAGCCTCCAGAACGCTTCGCTTATCCAAGGACATCAACAGACTTCACTCGTCTCGTAGATTTAAGTCCATTTGGGGAGAAATATCCGTAAACATTCACGTTCCCTCCCTGTCCCCATTGTTTCCGCTGGGAATAAGAAATAATGCGCCTGCGAGGGTTGATATCATGCATTTTGTCGCTGTGGGTTCCGTCACCATTTGGAACACTCAACGGGCCGAGACCATTCAACTCAAATGTATGACTCGCTAAACGGCGGTTGGTCCCAAAGGATCGGAAGATCAAGAGCCTGATGATGATAGACAGGGGCAGATATCGGTCGGTGGAGGGGAGACGCCGGGTGTGACGAAAGGAGGCGATTTAGAAAATTCCAGGTGTAAGATCTGGCCCAGGGATACCGAAAACGTGCATTGTCGTCAACGAGAAGCTCGGGAGGGCACCGGGCGGAACGCCACGGACAAGGTCCAATTTCCAAGCTTAGCCGACGGGAATGCACGCTTATTGAAATTAAGCGACGTTGGGTTTGTTGTTTCCATCTTTCGTCTGACCTATTGATTGGTCCCTTGTTGAGGCGGTCTCCCTCGTTGGATTGCGGAGAAGGTGAGACATTGGCAACTGATGAGTTCCTGACCGAGGCGATCCATTCTTGACCTCCTGGCTAAACTCAACACGAACGACTAGGGAACGAGACACGACAGCGGAAAAATGGAAGGAAAAAAAGAAGCGAGACATGGAGACCAGTCTCTGTGGCGCTGCTGTGGGAAACTCTGTGTTGGTCTCAGGTATGCAAGCTCATCTTGTCACTCAGGAAACAATGCCGTAGCAAGGGAGAGAGGCATGGGCAGAGGTGCCAGAGACATCCTATCGATGAATCTCGCCTGACATGAGGGAAGGAGAGGGAGTTTCCAGAAGCTATAAGAAAGAGAAGATTCTCCAGTATCTATTAGGTCTTTCTTTCTCTCCTCACCCTCATCATCATTACACTCCGCATCCTTAGCTCCTCACTTCCTCTCTCTTTACCTCGTTTCACTCGTTTACGACCCGAGGTCTAGTCATTCTTTACTTGCTTTCGTCACTCGTTTTAGTCATGCGTCGCACGGCTCTCGTCGCCCTCATGGGCCAGGTCGCTCTGGGACAGGTGACCCCACCGTTCCTCAACACCTCCACGACCTCCACCACGCTCAGCTCGTCCTCGACTTCGGTTTCGTCTATCGTGACGGTCTCCTCCTTCTCCACAACCATCTCTGGTTCCACCTCGTTGAGCACTCTCTTGACCACCTCAACCGGCCAGACGACAATCAGCAGCTTGACCACTTCCTCTGATGCAAGCACCACTGTGACGACCGAGGTCCCCATCACGACATCCGACGAGGTCACGACCATTGACACGACCTTCAGCTCCGATGAGCCTCCCATCACCACTGAATCGTCCGTAACGACCACGATCGACTCCTCCGCCACCACCACTGGCACCGACAGCTCCACTGGCACCGACACCGCCACTGGCACCGACAGCACCACTGGAACCGCCTCGTCGACGTCCTCGTCCGCGACGGCCTCTGCCACAGTTGCCCCCAACCCCACCAATGTTGGTGACTTCACTCTGCTCGGCTGCTTCGGCTCCACCACCGGCTTCCCTACCTTCGAACTGGTTCTGTCTGCCTCCTCCATGACCCTCGAGCTCTGCGTCGCTTCCTGCCCCGCTGGCAAGCGCTACGCCGGTCTCTTCGGCTCTGACTGCTTCTGCGGTGACATTGTCAGCGATGCCACTGCTACCCGCGTCTCTGATGACCAGTGCGACATCACCTGCCCTGGCAACTCTGCCGAGAGCTGTGGTGGCCGCAGCACCGGCGGTACCCTGAAGCGCCAGCTCATCTCTGCCGAGATCCTGTTGACCATCTACATCCGTGTTGATGGCGGTATCGATGTCACCACCACTGCCACCGTCACCACCACCTTCGTTGCCACCACCACTGCTACCGTCGACGGCACTGCTTCCACCGGCGTCACCACCATCACTACCACCTACTGCCCTGTTTGCCAGGACTGCCAGGGTCCCTTCTGCTACAAGCCCACTCCCAACCCGTGCTCCAACGGCGAGTGCTTCGGCGTTCCCTGCTACGGTGATGACTGCTACAAGAAGATCGTTGCCTACGGTGACTACTGCGGCTACGACTACCCCTGCTACGGAGATGACTGCCAGCGCCGTCTCGTCTGGATTGAAGGCACCTGGTACCCTCAGGCCTGCTCTGGATACGACTGTGGCCGCAAGATCAAGTGCGTCTCCGGACAGTGCAACTACGTCGTTGTTGGATCCGACTTCGATTCCGAGAAGATTGTCTGCTACGGCAACGTCTGCAAGGTTGAGGCCTGCTCCAGCGATGAGTGCAACAAGAAGTACGTCTGCACCGACAACACCTGCGTCTTCGAGTCTTGCCCGTACGCCGAAGCCAACAAGAAGTACGAGTACAAGGATAACAAGTACATCGAGGTCTATGGCTGCAACGGCAGCTGCCCCATTCCCCAGCCTCCCGCTCCCATCCCTTACACCCCGGCTACCCAGACCTTGCCCGCTGCCTACCCCCCGGCCACCGGCGCCCCTCCCGCTGGTTTCCCTCCTGGCGCCACCCCTCCTGCCGGTGCTCCTCCCGCTGGTGCTCCTCCCGCTGGTGCCCCTCCTGCCGGTGCCCCTCCTGCTGGTGCTCCTCCCGCTGGTGCTCCTCCCGCTGGTGCCCCTCCTGCTGGTGCTCCTCCCGCTGGTGCCCCTCCTGCCGGTGCTCCCCCGGCTGGCGCTCCTCCCGCTGGCGCTCCTCCCGCTGGAGCTCCCCCGGCTGGAACCCCTCCTGCCGGCAACCCCACCGGAACTGGCGCCGCCAGGCCTCCTGTCGTCACAGCTGGCACCAGCAAGTTCGCTGCCAGCTTCGGCGCTCTTGCCTTCAGCGTTCTTGCTGCCGCTGTCCTTCTGTAAAGGATTCGCCTGAGCATGGACTGGGATTGTTCTCTTCTCTTGACCCCTTACCGGGTCTGTTAATGGTTACCAGTGGTGGTTTGTGGTAGGAGTAGTGGTTTTCTTCGATTGTGGCCTAGCGGTTTTTGGGAGTATCTCCGGATCTCTCTGCTCGGCTATGGATGGATTTTTGACAAACGATTTGACGATATAGATAATAAAGCGTATGTTTCGCCACATAAATCACCTGGTCCTCTTATGACTGTGAATCACTTCATAACTTGCTTCCCACCATGGCTTGCAAATAACTCCAAATGACCATAAAATCTAACTTTTGGTACTACAGGCCAAAAACCGCTTGCAATTTAGAAAACTTGACCCCTCTCTTGATGATTGAACGTTGCAAAGCTGGGTCGTCTATCCCACCTTTTACAAGTTTTAGTTGCGAAACTGGAACCACAACATGGGCTAAATACTTGAATGAGGCTATACTAGGACCCCGAGGTTGATGTCTTCCATCGACTAACCTGTGGTCATGGTGGACAAAAGCACACAATCTGAGTTTCGAAGAAATAAAAAGACAAGGAAATTGAATTCAGTGCTGTGAAACTTCAAAAAAATCAAATCTACGAGGTGGTTAACTTGTTCTGATTGAGCTGCGGCGGGTGCAAATCGCTCGGTCCCCTCTGCGAGAGGCAATTTGGGTCGCCGATGCTCGCCGATGGTCGGTACCGAAATCTGGTCCACTTTCGGGAGTGTTGTCCGGGATCCACCCGGGCCCGGGCCGTGTGGCTCGAAGTGTGATTCGGTAAAGAAATGAAAACAGAACGAGACATGCCCGTTCTTCTACGGCAGGGGGTCGTTCGTATGCCGTGAGTTCATTTGACGATACTTTCATCTCAATCGGAAGTATGCAGGCAAAGATACAGCTGACAAAGATTTGTGCATCGGTCGGCGCTCCTAACATGCGCATAGCCATTTATTATCCATTTTATGTACCCGTATATATAATCCTCGAGGACATCGCAAAGTATCATGGCAAAAAGATTTGGGTCTCGGCGTCATTCTTCCGGCCAAACGTCGCATCAACCCCCTTTGCGCGTTTCAGCACGTGGGAGGTCCAGGCGGCGATGTAACGGCGTTCCAAGGTTGAGATCGGGCACAGATGTTCCGGACTCTTGAGATTACCCCCGGAGCAACCCAGCTAGGCTCGGTAGAAGGAACAGTCTGCGGCAGATGCAGGACGCCATTGGAAGGATGATGTGGGACAAAGTCGTGCTAAGAAAATCTGGCAAATGGGCTGTCAGCTGGAAGACTCGGGTGTCCATCAAGGGAGACTGGGAAACGCTGCCAATGCGGTTCCGGTTGGTTGCAGTCCAAAATGACCCCCTTCTCCGTTTCCAACGAAAGCTTGTCTCAGTGCGCGTTCCCCGTCCTTCCCCCCTCAGCTGGCCGTTCACGGTCAGCAACCAAACCGTCGTCAGGCCAAGGAACCACAACGTGGAACAGGCCACTGAACGAACCGGACGGCACCGCAACTCGGACGGTCATGCCTGCATGCCGCAAAGCCAATTCCTTCTGTACTGTCTTCCTCTTTGAATACTGCCTTGTCCTTCTGTCACATACCCGTCAGCCTGACTCTCATACCGCGCATTCCTATGAGCTAGCTGTGAGCTGAGGATTCTATGACCATGAACATGTCCTGTGCCTGAGAGTAAGCGAGCAGAGCTTTTCCGAAGACGACCATTGACCATCTGCTTCACACCAACACCACCTTACGACTGACTGACATTGACCTTTCCAGACGCGGCCGTGGCCCATGGATGAACCTTAACTTGACCAACACGTCCTCCTCCCCCGCGTCTCCAACCCGAACTACTACTGCATCTTCCCCCATCTTCCTTTTGCCACCCAACACTCACTTCCTGGCTCTTCTTTTCACTCAACTCAACAAGAACAACCCCACTTCTCTCATCCAGACTCACAGCAGCAGCAGCAGCAGCCGACAGCAGGTCTATCACCAGCGATAGACATCCGCACTCAACACCTGGATTTTCAACGGGTAGCTGAACGACGAAATCTCAATTCATCACCAGTACAGCTCGTACGCTTTATTGCCTCTCTCTGAGCATCGATTGAGGGCCGTCTTGGTCAGTTCAGGGATACGAAGGGGCACCGACGGGAGGACGCTTCAACCGGGACGAGGGCTTTTGGCCCGACTCACCCCGCCATGGCGCCAGACGCAAACAGCAACGCAGTCACATCGCAGTACCGGACCAAGGAACAGGACCAACAACAGCTGAAGAAGAAATGGAAAAACATCTGGTTGAGAGGTCTATCCGTTCGTATTCGGCCTCGCAAGGACTCGCCGCGAGCAGCAGCAGCAGCGACGACACCAGCAACCGGAGGAGAAGCGGACAGCAACGTTGAACGAGGCACCCAGACCACAACAACGCGCACACACAATGCTCGCAGCCAGAGTCGCACGCTGCGGCAATCAGAAGCGCTCGCGCACCCGAGCGAGTCAGATGCTCTCACGGATTCAGGCCCCTCGTCGACCGCTGCCACCTCTGCTTCGCACTCGCCCGCGACATCAACCACCGCTCAGACCACCACCGTCCCTTCAAGTTCGTCATCATCCTCCTCCACTTCACTCAGTGCGACTGTCGGCGCCGCTATCGGCAACTTCCCTTCGTCGTCCGCGCCGTGTCCCACCTGCGGACAGCGCCGCCATGTCGACCTCCACCGGCCGCCGACGCCGGTCAAGCCCGAGGATCGGTTCCAGTTCCGGTCCGGGGTCCCGTATGGTCCTTGGACAATCACCCATCCTCCACCGTCAGCAGCTGGACCAGCTCAAGTTCCATTCGAGCTTCCTGTTGCGCAGCAAGTCGCCTGCTGCCCCGCAGAGAATTCTGGACACCTTACTGCATTCCATCCCTTTGCTCGCCTGCCACCGGAGCTTCGCTCCAAGATCCTACGGTTTTATCTTGAACGGCCACGCATCGTAGAAATTCGGTGCATGAATGACTTGAAGAAGATCCATTTCGCGCCAAATGCGCTCGGAAACCTCGCCTCGAACATTGCATGGAGCGCGGACAACACTCTCCCGGCCCTGATGTGGGTAAATAGGGAATGTCGCGCCGAGACACGCGCATTCTACCGCGTTCAGCTGCCAATGCACCCAACCAACAAGATCGCCTGGCCCGTCATTATCAACCCAGACTTTGATACCGTCATCTTCACATTCCCCTGGAGCAGCGAGATACCACTCGACATCTTTTTGAGCGACTGTCTCGCCTTTGACCCGCTTGGCGTAGGAATCCGACACTTTGGCACCCGCGACAGGGGCGGGCCGGAGACGTGGGACCTTACGCCCGTGCCGGGATGTGCGCCGCTCGCGGAGAGCCTGGCGAACCTGGAATCATACACGGAGGCGATCCAGCTGATGGACGATCGCGCGGCGGCCCGGTTCCCGGTGTGGATGATTCACGAGGGCTATCTGACCAGCGGCATCCCGGCCAAGAACGCATTTTACCGGGACGTTCCGCGTCTTCTCCTGAGCAACGACTACGAGCCCCCGGATGCCATCAATCAACGCACGGCGCTAGAGGCGTTGCGGACGCAGCTCGGCGATTACCTGCCGAAGAACGTGGCTGAAGATTTGGTCATGCAGAGAATGTTTTACCGCAAGTATTTCCGGCACCTGCGGATGAAGTGCACTAAGACGGATCTTGCTGGGCTGGGCATGGTGAGGCAGATACCCGGCTGTGATACGGAGGAGTTCTTCCTGAGTAACGGCCGCGAGGTTGCGGGGCCGCGGAAGAAGAGGAGGTCTGTGCTCGATGTGAGGCCGAGTAGTAGCTGGCATTTTTGGGATGACGACTGAATTGATGAGTTGCGAGTGAAAAAGCCTGGAGATTGTTCTTGTGTAGAAGGGAATTCCAGAAACCCGAGGGTGGTGAGGCTATAAGAACATGTATCAAAAGTACGCTACAACCGGAACATGCGACAGAGCAAAGCTTTTAAAGGAAAGAATACCAGAAGAGAAGAGTTTATAGAATCCAAAAAGTTTTGCTGCGATGTACACAAACAGTGGCACCGGGTAGTCGAGACATGACTGAATCGGCCAAGTTGGTATGAAATTCAAAGCCTGCCTCCTGAAGCAAGCTTGGGTATAATGAGAGTTAAGGCCGCCCCGTTTTCCGCAGCACCATAACCATCAGGAGTATCTGCGCTATGGTCATTTTCGTCATGTCAGAGTACAATTGTCTTGCGTGCAGTTTTTGTCCATCCCAATCCATATCCCCCCTTCCGTGATCCGTCCCATTTGATGTTCCGCATCTTTCCTTTCCTCAAGACCATATGCGCTAATATATGTAATACAAATCAGTAAACAAAGAAGGGGTCGATATGAACTGAGCGCAGCTCAAAGTCCTTCGATACCCACACAAAGATGTGCTGAGCAACTTATGAGAATGCACCTTTCTCGTCCATAACCTTTGGCTGCGAAATCTTGCCCTGTAAGACCCCACCTCTCTCTGCACCTCTCTCAACGGCATTGACCTTATCACCGCCCTTCAGAGCCTTTCTGTGTCTGAGGAAGTCGCGGACTGTGAGCGCAATGTCAAGTCCTGAGACGGATGACCCCAAGACAAAGACTGTCGAGAGACTAAACCCGATGACCAGGGCCAGATCAAAAGGAACAACCTGCGTGAAGCACAGGGCTACGGAGCTGAGATCCGCGAAACCCGTGATAATGGAGGCGAACGAGAGAATTAAAAAGAGCTGATTAACCATGACGCGGATGTTGGGGAGACTCAGGAGCGGCGCCGGTGGGGGAGTAGTGGAATGGGAGGTGCTTGGGAGTTGAGGAGGGGCGCGGGCTTTGATGACGAGATGCATCAAGAAGGCTGCGAACCCAACGAGAGTTGTGAAGAGGCTGATGATCTGTTGTGTCTGGTTTAGTCTTGTTGTTTCCAGATCAGAGGGGGATGAGAATTACTTACACCATGAGCGGTGCGAAAGTGGGAGGACTTTGCAGTTACCAGAATACCAAAGATGAGAACAACAACAACCGAGGGGCCCATGACGAAGAGCCACATGATGTTGTTCCACTTTTGGACGTTCGGAAGGATCTGAGGGGCGTTGATGCGGAGAAGAAGGTTGCGCATGTGCTCGAGACCGATGGCCAAGGGGAGGATGTTGATGTAGGCGATGATGGCAAAGAGGACTAGCAAGGTTTACAGTGTCAGCTGAATCACAGAGCCTCCACAGGCATAATAGTACTCACTATGAAGAACGAGAAAGACGATCCAGCCTGGCAACTTGAAACCGTTGACTTCGATGCCATTCGCGGCGTTAATAATCGAGTTCCCGAGCGCGTCTCGAATCACTTGTCCATCGATGGCATAAGAGTGCCCCTCACTGTTGATCTTGATGATTCCAGTCGGAATGACCTGTTTCGCAGTCTTTGTGACGTTACCGTTGTTGAAAGAGTCCAGTGCGATCGTCTTGCTACGGATCAGTCCCAGACCAATGAGACCCAAGCCGCCTACACCCTGGCAGGAGAGAGCATTGACTCCGGCTTGAGCGGCCATGGAGATTGTCTGTGCATTGATTACGACGGACAAGTTGAAGCCTTGGGTGGTGTTGACAGAGACGACTGGCGGGGGATCCTGACGAGAGACCAGTTCAACGTCTCGGCGTTGGGCGGGAGTACTGGTGGCCGGAACCGCCGACGCATTCGCGGCGGTGAGAGGATTTCCTCGAGGATTTTTGGCAAGCCCGTAGATGACGAGAACACCCTGGCTACCGATCCCGACTCCAAAGCCGCTGGCAGCTCCGCCGAGCGAGTCGTCGAACTGGACCTTGTCATCGGGCATCGAAGCGGTAGGCATCGTGGCGTTGCCCTCGAACAGAGACTGCACGCCTCCCATACCCTGAATGGCATCACCCGCGCCCTGGAGGAAGCCGCGAGCGAAACCCTGCGCGACTTTGCCAACTTGGATGTTTTGGCCGTTGAAATTGATAGTCGCCGGGATGCCTCCGCCGTTCTGATTCATGTTCATAGTGCCGCCCACCTTGTTGAACAACTCGCTCGCGGTACCGTTTTGAAGGAAGCTGCTCGTCAGGCCCTTGGCGAAAGTCTGCGAGATGCCGCCAAAGTCGATCTGGTCGTCGGGCATCTGCTGCATTGGCACCGCGGAGTCGGGCTGTAGGCCCAAGCCCACACTCGCTCCCTGGCCCAGACCCTTGCCGAAGCCTGACGCCGCGGCGGGGAGGATTCGCATGATTTGCTTGGTAGTATTGGCGTTGTTGGCACTGTTGAAGAGCTGCTTGATGTCAATGTTGGCCGTCACCGTCTTTGTGAGGCCGAAGCCAAAAGTGCCGATAACATTTGGGATGCTGGAATCGTTGGCGGGCTCGAGGTTTGTCGCATTGACGTTCAGTTTGAGGCCTGCGACTGTGCCGTTTCCGAGACCTGTTGCAAGAGACAGGGCTATGGGTTGGAGCTGGCTCGTCAGGTTGCCTCCCAGGCTATTGAAGTCGAGGGCGCCCAAAAGAGTGGAAGTCAGTCCGACACCTAGGTTCTGGATGGCCGGGTTGAGACCGGTGGCCTCCATCTTGTTGTCTGCCGCGACCTTTGCTGCCACCTCCATCGACTTTGCTTGTGTGGACAGGTTCAGCCCCTGCGCCGTACCGGCGCCGATGCCGATGCCCAGAAACATGCCTGGTCCGTTGAGGTTGGCGACAAGTTGGTTTCCGACATTACTCAGCCCGTCTTTCAAGGGTTGGATAAGACCACTGAGCAGGCCGGCCGACATACCACCTCCATCGGCACCACCGCCGCCTGGGGTGGGAAGACCGGGGAGACCAGGAAGACCTAGAGGGCCGGCACCGCCACCGCCACCAGGAGCGCCGCTCGGAGAAGCAGCTGGTGCCCCGGGGAGAGGAAGGTTAAAAGGATTGGGTAGTCCACCTGGGCCGCCGCCGCCGCCACCACCACCACCACCTCCTCCTCCTCCTCCTCCTCCGCCACTCCCAGGAGCTGCCGTTCCAAAGAATTCTCCGAGGCTCGGCAACTGTCGCTTTTGCACTTCGCGCGGGTTCTGTTCATCAACCTGTAAAAATTCGAGGCTCCTCCTGATTTTTTCTTTGTACTCTTGCAGGGCTTCTTTTGTTTCTTGAAGTTGAGGTGATTCGTAACGGGCAGCGAGTTGATCAGTAAGGTCAAACGTATAGTCGACCATGGACATTAGTGTCCTTCTGAGCCTTGGGTCATTGCCAATGGCTTCGACAGTGTCTGGAGTTACGATGGCATCGATGGCTTGACCCCAGGAACCCAAATCCCGTTTCGTTGCCGGCTGACTGCTTAGGCTGGATTCCTGGTAGAAGTAGTCTCTGAACTCTCTTCCAACACTAAAGATGGAAAATACCATCAAAAATCCGATGCAGAAGGTTGTCAAAGTTTGATGCCTCGGAGGCGGTGGAGGTGGGAGGGTCTGCGGCCTCTCTGTGACATCCTCCTGTGGTGATATCTTGTTGTACATGTCCATAATAAGGAAGAAGAGCGGACGTAACTCGGAATCGTGATGCAAGTCTAGCGTGACATTAATGAAAACAGGCTTGGGTAGCAAAGACCAAAAAATAGAATATGGGGAAAAGGCTGCCAGCAGCAAGCAGTGTACGAAGGATACAAAAAGAATTCCTCGAGGCTATACCTGAATGCTGGATCACTAGATGAACGAAGGAAACAGAAGTCTTTTACTAGAAACACGGAGAGACGATGGGGACGTATCTATACAAGATGGCCCGATGGCAGTGATACCCTCAAGCCTAAAACATGGAGCGTCGATCTCCCTCCAGGGTAGTCGCGATGCCACTGCCCAATGCGGCTGGATCCCGCTCCACTTAGACCCTGGCATGGCCCGCACCGGGGTGGATTGAATGGGACATGGGACGTGGGAGGCTCCTTGCGAGCATCCCAGACGTCTCTAGCTGGGGTGGAATCCTTGAATCGAGCACATACACAGTCTCGGGCCTTACAACATCAGGCCTTTTCTTCACATATCGTTCGTCCAAGTGGCAGAGTCATTTTAGGGCTTTGCCGTCGGTCATAGGCTTGGGTACGCCCTACAGGTGCGAGAGTTCTGTCATTTGCAGGCTGGCGAGTACAGAGGTCGAAGCCCAAAGCGTTTCCGCATAGTTACAGTAAGCCATAAAATTGTGTCAAACGAAGCTAAAAGAGAGTCGTGTTCGACGCGTTCGGTTGGACAGCGACGAGGCTATGTCATTGTAACAGCGTTTTACGACACTGTCCAATTATCGAAAAGGGCCGCGTGGAGGGAAGCAGCGCTCCCTAGACTTGAACAGAGTAGTTCGCCGCGATGGGGACTATAGAGGGAATGCGTATACGAGATACGGGGCTCAATAAGGCAAGTCGTCCTTCAGGATTGACGTTGGTAAGGTATTGAGCATAGGCCAGGAAGGGCAAAAAGGGATAAGCAGAGTTTGAAATCGAGCCACAGACAACGAAGAAGCAGGTTGTCAGTTGGAAAATGCTGGAGTTTGCGAGTTTCAGACGGCTGTGTGAAGTTGCAAATACTCTGCGGTGATTGGATCATGGTCGTGCCTATCATCTGTAAGTAGCGTAACTATCCCGGCTGGAGCACCTAATGGCAATTAAGGCTGTTTACACTCGTTCCAAGACGACCAAGAGATTACCTAGACAGAAAGAATTGGGCAGGGGACCCATGAGGCACATCGCAAAGGTTCCCGCCATGGCGATGAGGATAGCGCCGGGCGGACACATGTGTGTCTCGGGTCTGTGTGTGCTTGACGGCATCTGACACAATGTGACAGGGGAAACGAACGGACACAACTCATGAACAACAAGGGCAACTTGGGCAATGAGCTTGCACTCAGCAGGGTCACAGCGTCATTCAAAGACGCTGTGATGCAAGTGCGTGCCAGACGTGTCAGCCGGGCCTCTCCCTGCCCCTCCCCCCTGGTTCTTGGTAACGACTGGATGAATCAGCTCTCGCAAAGTGCCCGCAAAGCATTTCCCAGAATGGCAACTCCCAGACAGATGGAGCCGAGTACGGCGCGTCTCCACAAGTCTTAGTCAGCCTGTTGACCGCAGAGGTTCCCTTCTAGAACGAGGTTGGCGCTCTGGAGTCTTCAGCAACTCCCGTCATCCCCGTCGGCGTCACTCAAAAGGGGAAGCACCTCATCGTGTCCGCGTTCGTATTCTGATGCCCACATGCACCGCGCATTTCACTGTCATGGAACCTTCTGCAACTGTCAGACACACGTCGTCCCTTATTTCCACTTCCAGTGTCATTGCCTTCCAACCCACACTTGAGCCTACACCACGATCCAGAGACTGAGGTTTTACGCGCACTCTCATCTTTACCTTGACCCAGCCTACATGTAGCATCCATTGGTATCTTTCATCCCGCTCACAGTGCAGAACGTTGGTTCAAAGTCGTCACCCGAGTCATCGCTAGCGCTGTCCCCAGAACTTGTCAGACACTCAGCGGCTGTCCGACGCTTTCATCCTGCGTATCTAATAATGTCGGTGCTTGGTGGTTTACCAAGCCCAACAACCTCGGCCTCGGCCTCGCCACACCAGTCACATCAGGCAATGGATTTACCCGTTCGGTCGACATCACACCAGCCTCCGCCTCCGTCTCCGCCTTTAAAGGCTGAGAACGAGCATGACGCTGAGGTGTTTGAGGCCGAGCACCAGGATGGGGGGCTCCGAACCACAGACATCCGTGCCCCGCCCGTCGTCCGGAAAATCCCTCCAACACCCTGGAGGAAGCTAGAGGCGTGTAAAGGTTTCGACTTGCGGACCTGGACTGCCGCTTCGGGGAGCGAGCCGACTACGACTACATCGATACCCAACAGTATCAGCTGCAGCAGCCACGGGTACGACGAGGGTTCAGTCTTTCATGGCTTTCCAGACCTGCCCTACGAACTGCGACACAAGATCTGGCGCATGCACCTGGAGCGGCCGCGCATCGTGGTAATCAGAGGTGTCATGGACGGCTCGGGGGTCCAGGCTTCCGGCAACGACCTGGGCAACGTCGTGTGCAACGCCAACTGGTACTGCGAGAACAGGAGCCCCTCGCTCTTTCGAGTGTGCGCCGAATCACGGCGCGAGGCGCGGTCGTTCTTCAGGATCCGGCTGCCCATGAGGTCATCGGCGCCCGACAGCCACGGCTTCCCAAATCTGAATCAGCGAAACCCGGTGTGGGACCAAATCTACATCAACCCTGACTGGGACCTCGTCCTGTACCAGGGCGCCACCAGATCGCTCACTATGGCCATCCTTGCCAGCGACCTGCTGGCCTACGACCCATTAGGCAAAGGGATCGCGCACTACGGATCGAATGATTGGCCCCAGAGCATATGGCACGTTAACCCAGACCCCGGTTGTGGCATGGCTACCCTGAATGAATCGTTCGCCTTCCTCAAAAGCTTCGTCCTCTGCACGAGGTCCACGTCTGAGATTACTCGGCCACTTGGCGAGGGTTATGTGTATGCCGTGGCCGGCGATGTTGGCCCGGCTGGCATGTGTGACTCTGGCTCCTATACGTTTGACTGGTATCGTGCCTCATCCGGGATGGCTGCCAAGACACCAAACAACAGCATGGTCCGGAAGGCTCTTATTTTCGGTAAAGGTGTCCATCACTCCGTTGTGAACAGCCTCATCGCGATTGAAATGACTAGCCGTATCCACGATGGGCCTCTCTCCCAGAACCTCAACGCGACGACTGAGGGATGGGTCATCAAGCTCGCCTGGCAACCTCCGGACTGCGCCATTTCCCATGTCATGCACCTGACCACGGGTCCCATAAGGGAGCCCAAAGTAAGTTGAAGTGGCAAAACGTCTTCCACATTGGGATATACTTCTATATTCGTTCGTCTCCGATCCTCTTGCTACAATTGGATGCGCGGCCCGGCGACAGCACAGCATGATGACAACAGGAATGGAGAAAGAAAGCCTGAGCTGCCTCTCTTGCGGGGCAGCTGGATTTGATGTCCTTTTGTCAATGTTTTACACCTATGATACAACAGACGTCTCTCTTTATCGGCGTTATTGCCTATGCGAGAGCGGCCTCAATATTCTGTCCCTGATAACTCTACCTGCTACATCAGCGCCGTGCTGCAGGGTGATGGCCCCTACAATAGCAAAGACTGCCGAATTGAGCACAATTTGCTGGCCCGAGCCAGAAAGGTTTTCGGGCTGGAAATGACTTCGTTAGAAAAGAGGGTGTCGCCTCCTGAGGGGCTGCTGAGACGGGTTGTGAGTTTGGCTTACCTTTGCCGGCTTCCATCGCAGAACCTTGTCGAGACCGGCAGCGAGCGCCAGCGCCTCGATCTTTTCTTTCGTAACAACCTTTTGGGGAAGCTTGACGTTGAGGTTGTCAATGCTCGTGAGAGCAGGGTGCTCAAAGTGTTTGCGGTTATACTTCGTTTCCGGTACAATCGCACCCTTCTTTGAAGGCGACGATGTCACTATGCTGCTCGTGGACTCGAGGATAACCGCTTGTCTCCCTACAATGGGTGCCGAATAGCCCAGTCAGCTCAAGAGAAACTTGGGTGGGCTGTCACAATTGAAGCTCTGGGAGCAAGTCGTGTCCTTACCCAAATACGCCAGTTTATCGTTGAACCCCCGACGACCCTGGTCAAAGCTCTTGTGCGTGACCGCCAACCACTTGGCCTCATCCGGCAGCATCTTGTCTCCGTCTCGGCCCAAAAGCTTCACATACATCTGATCCAGCTTCTTGGGATCATCGTTGACCTTCCAAACACTGCGCGCCGGGTTCTTGGTAATGTGAGGGGAGAACGGCGCCTTCATCGCCTCGGGAGTGTACGACCATCTCGGGCGCTGCCTGACCTCGTCAGGCCGATCCGCCTCTTCGGTTTTCCGTGACAATTGGTCAATCTTGCTCTCGGCCGCCGATCGGGAGCTGGTCGTCGCAAAACTTCGGGAAAGGCATTGGATAGGGGAGGCGACTCGGGGGTTTGCCGCCGACTGGCAATGCCTTGCGGCATGCCTCGTGAGGTTGTATGCTGACCTGGAGCCGTTGGTTGCCATTGGGGGCGGCGGCGAGGGTCGAAATGATGCAGATGGGGTGTGGGCGTACCGTCGTAGCTAGAGCTCCTGATGCTGGGAACTTTTTCGCGATGGCGCTCGGAACAATTTCTCGACGTCACGTGGTACCGCGCGGAAGGCGGATCATGCGAGGACCGGCGCTAGTCCCTTTGTGCTCTAGTAGAGCCGAGCACGGACCCTGATAGTCGCAGCTTCTTTTCAATTAAACCCAGCGCGTTTCTCCACTTATTTCTGACACGCATGCGGAGAGCTGCGACGCGTCTCTCAAAGGGACGGACCTCCAGCTTGTGCTCTGCCAACCAGCCCTTCAAGTGTCCTTCACCATTCTCGCCAATCGACGACATGACATGACAGTTTCTTCGGGAGAATTGATCCACAATCGAAACTTGCGAATCTCAGCACCATGGCGACTCCCAGTCGGACCAAGACCACCGCCCAGAGCAGTGCACTTCTCCTTGAGAAGCTGTCGGCCGTTCTGCCCAAGGGCTACCGCTTTGGCGTCTACCACCTCTCAACTCCCCCGACCAAGACAGACGCCCTCTATTCAGCTCCTCCCGAGGAACGAGAAGACAAAACCTTTTGCGAGAAACATTTCCTTGCAATCTCCATCGATATCCCCTCGAGTACCGCCGACGCCGCGCCAGAAGCCAAGGAGGCTGCCTCGAAACAAGTTCTTGTCCTCGCACTGGAGGTCTTTATCTACACGACAGCATACTCCAGCACTTTCTTCGTCGCCAAGGCCGATTCGACTGGGTACTTGAAGCTTCTCAACCTTCCCAAGGGCACCTCATCGCCCATCAAGGAAATCAGTAGTGCCTTTGTCTCGTACCTTGTCGAGCAGCGCAGGCGCAAGGATATCCAGTCGGTGGTCAGCCTCTTCGCTCGTGCTCAAGACCAGTACCTCTTCCCTGGCTCCGTCGAATACAGTGGCAAGCACGTTCTCGACGATAGGGGACTGGTAAAATGGTGGTGCAAAGTCCTGAACCCTTTGTTGGAGAACCCTCCCGTGGGGAAGGGGGCTGCATGGGGTAATGTGAAAGGCTACCTCGTCATCCCTGGACTCGACAACTACGAAACGAAGGCTTTTCTGCCCAAGACTCCGAAGAGCGCAACAAACTGGGTCCTGGGACATGCGCTCGAGAAAATCTCGCATTACACCAAGGAATACGACTGGGTGCCCGCACGATGCCTCATCCCTCGATTCCCTGACGATCCGAAATCGCGATTCCGAGACGAACTGGACGAAGAGGCGGGTAAATCAAAGCAAATCAAGACCACTGGGCATTGGAAGAGCGTGAAAAGCCTGGATACGTTCTGGGAAATGATGGCTTACAGACAAGAATGCTCAAGTGGACGGCTCACGGGCTTCATTTGGGTCGTCTTCGATACAGAAGCTGAGCGAGTGCAAAATCAAGGCGCCTCAGCAACTCTTCCAACGCCGAATCCTTCTTTCGATACATCAAACCCGCCGGTGACGCCTAGCAAGCAGAAGGCCGTACGACCAATTACACCCATGTCCACTCCTCGGAAGCTGTTCCCTGTGTCACCTTCTGAAACACCAACAAAGACGAAGACGAAGCCTGAGAAGCCCGAGAGCAAGAACAAGAAGAATAAGAACAAGGCAAAGTTGACGGGAGTCGTCAAACCAAGGCAGCCACGCATCAAGACTCAACAGCGCAACTACCTGCTGGACAAGCCAATCTCAACTGCCTACTACTATTGGCCTGCCGAAGGTAGGGGCCGCAGGATTGTCGACGAGAACGACTACAAGCGAGTCAATGAGCTTCTTCTACGCTTGGACTTTGCAAAACTGGAGATTGCAGCTAGCGGCACGCGGCGATGGATTAGCGAGGTCGGTATGGGAGACAATTGGGGTATGGAGGTTGTAGGCAGGAAGGAGACTCCGGTGCCAGCATCAAATGGCTCTTCAGCGGATGTCGTGAACGTCATTTCAGGCCTTGTAAAGCGCAAGCGCCCCGAGGACTCCGCGACTCCTGGTTCGGATGAGCCGGCAACCAAGGTTAATATCCTAAGTACGGGTCTTATCCGAAAGAAGTCCAAAGACGAATCTGCGACGGGGGACACTGCTAAGGCCGCAACAGCGAACGGTGGGGAAGCTCCGCAAGTCAACGTGCTTGGAGCCGGTCTCGTTCGCAAGAAGCGCGATGCGTGAATTCAAAGGCCAAGGAATTAGGCATCTTATCAGTAATAGCAAGGCGTTGGATTGGGAATACCAGGTAACAGGATGGATTAGGTTGACCCGCTGGAATTGGCTTTAGGAAAGCCGAATGAGGACAGGACGTCAAGGCGTATGTTACATAAAATTGATCAGGATGCCGTATTGAGGCAGCAAGTTTACCATATCCTGGATCTTCATTAGACACGAATCTATTTCTTCTGCGAATACGAAATGGGATATTTTGATGAGAAATATTGAATGGCTTTTCCTCTTACCCATGGCAAGACTGAAAGTCATGCGATATGGTCAAGCAAAACTTTTTTTTCCACCAATTTACAGAGCTATCATTAGATCTTGACGTCAAAAGCTCTTGATCAACTCAAAGCCCATCTGCTCGATGGAAGGCACTCTCACTCGTCCAACCATTGTGCAGCATCTGACTATAAAGGTTCCGGCATCACATCTCAACCAACCTCGCAGTCTTCGATACGAGCACTATGTCTGACTGCTGTCATGGGACCGAACCCCATCTTTCGAGTCTCGGAATACTCGCTCGGTGCGTCCTCGGACTTTCCATGGTCACTGTCGCCTTCAAATCCACTAGCCCCATGGATACCAACCCCAGGCTTCGCAGGTATTTCTGAGACATCAGCGTAGTGATTTGGGGAATTCTCTTCTGTCCCGTTTGCAGCTGATGAATTCAGATCATGACGAACCCCTTTTGCGCTGGCTTATACTCACTTATAAAGATGACAGACATCAGGGTAGAGCATCCAGACTTTGCAAGCAAATAACACTAGCCAATGAACCTTGAATCAAGAATCCTGGGGAAGATCTGGGGTTCCCGCGGTGATCGTGCGGAGACGTTTTCTTGGGAGCTTGCTCCGCAGAGTATCATTACGTACATGGTTTAGTTCAACGAGCGCTTGCTCTACGTTTTCCTGCAACGGCACTGTATATGTAAGACCAGCGAGGGTAAAGATACCGACGGACATGAGCCGGACGAAAGGCGTGTTCCCAAAGATCGAGCTGGGAAGAAGAGGAGTCGGCGAGCCTGCGTCTTGTGAATCCTACGTTGAATGGTGATTCCGAGGGTTGATGCCGGTCAAGATGTGCTTGACCGAGGCGGTCGGCATCGTAGAGACGCCTCCAAAAGAAGCTGTCTAAACACTTGCGGTATTCGAAGGTAACTTCATATCGAAAAATAGATGAATATCCGTATATGTATGCTTTCAGCTACTTTTTCACATTTTCAACGCAAGAGCGGTGTCTCTTCGTTAGTTGGAGCTCTGCCCTCCTCACTGGCTTCTTCCTGATTCCCAATAACATCATGAAGCCACTGCTTGAGACTCTCACGAATCTCGGTATCTCGGTATATCCATGCGATACAAATCCCAGCACCCGGGCCGAGTGGGATGGCGCCAAGCACTGCAACCAAGGGCACCTTCCAGCCAGTCTCGACGAACAGCCAGTACAATACAGTCAAGCTAATGAAGAACATGTCAATCTCGACAAATTTGACAGTAGCACGCGTCATCTCTTTCCTGTCATCCCACTGGAACAGACTCCAGATGAAATAGACGTGAGACACTACCGAGCAAAGGATGGGGACGAGGTAAACGAGCAGAAGCGAGACCGTGTGGGACTCGAGATGGAAGCTACGGTGCTGACGCTTCTGCAGACGTAAGACGATCCATCGCACGGCTTGGCGGATAAGTGACACCCAGACGGGGAAGAAGAGCCAGATGACGATGATGAAGGGGGAGTTGTAGATGAGCATCAAGAGTGACGGCAGGATGAAGCCCCACGCAACACTGACGGGAATAGCGATGATCTCCGCGTCGACAACAAGATGGCGCGAGTCCTTTCCAAAGTCGGGGTCTTTGGATGCGGCGTTCTCAACGGCCCCCTGTCCGGCCTTCTTCCGAGCAAGGAGGATGGTTCGTTCGCGGTGGAAGAAGGCAGGCAGGATGACGAGTTGCCAGACCACTGCCCCGCCGATGAGATTGAATACCAGCCAGGGGCCCGTGGGATTCGCAATGACGACGTTGGGCGCGTTGCAAACGCGTGCGGCTTCAATGGTGGTAACAGTCATGAGACCGGCGATGAAGGACAGGACGGCGGACATGCTGGCGAAGGTCCGCATGGAGTCGAGCGCGCTCTGGAAGAAGCTTATGGCGAAGCAGACGGGCGGGCCGAGAACCGGAACCTTGCTGACGGCCGGTAGGCGTGCGTAAGCATCGCATTGCGAGTAGAGGAGGGCGACGTTGACATCGGAGTGGAGGAAGAGCGACGCGAAGGTCGCGATGGCGAGGATGATGGGCACCACGAGCAGGGCGCGGTAGGAGAAGACTTGGATGGGCGCCGGCCAGCGCTTCGACGAGGTCATTGTGATAGAAGCAGCACCGCAGAGGATTAGAGGTAGTCAGAATGATGTGGACGAGGATGCCGTCTTCTGTCCTGTTCCCGACATGTTCGTGTCAACTACCATCTTCAGCTTCGCTCAGCGCACCTCAGCGCATTTCAGCTGAAGCTCGTGACAACAATAGCGCACGTGCCGCCTGATGCTCGTTCCCCACACTCTAAGTCACCTGCCTGCGCCCCGTTGCACTAAGTGAGATCCCTCTCAAGGATGGGATGCGCCTCACCGAAACCCAATGGAATTCACATAGCTCATTCTGCATAGCCTTTTCCTGGTAGGGAAACAGTTTCAAAGTGACTTTATGACAATAATTTACTGGCATAGGCTTTCATGCGCTTGAAACTATGTCTGGCATTGAGGCGTTTGTTGGATCCGCGGGTTCAGGGGCTAGGCGATGTATGACACTGAGCTTTTCACCCGTCACACCACCATAGTACGCGGACTCACAAGAAATTATCGACTCCGCCTGACTTGACTGGAATTCTGGAAAGAGCAAAGCCCTAAATCCCATATCGGGTATCATACGTGAGGTTCAAATTTTGAAGAGATAGCATTATAAGAGACAAATAAATGGTGACACTACTCGCAAGAGTTACAGGCGGGCAGCCGTATTTTATGTCCTCTGCAAAACCGCTAAAGACACGAGAGAATATTTAGTTGGAGGAAAGATTCGCTATGGCTTTGGACCGAACTGTGCTCTGAAGCCAGAGAGCTCGAGAGCTCGAGATCTACGAAGGACCTCTACCGCTTTCAAGCAATTCACAACAGCGACGTCTGTGTGTCCAGTATCTATGCACCATCATTCTATTGGCGGATCAGGTCTCCCCGAGAAGAAAGCTATGCCTGCCGCATGTATCATGGAGTCTCTAGTGATATATCGGCGTGGAGAGATAATCAGACCATTGACACACATCAGCTAACTGTGACCCCAGACTTTTAACCCCGCGAGCAGGTGGATGATCCAAAATAGAGTCGGCCTAAACCGGTCGTCATCCTCACCCCACTGCTTCCCGCCTGTCTCTTGCATGGATCACCCATTGCGGGGTGAGGACCGGGGCTTGGGCCAAGTCAGCTTCCATACTGCGAATTTCCCGTGCAACAACGGCCACTGTGATTCTTCTGTCGGAGGTGGGCTTTCATAAGAGCCATTGCCATCAGCTGTTGAATTTCCTGGCGTCACTCAAGAATAATCGAGCTGCCGGTATTACGTCAGGCTTCACTCGGGGTTCACCAGCTTGAGATACACCGGTCCCGGTCCGGCGGTAGGGTTGGCGCAGCAAACTGCAGATGCCCGGAAGTAAGAGGCATGCCCAACCAAGAGCCTTCACCTCATAATTTCGTGAAATAAGAAAAGTGTCGTCCTTCCATGCAGCCTGACCGGAAGCGTGGGGACACAACTCCGGCCAAGATCGGGGGAGCTCCCATCGTGCCACGAAGCGTACTTGCTCTCGCCTCATCCTCACACCGACACTCTTGATTGAGATTCCACCAATCCTCCGCCATCATCTTACATCACCTCAAATAGAAGCTATTCACGCTCAGTTTCAGTGATTTCTCCCATTTTCGACATCTGGGTCCTTCTTGATAACCTTATCAGACCCAGAGTTACACGGGCGTTGAATGCTTGCGTTATCTCCTGCAGCTAAGACCTACCCTGGTCCGACAACCTTTTTATTAAGATACCTCTCATCGCACCCAACCAGGTCTCTGTGAAGTTTCGATTCAGACTCCAGCATTCAGTGCCACAACCTTGGTCACAATGGCTGAACCCAACAACACACCATACCCCCCAGCGACACCACAATCCCAGACCCCTCGCTCCACCTCGCCAGTCAACCTCTCGGAAACAGTCCTCCGTCCCCATCCCAACGGCCCAGCAGAACCCATTACGGTACCACTCGAAGCAACAACAGCAACAAACGGCACCCACAAGCCCCGGGTCCTCCACATTGGAGATCCGATCAAGTACAACCCCGAGACCTACGTCGCCTTCTCCGCGCAATGCGACATCGTCCGCCCCTCGACGCCCGAACGCCAACGCCCCGCCTTCGCCGCCGCCCTACGGGCCGGCAAGTGGGGCGACTTCTCCGCCGTCTTCCGACCGTTCTGGGGCACGGGTGGCGAGATGGGCACATGGGACGCCGAGCTAATCCCGCTACTGCCGGCGAGCTGTCGGGTTTTCGCGAGCGCGGGCGCCGGTTTCGATTGGGCTGATACGCAACTCCTCGGCGAACGAGGTGGGTTTATTCTCTCTTCCCGCCAATGTCCCTGTGTAAAAGTATTGCATCGAGTATCCAGGTGTACTGACACACAAAAGGCATCGTCTACTGCAACTCCGGCCTCGCCGCCGCCGAAGCGGTAGCAGACTTCGCCGTGGCCCTCGTCATCTCGACCTTTCGCCACCTCCCCTGGTGTATGACATCCTCCTCCGACCCAACCACCTTCCAAGACTGCCACGCCCGCGCCACAGCCGCCTCGCACACCCTCCGCGGCCACGTCCTCGGCCTCGTGGGCATGGGCAACATTGGCCAGCAGATTGCGCAGCGCCTCGGCGTCGGCTTCGGCATGAAGGTGCACTACTACGACGTCGTCCGCAAAGATCCCGTCACGGTGGAGGCCAAGTTCGGCGCGACGTTCCACGCGACGATGGAGAGCCTGCTCCGCGTCTCGGACTGCGTTGTGCTGTGCACGCCTGCTGGTGGTAAAGTCATCACGGCCGAGTCGCTGGCGTGGTTCAAGCCCGGGTCAAGGTTTGTCAATATCGCGCGGGGCAGTCTGGTTGACGAAGAGGCTTTGGCGGATGCGCTGGAGTCTGGGCAGATTGGAACCGTCGCGTTGGACGTGCATGCCGATGAGCCGAGGCCGCATCCGCGGTTGCTCAAGCTGGCGGAGACAAAGGCCATGCTGACGTGTCACAATGCGGGAGGGACGGTTGAGACGCATAAGGGGTTTGAGGAGTTGAGTATGAGGAACATCATGGCCGTTTTGGGGGGCGAGAAGCCGATTGCGCCCGTGAACCTGCACTATTTGAAGTAAGGTCGTGTTGGACGGAATTCGATTGTATATATAGCCTCTTAGAGTCAGCTGAGAGGCAAGGTATGCATGATGTTTGGAGTATAACGATGCTTCCCAATTTGAGTAATCATATATGCAGTTGAGCATTCAGACTACCTACCTTAGTATCAGGTACGCGAATGCGCGGGATCAAGACATGCTAGGATGGTCGATATCATGGCCGTAGTACATAAACTTATCGCGTATCTAGCTGGAGCAACGTATCCCGTCCGCACTGATTGAATAATAGAGCCGCAAACCTTGTTATGACTCCTTTCCGCCCCTTTTCACGTGGATACCTAGTTGAGGCCCTTCGCGGACACTGCTCACGAGTACTAAGGTGGCCAGATGAGTGTTACTTCATACTTCAATTCTTCATTTCTTTCATGGCCTGTACCTTCCTACAAATGAAACAATGATTCAACTTATTTAGCCTTGCCAGTAGGAATGTTGAACAGAACAACCACATCGCCCTCATCCAACCCCTTGTCCACACGGTAGAAGCCCCGTCTCTCGAGTTGGATGATATCGTCTTTCTTCAGTTCGCCAACGCCAGCATCGCACAACGCCGTCTCCATGGTCGAGGTGTTGGGGTTGAGCACCTTCTCGAGCACATCATCCTCCTCGAGCTTGTCCTTGTTGATGAGGTAGTCAAAGTCCCAGAGCTCAGCCTTGACGAGCTTGGTTCCGGCTGTCGACAACCAAGTGACCTTCTTCTCGGTCGTCTTGAAGTCGCCCTTGAGGTTCAGCTCGATGCTGAGGTCGGTGATGGGGTCGGTGGTGCCGATCTCGCGGGCGAAAGCGTTACCCCAGCCCATGAGGGTGAACTCCTCGTCCTTCTTGAAGCTCTTGACGTCCGCCTGGTCGAGGATGAGTTCGTTGGAAAAGACAACCTTCTTGGTGCCGACGTCGGGGTTCTTGGGGTGCTTGGGCTTATCTTCGGTGCGAGGGGTAGCAGGGGCGTCGGCGCCGGTGACCTTGACCTTGACCGCGTCCTTCTCCAGAATGGCAGTGTGGCGGGGGGCGATGGGGTCAATGACCTTCTTGTTGATGTTCCAGAACGACGCCCAGTCCATGTTGACTACGTTTCGGCTAGGGCCCTGCTTGACGATGAACTCACGGAGGGCGGGGATGGTCATACCGCGTCTGCGCACACCACGAATGGTGGGCATACGGGGGTCGTCCCAGCCCCAGACGGTGCCTTGAGCGACGATCTTGGCGAGCTTTCTCTTGGACAGGAAGGTGCGGACGAGGTTGATACGGCTGAAGTCGTGCATATAGACCTGGCGCAGCTTCAGGGTGTCGATAAACCATTGGTAAAGGGGGTTGCGGTCAGTGTACTCGGTCGATCTCAGAGCGTGGGTGACGCCCTCGTGAGAGTCGACAACAGGGCAGGCGAGATCGTACATGGGGTAGATCTTCCACTTGTCACCGGTGCGGTGGTGCTTGTTCTCAACGTTGCAACGGTAAATGACGGGATCTCTGAGAGCCTTGTTGACGTTGTCGACAGAGATCTTGGCGCGAATACAGTTGTTCAGTCCCTCAGGGGTGCCCTCCTTCATCGCCTCGAAGATGCGCAGGTTCTCCTCGACGGAGCGATTGCGGCACTTGGACTCGATTCCGTCGGTTCGCTCGTTGCGCATCGTCTCCTGCTCGGTGTCATCGGCGTAGGCGTGACCCTCCTTGATCAGGCGGACGCAAGTCTCGTAGAGGTAATCGAAGTAATCGGAGGTGTAAGAGAGGGAATCGGGGGTGATGCCCATCATCTTCAGGTCCTCAACAATGGCATCCTGGAACTCCTCACTCTCCTTTGCGGGGTTGGTGTCGTCCAGACGCAGCAGAAGCTTGCCCTTGTAGGCCTCGTGGGCGAAGTAGTCGCTGAGAAGGGCGGCCTTGGCGTGACCGATGTGAAGGTATCCTCTGTTGCTTGATTAGCAAGCCGCGTGACTGGTGGTTTCAGGGGACTAACGAAGGCTCGGGAAGGAATCTGGTAACAACTCCGGCCTCGGCATTCTGGAGGGCGAGAGAGTAGCTGGCACCCTTCTTACTGGCGGCAACGACCTTGGCCTTGCGCTCAGCATCGACCGCGTTCGTCTCGGCTTGGATCTCGGGGTAGGTGACTTCAACAAAGGTGAACCTAATAACAGAGTTAGCGCGCTGACGAGGCATAGAATAAAGCGAGTGACACGAAAGACGCACCAACGGGTCAGGTTGGCCAAAGTTCCCTTGCGGATGAAGCCCATGGCAACCTTGTTCAGCTTCAGGGTCTGCCAGATCTTGCTCTCGGTCTCTCCCAACGAGTACCCCTCGACAAAGGTGCGCAGCGTCAAGTGCTTGTCGAGGGCGCGGAGGTGAGGCTCGATCGACTTGAAGTCGCCGCTTAGGGCGGTGGGGAGGGTCTGGAGCTCCTCGGCCTTCATGATGGCGGTGTTCGGTCCAATTGAGGTGATGAGGCTATCGGAGGGAAACGGTGGTTGGGACGGTTCTGGTGTCCTCGTGAGTCAAATGTTTGGAGTGGCTGATATTTCGTGGTGGGGTTAAAAATCATGGAGGGGTAGCAGGACGGTGCACTCACCGAGAGCACTCGGCCGGGACGGGTAAGGAAGGGTCTAATTGGTGGCACAGCGAAGGGGAGCTTGCTTTACAGGTACCTTAGGCTTGCTCTAGGCTTTGCTGTAAGTCGGTTTAGTTCGACGTCTGGTACTTTGTCAAGTAACAACGCAGTTGATGCACGCGGAAGAAATCATTCAGTAAATTTCAATGTTTAAATAGAGAGCTTCAGAAAATTCTGCAAAACTTTTTCAACTGATGGCAATTAATTATGACTCTTCGTCCGGGGCAGAGCTCTGGTGACAGTGGTGTTACACCGGGACCGGACCAGTCGCCAGATTAGATACGTACCTTTGTGCTTCAATGCGATAAGATAGAGACATATTGCCTGAACCATGAGGCCACACCTTTTTTTCTGCAGTCTTTGGCCAGAGCTTCGCACGCGACGACCCGTGACCAGCTCTGGTGTTGTAACTCCAAATCACATATACCCAAAGCCCCGTGATGGCATCAACGAACCAATGCATGGCCTCAATGGCCCGGCTCAGCCTCGGAGCTTCAGCAAGACCGACAGCCTCCAACATACCGCGGTTCCTCGTCCCTTCCGTCGCCCAGCAGACACGATGCGCGAGCAACCAGGGGGGTAACAAGAAGACGGACAAGAAGAAGAAGAAGCTCTCCAAGGACTTCAAGACCTACAACGTCAAGAATTGCCCACAGTTCTCCCTCTGTGATGCCATGCGGTATGTTTCCTATATGCAAGAGAAAACGACTCCATCCCCAGCTAACCAGGACCTCAGCTACCTACGCGCATTTGAAGTCGGCCGCCCTCCCCAGTCCATCAAGTACGAAATTCACGTCCACCTCAAGACTCCCCGAAACGGCGCCGTCGTCAAGAACCGCATCCGTCTGCCCAACCCCGTCAAGTCCGACATCCGTGTCGGCGTAATCTGCCCCGAAGGAAGCCCTATTGCGCAGCAGGCCCTGCAAGCCGGCGCCGTCGTCGCGGGCCAGGAGTCCGTCTTCGAGGCCATCAAGAACGACAATATCATCTTCAACCGGCTCATCTGCCACACCGACAGCGAGGCAGCCTTGAACAAGGCCGCTCTGGGCCGCATTCTCGGTCCCAAGGGTCTCATGCCCAACCGTCGCATGAAGACCATTACCGACAACATTGCCAGCTCTATCCGTGAGACAATGGGCGCCGACAACTACCGCGAGCGTACGGGTGTCATTCGCATGGCTATCGGACAGCTCGGCTTCACGCCCAAGATGTTGTCTGCCAACATCAAGGCGTTTGTGGGTAGCATCAAGTCTGATCTTGCGGAGCTCGAGACGCACAAGGAGGTTCACGAGGTTGTGCTGAGCTCCTCGCAGGCCCCGGGCTTCAGCTTGAACGGCAACTTTGACTCTACAGATGAGCAAGTTGTGCCGGCTCACCTGTCCAATGTCATGTAAATGTACAGAAACCAAGATGAAAAAAGGGAGGAGATTCCAAAAAAAGGTGTTTAGATGAACTGTAACATATGTCTTTATTACACGTGTATCAAAGTAGCATAGCGCTCTGGAACATGTTGGAGATTTGGGTATCATATGCATCGCTACTCTGTGACGGCTGGCTTTTCTTGTTCCGTGTGCGTGTGTGCGTGTGCGTCGCACTGGCTCAAGTGCTCTTGAGAGCCCTGATCGCCTCTGCCTGGGCGTCAAGCAGTCCGTAAAGCCCCAGGTACTTGACCGTCCTCGCCTGGCCCTTCTTGCCTGCCCTCCGCGCTTCCTTCATCGCAGTCCCGAGGTCAAGAAGGATAGTGTTTCGACACCTCGCCATCCGAGCCTCTGCCTTGACCACGAACTGGGAATCTCGTCCAATAGCGTCCGCGAGAGCCTCAACAATACAAAAGTCCTGCGCGAAACCCGCCAGCTTCGCGGGGCTACTGCCCACTAACCCCCCAACATCATCCTCTTCCTCGTCAGACTCCTCCTCGCTGTCGTCCGCGTCCCAGTCATCCTCCTCCTCTTCGTCATCACGCGGCGTCTTGCCCTTCTCCGGCAAGCTCACAAGCGCAAGCCGTTCCTCGAGCGCAGACACGCGCTCATCCAACTCAAGCATCTTCCTCCCGGCCTCAATGCCCCTCCTGACCTCTCTCAATTCCCCACTCAGGTCCTGGGCCTCCTCCCCTCGCGCCCGCACCTTACTCTTGATCTCCTCCACGGCCCTTCGGAAGCCGAGCATCGCGACGCGGACGTTCTCAACCCTCTCGTCGCCGCCGCGCAGCTCGTTGCCGAGGGACAAGAAGGCGGTGTAGTTGCCGTTCACGAGTTCGAGGAGCTCGGCGCTGATGGCAGCGCTGCGGTCGCGCAACTCAGCTTTCAGGTCGTCGAGGGTCTGGTGCCGGTGCGGGAGGGCGGAGAGGTAGTTTGCCGGGTGGAAGTCTGGGGCGAGGAAGTCGGATCGGGGCAGGGCGGCAGGGAAGGGGAGCGGGGTATCGTCGTCGTCGTCGTCGCCGACCGAGGAGGACGAGGAGGAAGGGAGGTGGAAGGCGGCTGTTTGCCGCGTTGGCGATTGGATGCCAAGATAGGCCATGGTCGTGTGTGGTCTGGTTTGTGCCTCAGAGGCGGCGGCGGCTCGGTCGTGGAGGTCGGCGCAAGGTGCTGTACCTCGGAGCAGAAGCGTCGAGTAAGGTACTTAGGTAGGTAGCTATCCAAAACTAGAGGACCGGGATCGGGAATAATTGGGAGCTGCTTCAAGAGGTGTGGTCCGAATTGAATTGCAGTTGTCGCACGCTTGGGACGGGATGGACTTGAGCAGGTATGGATAAGGTAGCTTAATGCAGCTTTCTTGGGCTTCGCGGGGATCACTGTGGGAATTGGAGGCTTGAACAGTGAGTGGGTGGAAGCCCCGCCGGATTCCCACAGCTCTCAGTGGACACGGTTGCGCAACCTTCAAACAACCCCAGTGGTGACTCCTAGTAGTCTTAACTGTGAGAGAGGGTCACAGAGGGTCGCGGAGGGGCACGGGGATTTGGCTGGAGTTGGAGCTGGGATATGATAATTCCGAACCTTGCGTGTCTCTGACAGGCCGCAGTGACGATACGGCGATCATCTGCTTGGCTCTTACGGCCATGACCGCACATCGTCATCTATGATGCGGTCACTGGTGAGAAAAACCAGTAAAGTCATCACCTAAAAAGTAGATTAGCATCGTGCAGATAGAACATGAGAGGCTCTCATCCGAGCACATGCCGAGGTAAGCGGCCATTTCTCTCTCCCGTCATGAAAAGCCGGGCCTGACCGCAAAGACGCCCGACAGAAATACGGAGGCCGAGCTGCCCGGCTGCGCTTGGCGTTGCTTTGCAGGGAGAGAATTATTTGTGAAGACAAAGCGTTCTTGGAGCCACTTTCGAGTCTGGATTCAGATAGTATTCTATGATTACCTAGTGTGCCGATAATTGCCGCCGTCAACCTCGTGAGATGCGAGGTACCGCAGCACGGAGGACTGATCCAGCCAGGTAGCACCGCAGCACTCCGCGATGTACGTAAATTTCTCTTTTCTTCGCGTGGCTCCCACTCTCCGACTTCCGGGGCCTCCACTTGGGATCAACCTATGTGGGATGAAGGGCCGATCTGTTTACGCGCAGTCGTAGACAGACGGAGAAAGAGAGATGTTGGGTGGTTGGCTTGTCAGTACGGCAGACTGGAGACTGGAGTTTAGACGATCCCAAAAGCAGGCGTTTGAAAATTTGAGCGTCTCATGTGAGCCTGCTGGAGGAAACGGCGGCTGGGGCGTAAGCTCAGGTTGGCCCAATGACAGATGGTGACCAGAGGTGTGGGTGGGATGCCATGCATGGTCGGCCGGTAATACGGATTGAGCTGGAGGAGATGGATGGTCGTGACATCTTATCAAGTACCTCTTGATCTCTCTGATGAACTGCCCCAAGGCCATTGGACGACTGGCGGTGACACCTGAAGCAGGTTCCATTGAGGCATAAATTCCCGATTATCAGGTCCCTTTTTTTCGGAGCGCATCATTCGTAGGTACTGTATCCGTACCTTGCGCTATGCCATTGACATACGATGTACGCTACGGCTTAGTTGTGCAAGCTGGTTTGTATTTACTCATAGGTGACCCTGACTCGTTCGTCTCTGTACATCGGCGAGAAGCCTCCTTCAACTTGTGTCAGATTCAGTTCTCCTGTGGACCGCTACGGGTGTTTTTTGATCCCTCACTGTGAATTCAAAGTAGAAACACGTACATCTCGACATACAAGAAAGTCATCGGACAACAGGCGGCTCTCATTTGTCCACGAAAAGACAGGCCTCTGTATTGCATATCCTGTATTGATATGCAACTTTATTCCGCGGTCATCACTGGTCACGTACATCATCCACTCGCCCGGTGGGCCGGACCAGCGACATCGGCAGACCCTGAGACCAATTCCCTCATGATGTGCTGAAGCTTGGCATCCTTGACTATAGAGGTAACGGAAGAGAGGCTGGGGGGGCAATACGTTCTTACGACATGGAAACCCAGCTATGAAGGGGATCAAAGCCCATTGACGGTGGATCGCGCGGTCAATCAGGGCGGTGATCCGTGGGAGAAGCCGAACTGTGTAGCCCTGGAAGTCCCTTCAGCGTAAAATACATAGCGTGTTCCGCCAGCCAAGACTAAGGAACATGGTCCGAGATCGCAGGTCCAGAATGGGGAGAGGAAAATGGACCTGGAAGCCGGAAAGCCACAGGGGGCGCATCGAAAGATTCCACTCTCAACATGGCCCGACAATGAGCGTGTATGTGTGTATGTGCCAAGAGTGAGATTGAGAGCGAAAGCAGTGCCTCCACTGTGTGGATGTCGGGAGCATTTCCCGAGTGAGCACCAGGTGGGTGAGTGAGTAAAATCCAACGAGTTAGCGGTGCGGATACACAGTGGATTTTGTGAGGCAACGAGATGGGTGACAGGCAGTACCCGGGTGAAAAAAAGAAGAAAAAAGCGACTAGCGCCAGGCCCTGGTGGGGCCCTTGCGAGCAAGATAATCTTATCAATCAGATCAAAAATTCCTTTTCAATCTCGCCCTCCCCCTTCCCCTCCAGTCCGCGGCGTCCCTCCAATCCCCTCCTCCGCTCTGCCTCAGGTCTCGTCCCCTCCACTCCCAATCAACCGCAAAACCCTCTTCCCCCCCAAAGCCCACCACCCTCCGAAGTGTCGGAAGAAGGAGGAACAAACTCGCATCCAAAGATTTCTTCAACCCAACGTCAACGACTCTCTTACACACATATTTGTTTGGGGGTTTCTGGCTTCAACGCTCGAAACCACTTATAACAGCAATAATAACAACAGCAACGACAACGCAGGGTCAGCTTTCCCTCTCAGTGCCGACATCGCCTCTCAGTTGTCACCCATACGGGAGCGCGCGTGCACCACCACTGTCGTCTGCATGACAGCCCAGACAGGACCTATCAGCTGTGCATTTCGCTGTAGGGGTATCTGCTCGATTCTGCTCGGCATCAACCCAGATCGCCAAACAGTAGCATCATACCAACTTAGTCATCACCGAATTCTCTCCGAAAAATCAAACAACAATCAGCACATCCAGGAGAACAGCGAAAAAGAAGAACCCCCCCGGGAAACCACCAGTAGCCGTGCACATCACTAGCGCTCCATCGCACCACCTCTTTTGTGCATTGTTCTTATCAGATCTCCCGCCCCAAGAGCCGAGCGTCACAAACCTGCGCCGAACCGCATCCTCGGATTTACCAGCCGGCAAACATCTGCAGCCCACACCCCGCCAACCGTCTCCCAGCTGTCAGTGGCACCATCCCACCACCCGCCGGCGAATGAGCGACCATACCGAACCCCGCCTGCGGAACCCTGCTCGTTCGTCCCTTCCATGATGGCCGCCTCAGGTGTTTCCACCACTATTCCCTCCTCATCCTCCTCCTCCCACACCCAGACGCCGCAACAGCTTTCGTCGTCGACCTTTTCTCCCGTCACCTCACCTTCCGCAACCGACGCCCGAAGCGTCTATTCCGCCGCATCTCGCTCCAACTCGCTCGTCTCAACGCCCGTCTCCGCCGCGTCGCCCGCCGCGAGCACCCCCGGCGGTGCTCCCACGCCAAGCCCGAGCGGACCGACAAATGCCTCCCACGCCCCGCATCAGCTGCCTGCTATCAGACCCAACGCTGCACAACAACCCATCTCAGCCAGGCCGCCTCAGGTCGTGAACAAAATGTCCATGGCCTCCGTAATCAGCCCCCTGCCCATCACCGAGGCGCCCAAGATGTCCATGACCACCAAGGAATGGGTCATCCCTCCAAGGCCGAAGCCCGGCCGCAAGCCTGCCACCGACACGCCACCCACCAAGCGCAAGGCCCAGAACCGTGCCGCTCAGAGGGCATTCCGCGAGCGCAGGGCCGCCAGGGTCGGCGAGCTCGAGGAGCAGCTCGACGAGATCCGTGAGGGTCATGAAAAGGTCGAAAAAGACCTCAAGGACAAGGTCCACACCCTGGAGATGGAGCTGCAATCGTTCAAGTCCCGATGCCTCGTTCTCGAGAACATGCTGGATCGCGAGAGAAAGGATCGCGTCAAAGCCGAGTCCGAACTTGAAAGTCAGAGAAGACGCTGGAGCGAGCAGCAGACCGCGGACCCTAGACGTCTGCCGTCTCCTCAACGCCGAGGCTCCCAAATCGCTCACCACGAGCAGCCCCCCATCCCGTCGGTTGGCCACTCAAACCAACCCTTTTCCATCTCACAGATTGTCTCCCCCCAAGACTCAACCCACATGGAAGATTCTCCCGCCCCGTTTGGATGCGGATCATGCGGCCCTGAAGGCTGCTCCTGCGCCAACGAAATTCTTACCGACACAGTAACAGGATGTGGCGGGTGCACTCTCGGAGGTCGATGCCAGTGCCTCGAGGATACTATCAAAAACGCCATTATCTCGGACCTCAAGAGAGCCCCCTCGCCGTCGGCGCAGACTTCCACCGAGAAGCGTGCCCGCGTTGAGTCAACTCTATCAGAGGAGGAGACGGAGATCGACTTTACCGCCATGTTTTCCAAGAAGGCACCAGTGCCTCAGCAGCAGCAGCAGCAGCAGCAGCTGGCGAACCTCTCCCTCGTGCAGCCTCAACCCCAGCTCCCCCCTGTGGCTTTCAAGGATTCCTGTGGGTTTTGCAAAGACGGAAGCTACTGCCTCTGCGCCGATACCTCAATGTCGCTCGGCCCGCCGGCCACCACCCCTTACGGACCTCCTCCCGCCTATTCCCAGCAGGTTCAGACTCCCCCTCCCTCAGAGAACGATGCCGTCCCTCCCCCCATGCCAATGGAGATCGACGCCGACGGCGCCGTCAAGCTCCGTCCCCGTCCCCAAACCACCCAACCCGTCGTCGCTCCCGTCTCCCGCGGCTGCGGCCCAAAGGGACCCGGATCCTGCGCCCAGTGCCTCGCCGACCCCAAGTCGGGCCTCTTCTGCCGCGCCCTGTCTGCCAACTTTGAGCGTAGCGGCGGTGGCTCCGGAGGTGGCGGGTGCTGCGGCGGTGCCGGTGCCGGAGGCGGATGCTGCAAGTCCGAGTCCGCGCCGCCGCCCCGTC